CTAGGAAGAATAGAGAGAGTCTCATAGCCCAAAAAGCTCGGGTGAGATGGGGGAAAGAGGGTGATTTAAATACAAAGTTCTTTCATTTATGTGTTAATGGGAGGCGGCGACGAAATAATATATATGCGCTCCAAATTGGAGAGAAATGTGTCGAAGAGGTTAATGAGATTAAAACAGGTGTGGTGTCCTATTTTGCGGCTCATTTTAGTAGTAGAAGTTGGCTTCGACCTACTATTGATATTAATAATTTACCAATAGTCTCTGTTCTACAGAATGAGGAGCTTGTTAATGCTTTTTCGAAGGAGGAAGTGGGAAAGATGATTTTGGAGTGTGAGGGTGATAAAAGTCCGGGGCCTGATGGTTTCAATTTTGTGTTCCTTAAGAGGTTTTGGAGAGTGATCAAGGAAGAAGTGATGGGTATGCTTACTGAATTTTGTAGAAATGGGAAGCTACCTAGGTCTTTATTATCTTATTTTGTAGCACTTGTGCCAAAAGTGTCTTGCCCACAACAGATATCTGATTTTCGGCCTATCTCATTATTAGGTTGTCTTTATAAGATTGTTTCCAAGCTTTTGGCAAATAGGTTGAAAGGAGTTTTGGATTCAATAATTTCAGAAGAACAATCAGCCTTTATCCCGGGAAGGAACATGTTAGATAGTGTACTTGTGGCTAATGAAGCAGTTGATTATGTGCGGAGGTATAATAAGAGGTGTTTTGTGTTAAAGCTTGATTATGAGAAGGTGTATGATTCGATAGAGTGGGGATATCTTTTGTTTATGTTACGTAGCTTTGGATTTTCAGACAAATGGGTCAGTTGGATGGAAGCTTGTGTGTGTGGGGGAAGCCTATCAGCTTTGATTAATGGTTGTCCTACATTGGAGGTTCATATTGAGCGGGGCCTAAAACAGGGGGATCCTCTTGCCCCTTTTCTTTTTCTTGTGGCAGCGGAAGGGTTAGGAGTTCTTATGCGGAAGGCAGTGACTTGTGGGTTGTTCTCTGGTGTGACGATTGGGGAAGGGGGACCAGATATTTCTTTGCTGCAGTTTGCGGATGACACATTGATTATGGGAGAGGTTTCGGTGCAGAATTTGTGGACTTTGAAAGCAGTATTGCGTAGCTTTGAATTAATGTCAGGTATGAAAATTAACTTCCATAAATCTTTTGTATTGGGGATTAACACTGGTGATGACTTTGAAAACTTGGCTGCGGAGTTCCTACATTGTAAGATTGGTAGTTTCCCATTAAAGTATCTCGGGTTACAGTTAGGTGTTAACCCGAGAAAGTCTAGTGCATGGAAGGGTGTGTTAGAGGCTCTTAAAAAGCGGTTAGCATCATGGAAGCATAGGTATTTATCGATTGGAGGTAGGGTGACTTTGATTAATGCCGTTCTTAATTCTATGCCATTGCACTCGTTATCCTTTTTTAAGGTGCCGAAGTCGGTAATAAAGGAAATTGTCACTATCCAACGGAATTTTTTATGGAAGGGTGTTAAGGATGGATCTAAAATCCCCTGGGTGAAATGGAAAACTGTATGTAGACCGCGGAAGAATGGTGGCTTGGGCATTAAGAATGTGCAGTGGTTTAATTGGGCGCTTCTTGGTAAATGGTTGTGGCGAGGTATTAACTGTTCTAGTTCATTGTGGGTGCGGGTGTTGGAATCTAGATATGGAAGATTAGCTTCTTCTCTTCAACGTTCATCAGTTCACAACAGATGTTCTTTGTGGTGGCGTGATTTGCTGGAGGTTATTCATCAAGGGAATTCATGGCTGGATGAGAAGTTTGATAGAAGTGTGGGTGCAGGTTTACACACTCTTTTTTGGAGAGATAAGTGGCTAGGAGGGGTGCGATTGTGTGAAGCATTTCCGCGATTATTTGCAGTGGCGAGAAATGTTGAATCACGTGTATTGGAGAATGGTTTTCATGATGGCACTAGATGGGTTTGGAATGTTAGTTGGCGAAGAGGACTCTTTCAACATGAGATCTCGAGCTTTAATCTTTTGTTGGAGCTTGTGGATGGAATTTCTATTCAGTTACTACAAGAAGATAAATGGGTATGGAGGGCAGATTCTTCAGGTTGTTATTCAGTGCAATCTGCGTATTCATGGCTATTTGAACTTTTTGGTGGTCCTAATAGTGTAGATCAGTGTACGGCAGATGCCTTGCAAAGGCTATGGAGAGGGAAGGTCCCTCTTAAGTGTCTGGTTTTTTCTTGGCAATTGTTGTTGAATGCACTTCCTTGTAAAGGTTTACTGATTGATCGTGGTGTTCAAATTGATGATATAACTTGTTGTTTCTGTCATGATTTGGAGGAACTTCCAACTCATTTATTTTTAACGTGCTCAGTTTCATCTCAAATTTGGTACTTTACTGCACGTTGGCTTGAATTCTCACTGGTTTTGCCTTCAGATTTATCGACTCACTTGCTTTCTTGGGTTGGTGTTGGCTGTAGTAAAAGAGAAGGAATATGCTTATTAATTATCTGGGTAAGTACAGTGTGGTCTTTGTGGTTGTATAGAAATAGAATTATATTTTCCAATGGTGTTTTGGATGAGAAGGAAGTCTTAGATTCTATTATTCTGAGATCCTGGAAATGATTTTCACTTGTTAGTAAGGGAGAAGCTATTATGTTAGCTGATTGGTATTTGAACCCACGAAATTGCATCTGTCTTAATTTTGCATAAGTATATTTTTGCTTTTTATTTCTCTGAGTAAGTAATTTTTTGTGTATATGGGTTTTGAGTTCCCCTTAAACTCTTTTTAATAAGATTTGTTTTGCCTATAAAAATAAAAATAAAAATATAATTGCAGAAATATAAAACTCAAAAATATCCTAAAATAAGTTAATTTTAGTTGATAATTTCTGAATCTTAATAAATTAATTAAAATTATATTTATATTTTATTATATTATTTTTAAATATTATATAAAAAATTTAAAATGATGCTAACAATTTTTATAAAAAAAAATTGCATTGTGAGTGCCGTTTTGGTTTGGATACGTATAAAAAAGGATTTGAATAGTGCCATCAAGTTGTAGCGTTAGTAGTCCAACGGTTAGGATAATTGCCTTCCAAGCAATAGATCCGGGTTCGACTCCCGGCTGACGCAATTATTCATTTATTCAATTTAATAAATTAATAAATCTCATTTTGACTAATCATAAAGCTGAGAATATGTATATTATCGTTTTCCTTTTCTAGGGAATACAATTTTTTCTGGTTATTCTTTTTTGGGAGCAGAAACATTAACGTCCTCCAACTAGTTGACTTGTTACAATATTCTACCATCACAATCATATATTATGGATTAAAAATAGACAGCGAATGTATAGCTAATAATAATATGACAGGTAAAGTGAGAAGCAGAAAAAAGAAAGAAAGAAAAACACTGGGAACTATGATCCTTTGTACATGGACATGATCAACAACTTGGAAACTTAATATAAAGATAGAATGGGAGACACAATCAACATGGGAAAGTACATGTCTTTGTCTCAATGCTCAATCATTTACGATTGTATTCGCCATGATGACAAACCTTAGCCAGCTGGGCTCAGTGTAGCTACCTTTAGAGAAAGAACTTTCCTTTCAAGCAAATCTCACTATTACACACGTGTATATGTAAATGGTGAATGTGAATCACAATTATATCCTCATTCAAATTTCATCACTGGGCCGGTAGAGATGGGCCCAATAATAATATGATAATCTTCAGACTAGGTGCCCAGTAACAGCTTCTTCTCCCTCCAAGGGGTTTCCTCGCCTCCTAAAGTAGGATGGATTTTTTCATTTTCATGGAACTTTCTTTTCATGATAATTAGACTTTTCCTTTTCCTAATAAGCGTTTTTTTTTCTTCATTTTTATCCTTTCTTTCAATCTTTTCTTACCCATTACTATTTCAATCATTATCCTTTATCTCTAATAGCTAAGACTGTCTCTAATGTTTTTAATGACTTTTTTTTTTGCCTATTTAACTGAAGCATAATTCTAATACGAGTAGAGTACTAGAGTTGGTTACATAAACGTAGTAAAAAGAAAAAAAAGACATAGCAAAAGGGAAAAAAAAAAAAGTAGTTTATTTTGTTTAGCTGGATGAAGCTTCACTTTCAAAAAATATAACAAGTGAAACGTGTGTTAAAAACTTTTATATTTTTATTTTGTATCCATTTTGAGGGAGCATTCTTTGTGTTTTTAATAGTTATTTATTGAAGCATTGTTGTATTTCTCTTGCTGAAAATTACAAATTTTCAATGTCTCACAGTAAGTTTCGATTTTAATACTTGATTTAAGCACCTTAGACTAATTTTAAAACTTTAATCTCATCATTATTGACAAAAAAAAAAAAAAAAATTCCACTTCCAACATGCAGCCAAACGGCTATTCTCCAAAACTCGCATTATGTAAGAAACTTGAAACAATTGAAAAAAAAAAAAAAACTCATCTTCAAACACATAAATGAGATTCAATTCTTCTTTTCTCTTTTGGTCTCTCAATTGGCAATAGAGTGTTCCTTTCATGTCCATTTTCTTTTCTTAACGTGGCACTTTGCAAGTATTGCATTAAATGATACCAAAATACTACCATAATAATTTCCTTAAAAATATTAAGAGAACAAAGTTATTACAAGCATTTACTTATAAGGACACAATATATAAATAAAAATAAAATTAATTAAACTTAAAGGGATTGGTCAATTAAATTAAATCTCATAAGTCACAAGTTTATCTCTTTGGAATGAGATAAATATGTATACGAGTGTCTTTGATTATGGAAAAACTGCAAATGATGCATAAATCAGAAGTGTCCTACGGTAAGTAAATTTTCAAATGTTTCTGCTTGAATTGACAAAGACAGGAAAACAAATCCCGTACTCCCGAGATTACAGTGTCACTGATATTCGATCAAATAATACGATATAGTAATTAGTGCATTTGTATCACAGAAGTAATTGCAAACTATATCAACACATGAGCACTAAAACAGTTGTTAGTATCTTTCGGCAAGCAATTACAAATGATATAATTTTACTTGCTAGCTCAAATACATATATGGTAAATTTACATGGTGTGTTGAGATTTGATTTCTATTAGTGCTGTAATTATAAAATCTCTATCAAACTCCATGAGCTGCTGAGGTCCTGTAATCAAGATTGAGTAAAATGTACAAGAATTTTACATTGGATAAGCAGAACACCGATTATACCCCTCATTTAATACATAATAACATCTGAAATTCTTACATATGTACAAATTTTACAGATTAGGAATAATATAATGAACATGATTCCAGCAGTGAATGTTATTTAATATGCCAAACCACCAGCAAATGTATCTCTATCGTGAAGCAGAGACTCTGTCAACCAGTAACCATCCCAGCATCCACCAACTCTCTGCCAGTCACAAACAAAATCAGATAACAACAGTGAACTAATATATATACTAAAATAACAGTTCAGAAATTGCCATTGTAAATTGAAATGATGATGAAACCTGAACCATTGTAAATTGAAAGATCTCTTCTTCCTCCGGTCTACTTCCACGAATCCAAACCCGCTGTTTGTATTTGTTCTGCTTCAAGTTCATCAATTTAACCCATAACATGCCCTTTAGATAACAAAGATAAATAAAAAATAAAAAGAGAAATTGAGTTTGTCATTACCTCCTCCACAAACAAACTGCTCATGATCTTTCTTTCCTTGTGACCTAGTAAGACTCGATAAGTTGAATGATGAAAAATTCGCCTGAACCTCTCAAACTGCACACCAACAGGTTTAACATCCAATCAACATACACATATTTAACTATCAATAAAAAATAATAATTTTTTTAACGTGTTTACTACTACATATTTATTAAAAATTACATGATATAACTGAATTCAATGCTTTAATAATATTAACTACTTCAACAATAATAATATTAATAATATAATAATTAAGAAAAGAAAAAAAACTAATAATACTAACCTGACCCAAATCGAAGAAAGGGCCAAAATAGGTAGACCTTTCAAAAGGATCAAATCCAGCGAACTATAACAATTAATAAGAAATAGGGTGTTAAGAGGGAAAGGGAAGAAAATAAAGAAAGAAAGAAAGTATTATACTTACCCTATACATGACCTCGATTCCGTAATCTTGACGAGGTTGGTCGTTAAACTCCAAGGCTTGAAGCTGGTAATGAACAGCATCTTCTGCACTAAACTATAGAAAGATTCAATTGAAAGCAAGCGAAAGGAAAAGAAAGAAAAGAGAGTGTGTGTGAGAAGATGTTAGTTACGTCTAATCGAGGACCAAAGGGTCTTTTCTTCCGAGATTCAAACCAATCTGCAGAAAGAAAATCGGGAACTTGGGAAGCGGCTTTGAAGGTAGAGGTTCTGTTCGGTAACAACCAAAGAGCATGGGAATGAGACAACAGAGACGAACCAAACGACATCGTTCCACAATCTCTTATGGGAATTCTGAAGAACGATTGCAAATTGCAGATTCGGATCAACGTTTTCTCTTCTCTCTTCTGACCACGACGTCTATGGTGTCTCTTCGCTCCGTGCGCGCGCCCCCCTTTTTTCTCTACAACGATAAATTAATTAACAATGTATTTTTTTTTTTATTGTCTGCATCAAAATTGTAGTTTCTTTTAACTAATTTTAAAGACATTCATTTTTATTATCAATTTAACAAATTTTATCAATTAAATCCATCTTATTTTAAATTATTGTAACTTTCATTTTTTAAAATTTCCCAATATTGATCTTACAAAAAATATTTTCTATTTAAGACAATGTTAATCATTTTTTCCAGAACAATTATCCAACAAGTGCTACATCTCAAGTAATCTTAAATAAATAAATTATTTTTATATAATATATTTTTTTCTACTGAACATCTTTATAATACTTTATAAAATTAAATACTAAATTAATCTATATTATAAATGACAAATAGAAACTATGGAACAGAGAAATAATTGAACATGTCACAATTATATTCTTAGTTGTTAGAAAATTCATGTAGTAGTTGAAAATTTCCCTTTTCACACCTTTCAGTTATTTATAGTTTTTCAAAATAAACTTTTTTTAATAAATTTTATGATTAAATTTATAGTGTAAAATTTTATTTAAAAGTAATTTATTAAATAAGTATTAAATTAAATTGTATATATATATATATAACTAAATTTGATTTTCTCTCATGTTATCATCGAGTAATATGATATGACCAGGTTTAAAAAAATAAATGTTATTGATTTTAATTAGTAAAACTTATAACCAGTAAGGTGAGTTCTTATTTTATAAAAAATAGTTTTTTGTTCTCTTTAACATCAACATGTTACTTTGTTTTTATAAAACAGTCTCTTTAGCCAGTATTTTTGTTTTTCTCAAAATAATAGTCACTTACAATTTTAATATTATCTTTAAGATAATTATTATTTCAAAACTCATTCTCTTTCTTTTCTCTTTGTTTACTCATTGTATAAAAGAAATTTTAAAATAAATATAATAAAAAGTTTTGCAATACTTTTAAATAAAAATAAGATAATTAAATATATTTCTTAATTTTTTATTCAATCTTAAATGACTATTTTAAAAATAAAAAATATTTATTAATATGAAAATACTACTTCAAAGGATTGACCAAACAGAGTAAGACAAAATTTTACTATAACATGTTAAAAGTTTGAACCTTCACTCGCCCTTTGGGTAAAGTAAATATAGTTTTTTTACAATTGTTTCTTGAGTCTAATTGTAAATAACAACCTTAACAATATATCTTATTTATTCTTTTAAAATCAGACAAAGTAAAAAGAGAATTCATAATAACGTAATTTATTTTTTCACTATTTTGTATTAAAAATATCGTTAACAAAATAAATGTTGTCTGGATGATGTTAATTAGAAGTTTTTTCTTTTTTATGTGTAGCCATTAAAACACAATACAAATTTACATTATCGAGTACGTGGATGGATGGGTAGAACCGATAGAACAAAAAAATATTAAAAATAATAAACTTCTTTGTAAATTTACACTTTAAATAAAAAAAAAGTACTATATTTCATCTTTATCTTTTTAAAATAAAAAATTAATTCATAAACTTATAATTCAAAATATAAAAAAAAATTCTAAAAGATACTAGAGTCTAATTAAATCTATGTCTCTTGTAAGGAGATTTATATAATGCAGAAGTAATAAATATGTGTTTGATAATATAAACTCCAATTTATGTTTACAAAAGTTACTATAAATAATGTTCTTAGATTACATACTATCAATTTACGTGTTTAGAATTTTTGCAATGTATATTATTTTATCGAGTATTGTAATTTTTTATTACTTTTATATACGTTAATCGTTATTGTTATGATTAGAGACGAGTTTAATCACCAATTTACGTGTTTGATTTTACTTTTGTTGAGTATTGTGATTTCTCGTTATTTTTATATGCATTAATTGTTATCGTTATTCTTAGTCAAGAATTTAATCACCAATTTACGTATTTAAAACTCTACCGCAACGTGCATCATCTTCTTTAAGCATCAAATCAAACGTGAATCAAACCCATTACTTCACGTTAGAGTAATAATTTTAACGTGAATCTAATAGAAAGAACATCAGATTTTATGAATGGAAAATATGAAAAAAAAATTACTTTCAATATTTAATTATTTTTATTTGATTAATTAATAAATTGTATGCATTTTTAAAAAATTAAAACAACTAGTAATATTATATTAGACTTTTTTTTTACTAACACGTTAGATTATTATTATTATTCTTGATTTGTCAAAATAAAATTTGAAAATCAAAATATTTTTTAAGCATCCGATGCAGTCCTTGTTAATTATATATTTTGAAACTATATATACTCCTTATTCTCTCTTCTCATGTCAAATCAAAATCGTTTTTTGGGTTGATTTTGCAATGCTTGAACAATCAGCCCAATTCATTCTCCCAGTCTAGTAAGTACTCGTATGAAGATTTTTGTTTTCATTTATCATATATATACACACACAAATTCATGCTATTTATGTGCATTGACGATGGATCATTCATGTTTTGCAGAGTGGTTGCTATGGTTCTGACTTGCATTTCTTGACAGTCCCAAACAACGCAGATCACAAATTTCTCATAAAGTTCACATTCTTTTCTAAGTAACAATATTCATGTTTCTTTGTTCTCACTGTTACATTGGCACAAGGCATAACAAACTTTAATCACGTCCATTTTCCGCTTGGTCCTGTTTGCACCCCATCGCTTAAAACATCACAAAAGATGTCAGAAACAAATCAAAATTCTCCATTGATCCAATCAAAGCTTCCTGATTTAAAACAATCAATGACATTGAAATACGTGAAGCTAGGCTATCACTACCTCATCACCCATGCAATGTTACTGTTCTTATCACTTTTTGTGGTTCTAATATCGCCATGTCTCTCCACACTCTCAGTCCAAGATTTGCATGACATTTGGGGCTATATGCACTTCAATCTCATATTTGTGTTCCTTTGCATAGCTCTCCTTGTGTTCTTGTTGACCCTTTATTTTCTATCTGGGCCTCTACCAATTTACCTTGTTGATTTTTCATGCTACAAAGCTGAGGATGCACGCCAATGCCCAAGGCAGATATTCATGGATTGTGCTAGTATGACAGGAGCTTTCACTGACCAAAGCCTCGAGTTCCAGCGCAAGATTCTGGAACGATCGGGGCTTGGTGAGTCAACATACCTCCCTGAAGCTGTTACAAGAATTCCTCCAAACCCATCAATGGCAGAGGCCAGGAAGGAAGCTGAGGCTGTCATGATTGGTGCTGTTGAAGAGCTATTTCAGAAGACAAGGGTGAAGCCAAAAGACATTGGATTTCTGATTGTGAACTGTAGTTTGTTTAACCCCACACCTTCTTTGGCTGCTATGGTTATTAACCATTACAACCTTAATGGGAACATTCTTACTTACAATCTTGCTGGCATGGGTTGTGGTGCTGGTTTGATTTCTATTGATCTTGCCAAGGAACTTCTTAGTGTTCATCCAAATTCTTATGCTCTCATCATTAGCATGGAGAACATCACCTTGAACTGGTATTTTGGGAATGATAGATCAATGCTTGTTTCTAACTGTTTGTTTAGAATGGGAGGAGCTGCAATCTTGCTTTCTAACAAGAGGTGGGATAGATTTCGATCCAAGTATCAGTTGATGCACACAGTTAGGACTCACAAAGGTGCTGATGACAAGAGCTTCTCTTGTATTACCCAAAGGGAAGACTCCACAGGAAGGGTTGGTGTTTCTTTGTCAAAGGATCTCATGACAGTTGCTGGTGATGCTTTGAAGACCAACATTACTATTTTGGGTCCTCTTGCGTTGCCAATGTCTGAACAGTTGATCTTTTTTGCCAACTTAGTAGCAAGAAAAGTTTTCAAGATGAAAATGAAGCCTTATATACCTGATTTTAAGTTAGCTTTTGATCATTTCTGCATTCATGCGGGTGGAAGAGCTGTGCTGGATGAAATCGAGAAGAACCTCCAACTCACAGACTGGCACATGGAACCCTCCAGGATGACCCTTTACAGGTTTGGCAACACTTCCAGCAGCTCACTTTGGTTTGAATTGGCTTACATTGAAGCCAAAGGAAGGATAAAAAGGGGCCATAGGTTATGGCAAATTGCATTTGGATCTGGATTCAAATGCAACAGTGCAGTTTGGAAGGCTCTCAGGAAAGTGAACCCAGAAAAGGAAAACAATCCATGGAAGGATGAAATTCATCAGTTTCCAGTTGATGTTCCCAAATTCTCAGCTATCTAGGCGACGTGGCAACATTATGCAGCTTCATTTGCCCATTTAGTAAAGTTGTGAAACTATGATATTCAACTATGCGATGTTTTTTTCTTAAGAACATTATCAAGTTATTTATTTAGGTTGTAGCCTCATTATCAAAGTTCATGATTCAGATTGTATCCACCACCCAATTGGGGTCAAACAATAAAGAATAAAAATCCATTTTAATTTCTTAAATTATAAGTGTGGATCACTTTAATCATACTTTATAAACATCATGCTTTGATCTTTTACTTTGTAAAACAATAATGATTTTAGTATCTTTTAATATAAAACAAAGTAGAAAAAGATCAAAACAAATATTTAAAAAAAACCAAGGACTAAAATATTTTTTTTATAAAATTGAAAATTAAAATGATCTAAACTTACAATTTAAAGAATTAATTTGGTTGTCGATTCATTTCCCTTGCATCCTGATAGGGTTGATGGCCCAAATGGTTAGTTATTGGATCTAAAGGAGAGGCCCAAAGCATGAAGAGTGTATGTCAGGAAAACGAAGATGCCATCCGTTCATTCATGGAGAGATATGAATTTAGTTCTGGCAAAGAGAAGAGAGTATCTGGAAACGAATGAAACGAGCGGCAGAAGACTGGTCCACCAAGGATTTGCCAAATCTTGCATATGCCAAGCAGTTCAAAACATCATAGAGAATAGGGTGAACAAGAAAATTAACCATGTTCTAACATACATTCTAATTCCTAAACAGCTGGTCTCATGTAGCTTGAAGCACCACAGCACAGAAGCCAGCATGTCAGTCAATACAGGTCAAATAAAGATATAAGAATTACTACAGGAGGTCTCTTACTACCAAACTAACACAACAGGCAAATTATCCACTAGTCAAAATACCATCAAATTTACAGTAATACTCATCTCCAAGGTTAATCAGAATATTCTTTCAACCCTCACTCCTTTGAGGATTTGTTGATAAGAGACTTGTGGATATGAGGAATAACACCACCACCTGCAATCGTTCCTTTAATGAGGGTGTCAAGTTCTTCATCTCCGCGTATAGCAAGCTGTAAATGTCTTGGGGTAATACGCTTCACCTTCAGATCCTTGCTTGCATTGCCAGCCAACTCCAATACCTCTGCCGTTAAATACTCCAAGATAGCAGCAGAATACACTGCAGCTGTGGCCCCAACTCTTCCATTGGCAGTCACCCTTTGCTTCAAAAGACGATGGATACGACCAACAGGGAACTGTATCAAAACATAAAGTTGACACATCAGAGGACATGAAATGTATTAAGTTATTACACCAACAAACAAAAGACCAAGCAAGCACAAACAGGATTTCATCCAAATTTGAACCAACAACAGAATTTTCTTCATGCCCTAATAATTAGGGCCATTACAAGAGTAACCGGAACACGAGTCAACAACTTGCAGAAAGGTAACAGCCCATGAGCTTGAAGCTCGTCTTAAAAGATTTGTATGTGATGATGATATGTTAGATGTTTTATCATTCCATCAGGGACTCATACTATTCCCCTGGTCCACACAGGCGCTTTCACGTTCAATTTATCCAATAAAAAAAACTAATCTACTAATTGTGACCTTGATTATGGTTGCCTAACCCCTCAAGGATAAAAAAAACCAAAGCCATCTTCTGCTGACAGAAATGTGATTCTACTGCAACAATAACTCTGTTAGGTCGTCCCCCATCAAACACAAGTTTGCTCCAAAACATTCGTTGGACTAGAAGTTAAAAAAAAATAACTTTTGCATCAAAGTTGAAAAATTTATACTAAGTGCGTGTTTGAATGACCACAAATTCACATTTACTTTAACACTGAGTTTGAATGACCACAAATTCACATTTACTTTAACACTGAGTTTGAATGACCATAAATCCGCTTTTACTTTAACACTAGTAGTTATAGCTTTTGCATTGAATCCATGTTTACAGATTGTTTTCATAGAATTCAAATACACATTAAGTAAACTCGCGAAAAAGACTTGTCTTGTAATAAACTGCTCCACTTCAAACCCACTTTTAATTAAAATAAATTTTGCAAATTTAATCAACTTTGCCAGAACAGCCCACCCAAACACACCAAGTTCTCACAAATCATCCTCCAAAGTTCAATTCTCAAATTCCAATAAGATTATTATTATCAACAACCCTGACCTAACGGTAGCACCTATCCACATTCGGGAGGAAATAGAGAAGAGGAAGAAGAACAGATGAACAAGAACGAACAAGAACGCAGAACACATAATTATTTCACTAATTAGTCAAAGTTACCACAGAATACATCCAATTGGGAACAAGAACGCAGAAACACAAAAATTAGATTGAAGTCAACCTCGGCTTAGACTTGATGAAAACAAAAAGAAAATAACAGAAATCTAAACATAATCTAGTTTATAGTTATTTAGTTAACAGGCAAAATACCATAAAACAGGATACTAATTATTTTATTAAAAAAAAGACAGAATTTATAATTCAAATAAAATCCTAAAATCAGTTATTCCAAACATAGTCATGAGAAGATCCGATCGGAGAGCCCTAAAGTGAAAGACCCCACCTTGAGTCCAAATCTAGAATTAAAATATGAAGGGCGTTCAATAAAAATAATTATTTATTTATTTCGGTAAATAAAAAGAGAAAAAAGGATAAAATGATAGAGAGAGACCTGAAGACCAGCGCGAGAGGAGCGAGAAACAGGTTTTTTCTTATCCTTATCCTTATCCTTGTCCTTCCCTGAAGCTGGGGTTTTACCCGTTATAAGCCCCTTTGCACCCTTTCCTGACATATCGATCGATTATTAACTCACCAAACCACACCACACTCAACCAAACCCTTTCTTTCTTCCTTCCTTCCTTTCAGTTTCAGATTTCCAAACAAGAGAGGGTGCGTAAGGGTTGGGTCTTTCTTCTTCTTTTATTTCATTCCCTACACATTTCTTAACTTAAACATCCTTACTTCATCTACTTAATTACCATAATGCCACTCTTCCCTTCTGTCAGTCAAGTGTGTTACTGTTATCAACTTCTGCAAAAGTTTTGAACATTAATTTGATAATCAGAAATGCATGTTCAAGAAATTTTATATATATTTATGTGCCAACCTTGAAGTGAAACAAAAGAAAGTGCTGTTTTTAAAGGTGATTTATTATAAATTTACATTTTTTTAATTACTCTTAAGTGCATTCTTTACTAAATAAGTTATGTAAAATTAGACTACACATCCTTAATAGTGGCCAGCATCCATCACTTGGCAGATGAGAGAATAAAAACAAAATCAAATGAGCTTAGCGTACTGAATGTAAATTTTTTTATACTATTAATTAATTAAAATATATCATACAAATTAAAAAATTTGTGAAAATTTTTAAAATAATGTGCTGATTGCTATGTAGTGTTAAGATAAGCTTGAGAGATCTATTATATTTTTGCTATGCACAAGAATGAACAGTTTAACAAAGACTAAATAATGGTAAATCAATTTAGTTTCAAAACTTGAAATTTATAATGTCATTTTCATAATAAATTTAATTTTGCCATTAGTCAATAGGATACTGCCTTTATGAACCAAACTAATAATTGCTGCCAAATTCGTTGAAAGTTTCGTAGTTCACCTCTGGTCTAAATTTGAGATATTTTCCATAAATTATATTTACAATGAAAATAGTTTATATATAAGTTTTAAACACAAAATTGTACTTCAAAAAATTAAACATGTAGAATTTAAATTAACGCTCATTGTTATAGTACTTTTAATTATAATAATTCAAATTCATTTTTTGTAATTCTTTAATTATTCGAAGTAAATCTTTGTTACGTGTCAAATTTATATCAAACATTCAATATAAATACAGTAAGTTGATACATTTCCAATCTATACTGATCATTATACTGGTACAAATGCAAGTTCATCTACACATTGTCTGCAGCAATAGCCACAACCACTAACTTTTATGGCAACAAAATTACCAGGCTCTTCCTCTTGCACAATGACGCTTTCAAACCCTGCAATTTGGGAAAATTACCGTGTTTTCAGAAGCCAAAAAATAAATAAATTTTACTGCACATTTCAATAAATCAATAAACACTCAGGCATTCATCTAAAATTGGAAAAGACTTACATGGATGAATACATGTAGTTGGAAGTTTTAAAACATTGGTGGAAGATTATTTTTTTTATGTATGATATTTAAAAATAATATATCTAAAGTATGATGTTTTTAAAAATATTAAAAGTTATTTTAATAATTTTTTATGTAAGTACTGATATTCAGAAATAAAATAATATAAAGTTAAAAAATTTGAAAACTTGTGTGAATGGCATATATTAAAACTTGTTTTCCACTTAAACAAAACGAAAAATAATTTGTTTACAATAAAACAAAGAAGAGTGGAAGATTCTAAGATTCTTATCCAACATTTGAATTTTTCAACAACTAACCTTGATATTACATAGGCAAAACCAACACGAAACAGAAGCAATAATAAATTAAGAGAGAAAAGCAGAACAATTAAGCAAATCACACATTCAGGGTTGAATTACTTACTGTTGGAATTCAATGTTAAGGAAGGAAGAAGAAGAACTAGCTATGGCCTGAAAAGCAGTGGTGGAGAGAACCATAGATGTTCCAGTAACGGAAGGCCTAGAAACAGAGGACTGTGCTCTATCAACAATCTTAATCTGAATGGTCTGGCCAGGAATGCATGTTCCAGGAGCTGCTGCGCTTATACACCTCACCTCGTACTGTCTTCCACATGCGGCACCATTGTCCCATATTCCTTCCCCTGCTGCACCAAACATGTTACTCGATGGGAATTGTGATGCGTCTCTACCGAAACACGCCGTTGCTGTGTCATCACAACACACAGTAAGATAAATCCACTTAATTAGAGTATACACTACTTTGCCAATGTTTTGAGTTGAATCCAGATTTGGTCCATTTGTGATGATGATGATACATACATCAAAGTTAATTTCAAATATATTATAATACTTGTGATGATGACTTACGTAAAAAGGGAGAGCCATATTGGGCAGCAGTGCCAACGTCAGCCAGAGAGTAGTGGATGAACAATGTTGAGAGGACGAGACATAACAGGATTAGGGGTTGGAAATGAAGATGAACCTTGGACATTGCTGCAGAGGGAGGGAAAAAAATTAAGGAATCGAATAAACGTGAAGCCAAGTTGCTGAGAAAAATAATGTTCATAGCAGAGTCAGCGCTGCAAATCTATGGTCAGCACAACGGCGCGCCAACCCTTTTCGTTAATTTTTAGGGAATCACGTGCCTTGCAATTATTTTCTCCAGTTTCTAGAAATTTTCACCAGTTATTAGTAATTTTCGGTTGAAAAAACCATTACTTAAATATTACTCTTCTATAATTGCAGTCTCTTGGCTTTAGGATAAGAGAATGACCTAAATAGTGTTTTTGCAAATTAAAATTATATTTTTTTCAAAGAATTAAATTAATATTGTTTTAAATTTTTATGTATATGGCTTTGAAGTTGGATTCTATTTTTCCATTCTCAGAACATTTACAGTTGAAAGTTGTGAAAAAAAGTCATGCCAAGCATTTATTAGTCCTCCTTTTGTTACATTCCAGTCAAATGCACCCTCAGACGTCATATTTTCCTGTAATAAAACTTATATATAACTCATCGTGTCACGAAAAATTAGAATGAACTTTTATAATGGATTTTGAGTTATATTAGTTTCTTAAAATATCTAAAAAAGATAATGTTAACATTTAATTTTATGAAAAAATAGTTATTTTAATTTCCTTTGTCATTTTATATTAAAATATATCTAAAATTATTGGGTCTGAGATGCCGGCCACCGCGGGTTGGTGGTTAGGAGTTGGGACATGAGCTTTTAAAGTTTAATTATACGTATAAATGCAAAATCTTGAGAGTGAAGAGATGTAAAGCGCATGGACGTACCTGGTGATGTGTTCAACGCACAGCGATGTCGAATTGTGAGGAATGATCTACGAGGAAGACGATTGAGTAACTGATATGGAAAATCAATTGATACTATTTATATATAGTCATTAATCCTAGTATTTATTCGGAATAGACATTCTTAAATGTTAATTATTTAATCTATATACATGAGTATGCGAAATTAATACTCTATATATTGTTTGCTTGCAAGGGTTACGTTGCTTGATCAATTGATTAGATTCCTATTAAAGGAGTTAATTATTTTGATATTACGTATTTTAGTGAGTAACGTGCGGGCCACGAACCTTTCGGTCGGGAACAATGTTCTAAGCTTAATCACTAATCCATGTTTTACAAATTTCAGTTTGCAAACAAAGACGCTTATTATTCTTTAAATTGTTGTTATTATATATAGTTATTTATAAAAATGTAAACTTTATTCCCTAATTATTAAATTACATGCAGATTTATTATAAAATAAAATACTTGTAAATTAATACAAGTAAACTAGTTATTGCTAATTTTTGAAACATCATAATTTATGAATTGTTTGATGAATATATTAAGATGATATAAATGATAATTTAATAAAATGTCTTTATTATTTTTTAATATGTCTATAATGTATTAAAAAATTAAATATATATAGCTCAAACCATCACCAGTTAATTATATCAATTGAATGATTTAATAACAGGACTATAAAAAAGAAACTCTCTAAAATCCAAAAAAAGGATAAATAATTGGGTAATCAGGAACTGTGTAATCCAAGCCGTTCATGTTGTACTGTCAAAATTTTATAATTTACAAGAAAAATTTATACATGTTACAACTTGAGTGGTTTAGGGTAAAATTTCTCCAAAAAGGGGTAGAAAAAAAGAAGAAACTGTGATTGTGATAGTTGTTGCAAGTATGATATGTAGAAATGTGGTGAACGAGTAGGTGGTTTAGATTGCAGGCCTTTGTCGTCAGGGGGGCTAATCGCTATTACCCTTTGTCTCTTCTTTCGTTTTCATTCATCCGATCACATCAAATTTTCTTTTTTCTTTTTCAATTAATTTTTGGTTGTGGCGAAATTGCTAATACCTCTAGCACTGCAATCATGGTTCCCCTTGAACCGTGGTGAACTTGGAAGATTCCACAAACAATATTTGGTTTGGTTTCTCCATGGCCACTGCTCCTTCTGCTTACCCATTTGGAGTCCCTTACCACTCCCACGTTGGAACAGTGGATTGCATAACTTCCCAGTTTCCCCTTCACCTTCACCTTTCAACCACTCCCCTGTGCGCACGTTCTACTTCTAAGGTATCTATCTCAATTACTCTGTTTTGTGGATTGGATAGAACTCAATTAACATCAATTTCAATGCACATTTTTGTGGCAAGTTTATATCTAGTTCTATAAGGTTCACAAGCATTCTCCATGCAAATGCGATAACTTGGATTAACAAATTTTAAGGACATGTTTAGTTTGAGAAAATGTTTTCTGTTCTGAGTTTTAATTTCAAAGATTTGTATGGGAAACAATGATATAAATCTTTGAAGATTGAAAATAGAATGAAAACAAGGTGATAGTTTTGTTATTATATATCAAAAAGCTCCTTAGTTTTACAGTGTTATTTACTTCTCCATTACAGCAAATACTTACATTTATTTAATATTACTGGATGAGTGAGTAGTATCTAAACAGGGTTCTGGATGCAGGGATTAATTGATCGAGTATGTGCACAACCTGATGATGGTTTCCACTGGGACGAAGTTCCAACACCCATTCTTGACATGGTTGAAAACCCTCTTTGCTTGAAGAACTTATCTCTTAAGGTTATCTGTAAGCTTGTTAACATTTTTTCAGAGCAAATAACATTCATACTCCCTGAGATTTGACAAAATTTCAACTTATTCCCCTCCTTTTTCTACAGTACACAGAGTTCTCTTAATTTATGTAATAACATAACACCTAATACTCTCGATTACACAAATTACTACTGATTTCTTATGCAGTGATATGAATTAGGGGAGGTTAAAGTAATGTCAAAAGAGGGAGGGGTATCAAGTGAAATTTTGTCAAACCTCAAGGAGTGTGAATGTAATTTGCCCTTTTTCTTTTATCATTTTCAGTTTGCTTTTACATCATTTGTACTTACAATCTTGAAGTATCACATTCCCTGAATAACTGTCTTTGCAGGAACTGAAACAACTAGCAGTTGAAATCCGTTCGGATTTGTTTTCGATCATGTCAGGTACACAAATATCACTGAAAGCAAGTATGGCAGTGGTGGAGCTGACAGTTGCAATACATCACGTTTTTCATGCTCCAGTAGACAAGATATTGTGGGATGTTGGGGATCAAGTAAGATTTTAAATTATTGGTTTTTCTAATCTGTGCCCTGAGGGCACATGTTAAGGAGCACTAAATACATCCTATTAAATGCTTTAAATGCATTAAATTATTGTAAAAAGTATGCATTGAATGCCGGTTATGATTTTGAGATTATAAATATTTTCATTTTGAATAAAAACTTCTTATTTAAACTTTTTAACATGTGCCACGCAAGTTCTCCGTTCTTGTTTTAAATTTTCCTTTTTCCTTTTGGGGATGAAAGTTCAATGCAAATCACAGATTGTTAAAATAGTTATTTCCTAGGAGTTCATTTTGCCACAAACCAATGAATATTCCTTTTTCTCAGTATAGTTTCTAAGAAATCAATGAAGGACCTGTTTTTGGTTGTGTAACCGTTTCCTCATTTGTGTGCAGACATATGTGCATAAAATTCTTACAGGAAGGCGATCCCTCATGAACACAATGAGACAAAAGAATGGCCTTTCTGGTTTTACTTCCCGATTTGAGAGTGAATATGATGCATTTGGTGCTGGTCATGGATGCAACAGTATTTCTGCTGGACTTGGTAGTTTGTAAATCCTTTTCCCTTTTTTATAATGTTAATTCTTTCAAATATTATTCCAGTTTTGTTCATATTGTTTTAATTTTCATTTACGGTTCTACGGTTTTGAGTTGATAAATTATACTTTTTTTCTGCAATGAATAAGGATGCTTCACATTTTCCTTTTTAGATGAATTAATTAAAATTCCTAGAGGTGAGTTCAAAATGATCTCAAAGTCGTATATATAATATTTATTTCAGGCATGGCAGTGGCACGGGATATTAAAGGGAGGCGAGAACGTGTCGTTGCAGTTATCAGCAATTGGACAACTATGGCTGGTCAGGTGTACGAGGCAATGAGCAATGCAGGATATTTGGACTCAAATATGGTGGTGATTTTGAATGATAGCCGTCACTCTTTACTACCAAAACTTGAAGAGGGTCCGAAGACATCTGTCAGTGCCCTATCTAGTACCCTGAGCAAGCTCCAGTCCAGTCAGTCTTTCCGAAGATTTAGGGAAGCTGCTAAGGTATGCTACCTGTCCTCCACCTTTGCAGAGAAAAATGTTATATAGCCGTAAATTAGTCATGCAGGGTCCACATGATAATGCCATGTTATTCAACTTTAGTTGAGCCTGATGATAAAAAAAACATCTTTACCTGCTAAATAACTTATAACTTTTAGTACAAAATGGATTAAATTTAATACACTTAGAGAAATGATATTATGATATGATCTATGGCCTGTCAAAAATATTCATCACCTTTTCTTTTTTAATATCGTGTGACAGCTGAGATCTGTCCGTGTGTATTTGGAAAGATAAATAAATGTGTAAATCTGCTTCTGACTTCCCCAAATATGTGGTTGTCTGTGCGTCTTTTGCTCTAGTGTTTCTATGTTACCATCTCATATAAACAAATAATATGATTAATAAGTAACAATGATGGTCCATTTTTTATATTCCAATTTTCATATCTCAATGCTCTGCGCATTCACATTATGATCAAGTGACAATTTGGCTAGTTTATCACAGGGTGTTACAAAACGAATTGGGAGAGGTATGCATGAGTTGGCAGCTAAAGTTGATGAATATGCTCGTGGTATGATGGGTCCACTTGGTTCTACACTTTTTGAAGAGCTTGGGTTGTATTACATAGGCCCTGTAGATGGACACAATATTGAAGATCTAATATGTGTTCTGCAAGAAGTTGCTTTGCTTGATTCAATGGGATCTGTCTTGGTTCATGTGATAACTGATGAAAATCAAGCTAACAAAAATAGTCAGAAAAATGATATAACAGACAGGCAGCAGGATGGTATTTCTTTTGCTGTTTTCTATCATAATTGTATTGTATGCAATATTCCATTGCATTTGATTTCTTGTAAGATAGCTTATCGAGCCTGTAATGAACTTACACTCTAGTTCGTTTTTTTTTTTTTTTTTTTTTGGTTTTCCATTTACTTCATTTGTTAATTAGCTTATAGGTAAACTCTGTGCAATAGTTGAAGATAACTTGCTCATAAAGGATATGATATGATACATTGATACTACCTAAAACAACAAGAACAAACCAATGAGCCTCATCCAATCATCCCACTAGGTGGAGTTCGCTACATAAATTAATGGACACCATTGGGCTTTACCAAAAACCAAATTTCAGTAAAACCTTTTAGAACAAATTTTTTAAAAATTATTTGTCTGAATGTTTTTGTAGGTTTCCTTCAATCCCTTTTAAAATTATTTCCATGCCTTTTGACCTTTTCCTGAATCCTGATTCGCACTGAAGCCAGCAACACATTTATTTGGCTTCTTATCTGGATTCTGGGAGATATAAGTAATATTCATATACGTGTAGTGCCATATCTTCTAAATGTAGCTTCTTTATGGGCTTGACTTTCGCAGCATTTTGAAAATTTGATTGATATTTGATTTGACCAAACAGTTATTAATGAGCTATTTATGTTAACTTTTCAGATTCTGTTAAATCTGAATCCTTAGATAAGGCTGCTCGAACTCAAACATACGATGATTGCTTTGTGGAGACTTTGGTTGCAGAAGCTGAGAAGGACAAAGATATTGTGGTTGTTCATGCAGGAATAACGATGGAGCCATCACTTGAACTGTTTCGGCAAAAATTTCCAGATAGGTTTTTTGATGTGGGAATGGCTGAGCAACATGCAGTCACATTTTCTTCTGGCCTGTCATGTGGTGGATTGAAGCCATTTTGCATTATACCTTCTTCCTTTCTACAAAGAGCCTATGACCAGGTCCAACCTTATACCTGCCTACTATACCTACTTGTATGCAGATTGCAGAATGGATAGTTAAAGTACCTTACATAATGGTTTGATATCAGCAATTATTTTTTTTTAACATGTTACATATAACATGTAGGTGGTACATGACGTTGATCAACAAAAAATTCCAGTGCGTTTTGTCATTACAAGTGCAGGATTGGTAGGTTCTGATGGTCCCCTCCAATGTGGAGCATTTGATATAACCTTTATGTCATGCTTACCAAACATGATTGTCATGGCGCCTTCTGATGAGGTTGAGCTCATGCACATGGTAGCTACTGCTACTTGTATCAACGATCGGCCAGTCTGCTTTCGGTATCCAAGGGGTGTCCTGGTTGGGGAAGACCGCACTGTAGGTGATGGAATCCCCATCAAGGTAACTGGAAAACACTATTTTCTTGATGCATTGCGAGTTGATCTTTTCTTTTGTTTTTGTTTTTTTTTGGGTCAAAATTGTGACTTGTTCTGAAAATGATTACTTTTAAAAGGGTAAGGTAAACTAATTATCGAACCTAAGGAAACATTGTCCATTCTAACTTCCCAAATTATTTGTAATAATGTTGTTTAATACATCTTCCATCTTTAATTTTGGAGTGGCTGTAATCTATTCATACACAGATTGGAAGAGGAAGAGTTCTTATTGAAGGTAAAGACGTTGCTTTACTAGGATATGGGACGATGGTTCAGAACTGCCTTAATGCTCATTCACTTCTTGCTAAGCTTGGTGTTGAGGTGACCGTTGCTGATGCAAGGTTCTGCAAGCCGCTTGACATCAAGCTTCTGAGGCAGCTTTGTAAACACCATTCTTTCCTAATTACTGTTGAGGAAGGATCTATTGGAGGGTTTGGTTCCCATGTTGCTCAGTTTATTGCACTTGATGGACTGCTAGATGGAAGAATTAAGGTAATCAGTTCAAGCTATGTGGAAACGATATACTTGTATTAAGGTTCTAAGAATATTTGGGATTGTGATTGTGATTGTGTATTGATAGAAACCCAGTCAGTATCTTGTAGAAAGGGAAAATCTCCCTTGACTACAGCACTGCAGAACATTGAGGGCCTGCACCTCTCAATGCCCCATTGGCCCCTATTCTCTTACAAATGACAAGATACTCATCTCTCTCAACCTCTCCTAGGCAACCTGCCTTTATTCTTGTCTATCTCAGCCCTACAAACTAACAGATATTAACGACTAACTAACTATCTAAATAATAACAGATATCGATAACATACAGCTATCTAACAGTTATTCAGTTTCTTTTTATAATTGGCATAAAGATATAAAATTGACAAATTTCATTTCTGTACCTCTTTGAATTTCTTGGTGGGAAGATATTAGTTTTTGGATTCATGATGTGTGGGTCTATCTATCTGAATGCGGAATCTTAAAATTTGGGGTGGGCGCACATGCAACTAGCTTGGCTTCCCTTCCATAAAGTATATTGTTGATTTTATATTGTTTCAAAGATCATTTGGTAATTTTAGTATGTTGTGTTTGTTGCATTATTATATATACATAGCCTTGACATACCTAGGTATGACTAAATTTTGTCTTTTGGAACCAAGTTTCTGATATTCTGTTCCATTTTTTTTCTGGATCAACTCTTGTAGTGGCGACCAATTGTATTACCAGACAGTTATATTCAGCATGCATCACCAAATGAACAGCTTGACCAAGCAGGGTTGACTGGACATCACATTGCTGCCACAGCTTTGAGTTTGCTTGGCCGTACCCGTGAAGCTCTCCTATTTATGTGTCCCTAACTTGCATAGGAGAATCGAGAATGCAAAGGGTTATATAACTTATATTAGGTTTAATGATAATCTCTTTTTGTACTATTGTACAGTTCAGCTTTACTTGTCCGGTCATGAATGCCATTTTATTTGTATAGAACTGATGCCAATTAGAAAGAGAAGCTAGTATTTACTGTGGTAGTCTAATAAATCAAAATCTATGATCCCAAAGAGAATGTGTTACTTATGTGATTTTGTTAACAATGATTTTTAGGGCTAATTTTAAACATTCAAAAGTAATAATTTTTATTAAGAAAAAATTATTTATTATATTAGAAATATAGAAGTGTAATTTGTTTTTTTATTTTTTGGCAATCTTTTAGTTGTTTAAATTCAAAAAGAAAATCGATGATGATGTTTTTCTTTAATTTAAAAGTTTAATTTTTTTTAAAATATTCATTTAAGCAGAACAAACAAGTGGCAGGTACATGGATATCCTGAAATAATACGGGAGAGGACTTTTATTCAAACAACATCACCTAAGTCAAAAATACCAGTTCTAAGTCAAAATTCACGATGCCAAGTAGAATGCAGTTCCAATTTTTGAAATCACTAAAATAATGGTATTGTTGAGAGCTGATTGTTTTATAGGTGATATCATTAATGAGCAGCAGTGTGCTTAACTGATAAAAACAAAAGTGCCCTTAAGGTATTAGTTAAAGTCCTTCTAGATAACCAATCTTTGAAATCTGTCATATCCTTCTCTCAAATATACAAGCCAAGAGGGGATACAAACCATATTTGCCTCACATTTTATGTAAAATTTAGCAAGCAGCTGGGTTATCATATCACCCCTTTCAACTTTTTAACATAACAATAATAATGTCATATCATGTATTTATTTTATTATATTTATCATATACTAATTTTTTAATTTCTTTGTATATTTAAATAAAGAACCTTACTAACTAGTGCACTTGGGGCTTCAATTACAAAATTAATAACTTGTTTTTTTATTAAAAATTATTATTAAAATATAATAATAATAAAAATGAGTATATTTTTATGTTTTAAAACAAAATTTTTAATTTTTAATTTCTTAACCACTATCTCTAGGAGATTGGTTAGCATTTTTCTTAAATAAATTACTTAATAAGAATTTATTCATAAATTTAACTTTAATATTTATTAAAAGCACTAAAATTTTTATTTTAATAAAATTTATTGTAAAATATAGAAATAATAATAATTTATTTTTATAAGTTCAAATAAATTATTTTAAAATTTCTTGTATTTACTTCTTAAGCTTACACTGTAGTTTTTAGCTCTGTTTTACTAAATGTACGGTTAGTTTACATTGTTTTTAATAAAATAAATGTTTTTACTAATTTCTTAAGATTTTAAAATAGATTATTATTAAAATAATCATGACCACAAACATTTTAAGTAAGTAGGTCCTTTCGTCGAAGTTTCAAACTAGAGTGTTTGCGTGCGTACGTATGAAAACCAAATGGGCTCTACACCGACATAAAAAGAAAGTGTATTTGATTTGAAATGTGTTTTGAATGGGTGCAGATTTTGTTTGACCCAAGGGACAAAATGGATTAGACAAGATTGCAAATCTAATTTTAGATAAATTTTGGCTGAATAAATATTATTTGAATAATAACGATTGAAATGACTTCGGTTTTTAATTATAAAAATAATAAAATAATATTTTAAATTGCAATATTTATAGTACATGTTATTATTTCAAATGCGGTTTAACGAAATACATAAATGTCGCTATAACTTTTTATTTAATAGTAATGCATAGGCTTTCTCTTAAAAAATAATTTACATGTATAGTTAGTGTAAAAAAATAATAATCTATCATCTAATAGTATATGTTATCTCATTATTTAATGAATTAAGCGATGCAATAATGGATAGTTAAATGATAATATCAATTTATATTACTAATAATTGTGATTTTATAAAGGGACAAGAGAATTAAGTTAAATTGGCTCCTTACACGCCATTCAAAGAATAAAAAAAATAAACAAAAAGGAAATAATTATGGAAATTATAAGAAAAACACAAAGATCCAAAAAAGGCCAGGTCAGAGTCTGCATACGCGGTTCGGTGAGGTCTCACTCTTACGAAAATGTGAACCAGTTTCCGTGTGACACCGATGATGCATGCACACATGCAATTCATGCATTTCGCATGAAATTTTAATGTTTTTTATTATTATTATCATTATTTTCCAGCTGGAGAATCGTTCTTCGGCCGACAGTTGGACTCCACTAACAGACTTCGATTAATGAATTAATAAACGGTTGGGGCGTGTGGGGCCAACATGGGAGGACGCGAGAGGACTAACATTGGTTCTACGTGGGACCCTCCAAAATCCTAGGATGTTGAAAGTTGAAACGGATCTCCCTATTTGGTTCCAATAATTCCGATTCTTATTTTTGCATTGGCACCTGAGATTCCCTCTCTCTCTCTCTGCCTGCCGGTGTGCCTCTCTGTCTACCAACGCCGCTCTAGAGAGAGAAAGAGGGCCCAACCCCACCAAACTTACTCTGCATTCTGTGGGGTCTCTCTCTCTCTCTCTCTCTCTCATTCGCTTCTTTTTCACTGTTTCCATTTGTTATATTAATCTTTTCTAAGCCTTTTTACGCCATCAAATCATGCTTTTGTTTTGGACTCTTCCAGTGATAGACGCAGTTGCCGCTGCCTGAAGCCTCCGTCTTTGGGCTTCCCTCGTTCCAAGCACATTTGCCGCTTCATCTCAAAAGTGAGAACCCATTCTCTTTCCTCTTCTCTCATCACCTTCTTGTAATTGTTCACATTTTTCATCTTTAAAAAATTCCTTTTTTTATTTTTATAATGCCATTCCTTGTTCACATGCAGCGTGTGGACTCTGACCCGTCCTTGATTTCCTAGAACCTTACCACTAAAAATAACACCCATTGGTTTAATACATTGAGAGGAAGACAGAAAGAAAGGAAACAAAAGTAATGTACCGCGTAATAAAAATAAAGAGATACAGAATGTTTAATAAATAGTTAAATATTTATAAATAACTTTAATTTTGAGAAAAAAACACACTACTAATATATATATATATATATATTGCCTGTGCTGTATACACTCACAGCAACTGAAGAAATGCATTTTATCACGTGTATCCAACTGTTTAATGTCCTCTTTTGAAGTGTCAAATTTTGTCCCATTTGATTGTATTTTTCGGTCATTCACTCCCATCGTTTTCTCCCCTCTTCTTATATATAAGCATGCTAATCCCCCTCTTTTCTTTCCCGAGTATTTCAAATGCAATCAGTTTTTTCAAATTTGTCAAATTGATATATATAATTAACCTGTGGATAATTTCCTCCATCAGTTGTGGGAAGCATGGGAAAGCCATTCAAGGGAATAATTCAAGATGTCAAAGGAAGAGCTCAATGCTATAAACAAGATTGGGCTTGTGCACTCTGTACTGGCGTTAGGTAATTCTTCTGTAACTTGGGCGACACATTATTATCAGCAAAATGCTGATTCATTCTTCTTTGATTAATGGCAGCATATTGGCTCCAACGTTCTACATATTCTTTGCTTCTGCTCTTCCTGTCATTGCTTTTGGAGAGCAACTTAGTAGGGATACAGGTAAACAATCTCTTCTATCAACATCCACAAATCTTTGAGCCAAGAGTTATTTTCAGTGTTTTTTGGTGGATACTTGATATCAATACCATGCTTGTTATTCTATAAATGAGCTCAAATATCATGTTTATCTGCAGATGGAAGCTTGAGCACAGTGGAAACACTTGCATCTACTGCTATTTGTGGAATTATCCACTCAATACTTGGTGGCCAACCATTGTTGATTTTAGGAGTTGCTGAACCCACTGTTATAATGTACACTTATCTCTACAGTTTCTCCAAGAAAACACCAGAACTAGGTGCCAAGCTCTTTCTGGCTTGGGCTGGTTGGTACGATACTTCACATTATAAGTCTGCTCTTGCTTTCCACGATTTCCTAATAACATGTTTGGTTTCGATTTAGAATGCATGTAGATCCATGTTTACTTCAACACGCGAACATACAGTAGTAGCTTCTGCATTGAGTCCATGTTTATAATTTTTTAACTTTTTTCCAAAACAAGCGAATCTGAGTACAACGGCATATTCGACTAACCTCAATGTTCATCCGTGTTGCAGGGTTTGTGTTTGGTCAGGATTCTTCTTGATTCTGCTTGCAATTTTCAATGCTTGTAATATTATCACAAGGTTTACAAGAATTGCTGGGGAGTTATTTGGGATGCTAATAACTGTTCTTTTCTTTCAAGAGGCTATAAAGGTGTTGCTTCCCCTTCCTAGCAATAGATTGTGATTTTGACACTGTAGGGATCAACTTGACAATTGTTTGAGCCTTGAATTGAACCACAGGGATTGATAGGTGAGTTCAGCACGCCCAAGTCTGAAGATCCTTCCTCAGAGGAATTTCAATTCCAATGGCGGTATACAAATGGACTACTTGCAATCATTTTCTCTTTTGGAGTGCTTCTCACTGCGCTTAAAAGCAGAAGAGCAAGAACATGGCGATATGGAACAGGTGAGTGATGCCAAATTAATGGCTACAACATTAGACCTTGTTACACGCTTTTGTATTGAACTTGATTTATCTTAGCACTTCTTTGATCATTGTTATGGAATCCACTGCAGGGTGGCTTCGAGGTTTTGTTGCAGATTATGGGGTTCCGATGATGGTAGTGTCATGGACAGCACTATCATATGGTATACCAGGCAAAGTTCCAGAAGGTGTTCCTAGAAGGCTTGTCTGTCCCCTTCCCTGGGAACCTGCGTCCCTCTATCACTGGACAGTAGTGAAGGTATTGTTGAAGTTATACACATAGCACATTTTTTTCCATCCAAATTGCATCATTCTTCTGAAAAACAGGGCTAGATCCATCATTGTCTTAGTTTACTTTCGCCCAAGTTGTCTCAAGGGGTAAATAACCCTATACTAGATAGACTAATGAGATTTTATCTATAAAAAGTTAAATAAAAATTTGGTACAATTTTCAATCCAATATATTTACTTTGTTAGTCCACCTAGTATCTGGTTATTTATCCAATGGAATAACTTAGACAAATCAAGCTAAATGGATTCATCTAAGTTACCCTATATGGTAAATAACTCCATTTAAGTGGACTAATGAGAATTTGTGTACAAAATATTATACAATTTCCAATACAATATCTTAATTTTATTAGTCCAATTAGGATATGGTTATTTACCCATGAGTTAACTTAGACAAACCTGGGGGTTGGACATTGTAAACTACAACCAGTGAATATTTTAGTTTGACAAGTCCAAATATTCATCTAACAGTAAATACAAACTACAGGACATGTTGGAGGTACCCATGGTTTATATAATTGCGGCAATTGTTCCAGCTCTGATGATAGCAGGCTTATACTTTTTTGATCATAGCGTTGCCTCCCAGATGGCACAACAGAAAGAATTTAATCTTCAAAAGCCATCTGCTTTCCACTATGATCTTTTGCTGCTTGGAATAATGGTATGTTAATGTTATTTTCTCTAAAATCCTTCTTCTTATAACTTGGCTTTATGTTATTCAATGTTGCTGAAGTTTCCTAACACATCTTTTTGGTCTTTAGACTATAATTTGTGGTGTCCTTGGCCTTCCCCCTTCAAATGGAGTCCTTCCACAGTCCCCCATGCATACAAAGAGTTTGGCAGTCCTTAGGAGGCGGGTAAGTACCATCTTTTGCATCAAGATTCTTGGTTCTTTTTTTCTTAACATAAATTCAATTTAGATTCTTGTTTTATGTTATCAATTTGCAGTTGATCCGAAAGAAAGTGGTGAAGAGTGCCAAGGAATGTATTAAGCAGCAGAAGACCAACTCTGAATTATATGGAAAGATGCAAGCAGTGTTTATAGAAATGGAAACAGCCCCTACAGTAAGTTATTGGTAGCTTGATATATATCTTTTTGTCTTTGCATATGCAGGCATGTCCTAGAGTAATATAATGTATGTTTTGAAATTGACATAGGTTAAAGAATTGGAGAATTTGAAGGAAGCTGTAATGAAATCTGATAACAAGGATGGTGCAAAAGAAAAATTTGATCCTGAGAAACACATAGATGCATATCTACCAGTCAGAGTTAATGAGCAAAGATTGACCAACATATTGCAGTCTCTCTTTGTTGGAGTGTCAATTTTAGCCATGCCTGTTATCAAAAGGATACCAACCTCAGTTCTATGGGGTTATTTTAGTTACATGGCAATTGATAGTCTCCCAGGGAACCAATTCTGGGAAAGGATTTTGCTCCTGTTCATCACCCCAAGTCGGCGTTACAAGTAAGTACAACTTTATTGTGTAAACTTTTTCAGTGCATAATAGTTTTGAAATCAAGAGATTAATCACTGATTTCAAAATTTTCTTTCCTTGGTGATGAAAAGAAATACTTCTTTCACTAGGCATTTTCATATAGTATTTAAGAGGCTAAGTTCTTGATTGTTTTGGCAGAATTTTGGAAGGTTCTCATGCATCATTTGTGGAGACAGTACCATTCAAGACCATAGCTGCATTTACAGCCTTACAGTTAGCATATTTTCTGTTCTGTTTCGGGGTGACATGGATACCTATAGGCGGAATATTGTTTCCTTTGCCATTCTTCCTTCTCATAGTTATAAGAGAACACTTGCTTCCAAAGCTATTCAAGCCTAGCCATCTTCAAGAACTAGATGCTTCTGAGTATGAGGAAATTGCTGGTGCTCCACACGGTTCACTGAGGGTACAATTTATTGTTACGACAAATCATGTGCTGTGTGCTATATTTTGTATATTCTAAGCTTTTTAACTTAGGACCTGAAAATGTTTAATCAGGATAAGGAGTCACTTGATAATGACACTGATGCAAGCTCAGAAGACTTCTACGATGCAGAGATATTGGATGAGATGACTACCAACCGGGGAGAGTTGAAACTTAGAACTGTTAGCTTCAATGACAGAAACCACAGCCGCAACAGTAACAGTAACAGTTTCAGTGAAGACAGACACTCTCAGGTAAATGACATGTCTAATTTAGCATCCATTAAGGTTTCAACTTCTAAGAGAAATGTTGGCAAATATAGTCTTCAAAGCATTCCTTATGATTGATTCATTTTTTAAAAGATTAAAAACACTTATCTCATTATTTGATCACTTTTCACAAAATGAAAATGTTAAATTAAGTCTTAGAACTGAGTTTAAGCAACTATTTAATAAAAGATTTTTATTGATTACACTTCTATAATTTAATATAATAAATGTGTCCTTTTCATTAAAAATTTACTACTCTTGAAAGCTTAAATTTGGTCTTGAGAACAAAATTCAAATTATTTAAACTTTCTATAAAAACAGACTAATCACGAAAAGTGTTGAAGACTCTGATTAAAAGAGTACGTCGTCTACCATACATTACATGTCTAATATTATGTTATTTTTGGTCATGGACTTGGACAGGTTTATCCTGAAGATGCTGTCTGAATATTATGAAATCTCTGGAACCACCATTTTGGATGCAGAAGAGGTTTGATATAAAAGTATATTAGAGAAAGGATTGCTAACAATTCTTGTTTAGTCATTCAAGGTTGAAGATGATCTTCTGTGGAACAAGTAAGGATTCAATCGGTGAAAGAGAAGAAATGCAAAAGGAAAGAGAACTTTGAAGAAATGGGCTTCAATATTTTAGCTGAAAAACACATTAAAATAATAGACATTAAGGGTCAACTCCTTCCATAGTTGGCGACAAAATTCACAAAAAAAAACAGAAAAAAAAAGATTATTATATAATTATTTTGAAGAAATGAGGGAACTGAACGATAGGATATGCAGGGGGTTTAAAAGAAAGAAAACTGAGTTATTATAATTATTTTGAAGTTAAAGTATAGATAATGTTAGTGGAACATTCTTCCAATTTTTTGTTGACATGATTTTTTGATTGGATATAGCAGAGTTTGCAATCACATTTTTTCAAAACATTCAACAACGGCCAAGTGTATTATATTCTATTAGCATTCAATGTGACTACAATGGAATAGAATTTGGTTTATATTCTTAGGATGTGAATACTTTGATACGATTTTATAGAATATTGAATTTTTTAGGTGCTTATGCATTAACTCCAAATTTTACTGCGTTCACTTTCATATAGTTCATTTCAGTACATGCATTTTTATTTATTTGTTAACTGCGTCACTCAATTTTTTAATCGTCATTTTAAAATTGCTCGTTTAAACCCTAAAATTTTAATTGAAAGGCATGATTTTTTTTTTAAAATCTGTTTTTAAAAATTATTTATAAATTGCTTCTAAGCTTAGATCAAAGTAATTTTCAAACAAAGATATTAAAAAAAAGCAGTACAAATAATATGAAAAATCATACAAAAAGTAATTTCCTTCAATGTGTCGAAGTATGGAGTACATATAATATAAAAATTATTTCAGTTTTTTTCATTTTTTAATAAATGTGCAGTTAAAGTTCCTATTTTTTTGTCAATATAAATATTATATGTAGAAAATCACTTTTTTGTTTTTTAAAGTATGGAGAAATTACTTTAAAAAAATATAGCCATTAAAATGAACTTATCTAATTAAATCGGCTTGAACTTGTTTGATACATAAGACTTAAATTTTAAATCAATTTCAATTTGAACTAAACTCTAAAAAATTAAATTTTATCTTTTTTGTTTATATTTTTGTAAATTTAAATTACATCTAAACTTTTTTAATCCAACCCATTAAAGTCCATTGCCAATGATAGGTCGATAACTAGTTTTGTCCACTCCATTGAAAAAAAAAAGAAAAAAACATGGATACAAATACAAGGTTGAGCTTTTTGAGTACAAGGTTGAGCTTTTTTGAGTTCAAGGTTCTTTTTTGAGTTCAAGGTAGATCTCATTCATAACTACCCACCTTTTTTCTTCTTTTTCGGTAAAGGTGCATTTTCTTCCCAAGTTTACATTTATTTAACCTTTATAGTAAATAAGAATTTAAATTCTTCAAGTATATCATAATTATTCAAACTGGATTTCTTTTGTTGTAATAATATAATTTTTATTAAAATAATTTTATTAATAAACTAATACACGTGTCATATATTCTGATATATAGTTTCACCTTATTTTGCTATACACGTTAAATGGGTGTTACCTCTTAATATTGGTATTTAATTTAAATATTTTTATTTTAACTAAATTTTAAATTCAAATTTTAGTTTTTATTTTATATTGATTTAAGTTTGAATTAAAACTTTACTGAAAATAAATCTTCTTAATATTTTTTCGCATTGATTACAAATTTGTAGTCCATGCCCCCACACCTTCTTTCATACGGGCTATGTTGTCATAGCAATACTCTTAATTATATTAAAATTTATTAAACACTATAAAAATACTAGAAAAATTATTAATTTAAAAATAAAAAATAAAATGTATATATTTTATATAATTTAAAATAAATTTTAATTAACAATTAAAAATGTATTAAAGATTTTGTTGCTAGCCTTTCTTATATTATCATTAATTGATAAAATATATGATAACTTATTTTGGAGAGATGCTAAAATTTTATGTATATATTTTTAAAATAGTAATAAACGTAAATTACACATTATTTTTGTAATATGATCAAATTTTTTATAATGATAAATATAATTATAAAAACATCTTCAAATGATAATTTATACTAATTTTGAATTTTTTTAATTAATTTTAAGATTTTAGAAAGTAAAACAAAGTTTTAAATATTTTTATTATTAACTTTAAAGTTTATCTAATTATTTCATCTTCTAAACCTATAGATTGATAATAGATGTTATCAATCATGTTAATATTCACCCCGTAAGATAAAAAAAATTCCTTAAAATATTTATTTATGTTAAATGAAGGTTTAAGTCTATTTTTATTTCTCACATTTTAGTATATTTTTTATTTTAGTCTTTTAAATAATTTTTTTATTTTAATATTTACTTTTTTATAAATGTTTGTTTTTAGTTCCTAAGATGTAATCAAATAAAAAATTGACAGTTAATAGTATTTTAATGGATCAAATCAGCAATAGGAACTAAAAATAAAAATAAAAAATCACTAAAATATAAGTATCAAAAATATATTTTTAGTCAGATAATTTAATGAGAAGAAAAGCGTGTAGTTCAGTAGTTTACGCAATTAATAAATGATTCTTCGGATTTTCTTGTTCTAGTGACAGTATTTGAAGAAACAGTTTTCTACTTTCTACAACTGTAAGCTGAAAACGAGAACAATTCTTGCTATAGATTTTATATTTTTCTTCGTAATAAAAACAAAATTGTTTTTTTAAAACATACAGGGAAAAGGGTTAAGAATGCTACTTAATACCAGTTCCCGCTATGGACAAATGCTCTAGAGAAAACTTAGAGGAAAAAGGGTAGTGAACTAGTAATAATATAGTATTGCACAACAATGGATGCCCATGAAAAAAGGAGGGTGTGGGAATGGATTAATGTTTCCCATATCAGTCCCGTGCAATAATAAGATGATCACCATCTCTTATAAGATTTATATCATCAATTTCAGCTCTGTCTTCGGTCAAAATTTTGGTGGGAGATATATCAAACTTTCTGGCACCAATATCTAACAGTTCTTGAAGTGACTTGGGCAGAAAAACAAGCTTCCTAGCATCTTCACCTCTTTCAGGACAACCAAGTATCACCCTTGTGAATCCATTCACATTCCCTTTACTAGTGTTACTGCTTTCTGATGCCCGACGTTCTCTTTTATCTACAAAAATTCAAAATGAAAATATAATTCATCAATCTGACAGCCAATGTAAAAACCCCCCCAAAATATTCATATTTTTAAAGGTTGTAGTAAATTATGATGAGCAAAAAATAACTTTGCACTTGAATAGGGTTTTTGGGCCAGCATAAAAGAAGCTGTTCAAATTTGATTCACTAACTTGTTCCAAATATATATACATACACTTACCACGATTGGCAGCAGAGATCATCCCAAAAATGGAATTATGAAAAGAGCTGGAAGACCTTCTCCTCTGATTAGTATCTAGCCAGGTCACTTCTTGAGTAGCTGGCAGTGGCATGCAATCTTGGGAAAGGGTAAGCATACAAGGATCACTTTGAAACCTCCCAATCCTTTCATTATTAGATATTGGAATAGCAACTGGTTTTCTACTCTCTCTAATGTTCTGAAATATATTTTTAATTTCTTCATGGCATTGATGATCTGCCAAAGTCCAAGGACTCCACCCATTAGCATCTTGCTTATCAATGTCTGATCCTTGCTCTACAAGAAACTTAACCATCTCAGTGTTTCCTTCAGTCACTGCTGCATGCAGAGCAGTGGTTCCATTCGTTCTGGCTTGTGTCACATCCATACCACATTGAACTAATTCCTTGAGCAATTCTATGTTATTCTCCTCAGCAGCACTGCATGCCAGACGGCCTGCATCTGCAGAAGATATGTCCGCACCATTGTCTATCAGAAGTTTCATCACAGATTCATGCCTACCCACCATTGCTTCCCACAGTGGGACACTTCCATCCATATCTGTATAAATGAAAGCAATTTGAGATCTGCATGAAAAGATAGCTAAAATTTTTAATAATGAAAAAAAAAAAAACATTTTAATTGCAATGAGTAATAGAGGATTTTTTTGGCTTTAATAAAATAAATGAGGCTATGTTATGGAAACTATCATCATTTCACAAATTAAACGAAAGGTATTGTTAAACAGCATAAAGTCATTTGTAGGCTTAATTATTCCAAACAGGCCTGAATACTACCTTTGATATTGGGATCAGCACCGTATTCTAGAAGCAAAGTTACACAATGATCATTGCCCTTTGAAGCTGCAATATGCTGTTACATGAGAAAAAAAAATTGTAAGCATATAATATTGTGCCTATGGGTATATACTTTCGTATGAATGCGTATGTGTTCATTGAAAGAGAGAAAATGTACAAACCAGTGCTGTCTTTCCATTCTTATCTACTTCATTTGGATCTGAACCCTTTTTAAGCAAACGATGTAACAATAGATCATCATTTCGGATTGCTGCAAAGCATGTGCTAATGGGCATTTCCATTCTACCCCGAGCCAGCATGGCCTCAGTTTCTGCCAAAACAGAATCCATCCCTGGATGCCTTGATTCTTGCAAATGCTGCAACAAAGTATAGCACATGTCACAAAATATGCGTATAAATAAAAATGTACTACAAATTAAAAAGGTTATGTACAAAAGATTATGTGAAAGAATCTAAAACGTATCTAGCTATTAGAATCAGTCCTAGATTAAAATACAAATCATAGTTGTATAGAAACTTCATATACCTGGAGAAAATTGTTCATGATTATTGTCCCATCTCCAACATTTGAATGAGCAAGATTTAGAAATGCAGTACGGTTCAAGCGCAGAATTTGGCTCAATCGCTTAGTTCGAACTGTAAACACCTGTGGCCTATAACATAAAACCCCTATCTCGCCAACTACATCTCCTGACTGTGCCTCACCAACGACCTGAAATTATTTGCATACCACACGTTTTATTAGTAAAATATAGAGTTAAATTCTCAAAGGTGTTTTAAGAAAATATACACTTGCCTGTTCTATTCCATTCTTTCGTATGAGTAGTTCCTGTCAATCATAACAAAACGAAAGTTCAATTTCTAATTTTTTATAAAAATTAGATATTTGAATTTTGAAATCCTTAATTTCATTTGCATCATGTTACCCCTCCTATTTTAAATCACAGCAATTCATTTTCTGCATTCCACTGAGCACATATGAAGTAAATGAAAATAAAGAGAGGGTGTAGTTTCTTACCGCAGCACCAGTGACAAAGATATAAAAGTCTGTTGGGGCTTCATTCTGCAAAATCACATCTTCCTTTGGAGGAAAATACTCAGCCTTCATCTCCGTGACCTTCAAATTTCAACAGTTGAAGATATGAACATTAAACAATATGTTATCGGTCATCTAATATAATTATTGGAGCTTATATCAGTTAGATGATTATATTTTGGATGGAACTTAAGATATTAATTAGTTAATAAACACTTGAAAAGAAAATCCCATTTTTCTTTTCTTTATCTTTTGGGTCTCTCTGGGGGATTCTTGATTGCCAATGGATGTTTATAGATCATAGTTTTCCCACACGAAATTTCAGGGTCTTTTTATACCAAAACAGTGGATAAAATGCAGTTATACAAAATCCTCAGTTACACTAACACCATTGAAAAGCTTCACGCGTTATTTTAGCACGCGGTTACATAGTTATATGGCAAGACCAAGAAGAAAATGTTACCAGTTGAAAAATCAGATCACAGGACACTCCATGAAACAAGTACACTTTGTCCACAAGTGAATAGAATAGGTAGTGTGAGATGCTAGATCGAATAGCTTTTGGAAGCGATTCAATAATTTCTTGTTGCTGCAGTCCTTCTAAATCAGTTCTGTACTTCATAAACAAATGAGCAAGCATCTGTTCTTGCAAGCGGATAGGTAACTGATTCCTATGAGCAAAACCTGTGGCAGCTTGCACTGTGTCTCTCTGATATGCCACAAAGCAGCCAAGAAAAACAAATCAAAATACTAAAATGGACATCTCTGAAAGAAACGAAGTATTTTAGAGCCTCATTAATGATGTCAAATGTGTATAGTTCTATGAAGCGCATAATATTCCCAGACCCAGAATGCTCATTGTCTCAAACTCCCACCATTTGTCAAAAATATAAATTGCATGCCAATGAATTCCAAAAGTGATTTAGAACTAGTAAGAAAACTTTGAAACTCGAAGATTGAAATGATAAATACCCACATATTTCCTAGTTCTGCTTGTTCCATGAACGACTAAGTTTGTCATGTTTCCAATGAGATATGATGTGAGTCCCAGGTTAAAGAGCATATAGAGTATGTCAAATACCATCTCCCTGGTATTTACAGGATGCAAATCACCATAACCAACAGTTGAAAGAGTCACTATGGACCAATACATTGATGTTACGTAGAGACTCCAAAGATCCTTTTGACTATCATCAGAAACAAGGCTGAGCCATGTTGATTTTTTTTCATGATTTGCAGCAAGAAAATAGTAAAAGCAGGCAGCAAAATGCAACGCGAATAGAGTAACCTACAAGTGTAAAAACATCACAAGCCTCATAAATAAGCTTGTTGTATGTAATTCCTAAGTCACCGCTCTAACAAGAAAGAATTAAAGTATGTAATTAAATAGCAAAGCAAATAAAACTCACACATATAAGCTTTGAACAGCGCACCCAGAAGTAGTTATAATTTCTGTGCTTCTCCAATCTGACACAAAGAAGGGAAGGAATATCATAATCAGTTCCTATATAAAAAATCCCCTGCCCCACGTCAAGCCTATTTTTTTGCCTTTAGCTAGACTAACAAATAAGTTGTTACTTACTATGAATTCAAAAATGAAGAAACGTTTGAAACATCTATGTAAACATATATGAATTTTTAATCAACTAATATAACTATTAACCCAAAATAGTAATACAATATAATTGCATGACAAGTACCTTGCAAACATGGCACTGACTCTACGGAGCCTCCAAAGACGTAGTATATTGAAGTAGCCATATGTCTTAAGAGGAGAGGGTAATACACTACGCGCAAATTCAGAAGGGATAGTAGAAATGACATCAAAAGCTAGCCATGTTTTTGCATATCGCAAAGCAATGAGCTTCGGCTGGTCCACCAGTAAATATGTAGCCTTGTCAAGGTAGGCAACAAAGAAGGTGAGAACAATGTCAATGGCAAAAAGGGCGTTCACAACATTGTCAGTAATGGACAGAGGATCCTCTGGTTCGTTAAGGAATCCAAACTCAAAGGGACACACCCATGCAGTGTAGAAAACTAGAAACACCAGAAACGTTTCCCACAGTCTGTATCAACCCCATCAAACATCAATTATGAGACAGTGCTGTATAATTCTACTATTTCAACATAAAAAATTTGACATGCTCACGTGACATTGTATACAAATATTATCTTTATGTATATATTCATCTATAGAATATATTTCAAATTTATGCCAATTTTACTTCACGAAATATTTCCCTGCAATGAAAAATATCACAAGATTATAATACTGATATTACATATCAATATCAGTCACATGAATTTAAACTGAGAACCTAATGATAATCCAGTGGAATTAGTTCTATAAGTAGAGATTTATTTTATAAAATTAAAAATAAAAACTCTTGATAGGAAACTATCTCGTGCCGGCTAACAACTTTCCGGCGTCCCTTTTGCTAAACCAATAACTTACAGTAATACACCGGCAATATTACTAAGTATTATAAATTTTAAAAATAATGATTTAGAAAGTGAAGAGTAAAAAGTTGATATTATTTATCATAAAAAAATATTATCCTAGAATATTATAAAATAACGTAAATAGATACCTGTAACGAGGGTTATAGGGGGAGAGAATGAAGCCTCGGAGCTTGGGTCTCCGGCTGTTGGCGGCGGCGGCGCCGAGAGAAGGAAGAGGAATGCCGGTGAGGCTGTATTGGCTGGCATCGTCCCTGGACATTTGATCAATCTCAATGCGATGCTTCTCATCATCTGTAACCTCATCGGGGCTTCGAAACAACCATGAGAACATTTTCTTCGCACGCGAGGACATTGATGTTTCTTGCGTGCGAAGGTTCAAATGTTGCTTTGAAAGCTGTCTTTGTTACGTTATATGCTCATGTTTGGGGTACGTAAAGGGAATGGCGATGGGCACAGATAATAATAGCATGTTGTTCTCTGTGGCATCACCTAACGAATCTAAATTGTTTCAAAGTTGAATGATATACGGCTAACTATAATTTCGTGATTTACGTATCTTTCTATAACTGCCCCTAACCCAAAGTTAGATATTTCCTTCTTTATATTATCTTTCCATTCTTAATAACATTATTTTATTCTCATTTTTTTTATATTTTCTGCTCGCAATAAAAGTTATTTTTAGTTAGAAATTATCAAGTATATCCTGTATGCTACAGGTACTTTTTTAAATGAATATTATTTTAAAATTATTTGATTGATACATAATTATTTTATTATTAATACAAATATAAAATATATGTGTTTGAAACTTTCAGTTTTCATATTTCTATAAAACTAATTTAATTTACATAAGATAATTTTATTCATGATTTAAAATTATCTGCGTGCAGTCAAATATTCTTTGACTTGTTACATAAGATAAAATATCTATTGATCGTTTAGACAAGACAATTACACATATTTTATATATAATTAAATTTTGGAAGTAAAATATTACTAAAATTATTTTTATTTACAATTTGTTACGTATATATTTGAAGATTAAATTTGGTTAAAAATGACGTATAAATTATATTTTTTTATTTAATAATTTTAATTTCAATTTATATTTTTATTAATTTTGTAGTAAATTTTTAAAATTTAAAATTATTACTTAACTTTCTTTATGTAAGTTTTTATATATATATTTTATAAAAATACAATTTTGTATTTATAAAACTATTCTAAATTTATAAATATATATATATATATAAATTATTGATATTTAATTAAAACAATTTACATCATTTTTTTAGTTATAGAATCAAGTTAAAATATTTTTAAATATTATTATTTAAAATATTTTTATTATATATATAAAAAAAGATTTACAAATTATAAAAATTAATTATATTTTAAAATAAAATATCATTGTATTGCATTAGCTACTAAACTAATAAAAATATAAGATAAGGCGTTGGATATTTCAGCACTAAAAAAAACCTAATTTAATTTACATAAGATAATTTTATTCGTGATTAATAAATATCACTGTGTGGCCCATAAATCTTCTCCAACATATTATTTCATTAATTAAGAAATAATGTTAATTGATTGTATATATGAAGAAAAAAAAAAGATTGTGTTCCTAATTTATGATAAGAATTTTTTTTGAATGATTGGTTTTGAACTAGAAAAATCATCTAATAAAAATTATTAAATGACATAAGACTAAATATAGCTAGTATAAATTAATCATTCTTAATATAATAGCATCATCAAATCATATACACATATTTTTTACTGGATATAATTACGTTCAAAGCAGGTAAAACTATTATGGCAGAAATTTTTTATTAAATTAAACATTTTAATTAAATAAAATATTTTTTAATATTTTTTATAAAAATAAAATTATCAATATATTATTCAATCATACAATATTATTTTAGTCATCACTATAAAATTTTATAGAATTTCAAGCCATAGATACATAACTTAATAATATAAATATCATATGTTAAAACGAGGTAAGAAGATAAAATAAGATTAAAACAAATTATCTTATTGAAGTTTATTAAAACTATTATTACTAGCAAAGTTCTCTCTTGAATTAAGATCATTATCAATTGACTCATGCTCAATGTTTTGTGTGAAATTATGCAAATATTAAGTATATATATAATTTATCACCATTTGTTGTTAAATTCATGTCTAATAATTATGAAAAAATCAGTTATTATCCAAAAATAACTCTTAATTAATTCAATAGAAATCATTAATAGGGGTGTAAAAACATGCCTATTGATGGAATATATGGTTTAAAGAAGAGCGCTGGAGATATATTTTATGTTATAATGACACACGAAAAAACTTTTCTATAAACTACCTCTTATATTTATAATACAAATAGATTATAGATTTAACACAATTACTTAAAATATAATATCAAATCATATTTCTGTGCATCGATTATTAAATTTAGTGATTGTTGACGTGAATGGCAAAATATATGTAGTGGTTACTAAACAATTAAAGCTACATTTTTTAAAATATCTTTACATTAATAATGGATTATAATTTATTTATTTGATTTGATCTTATAACAGTATTATTTGAATCAAGTTGCACATATAGCCCAAAGTTACAAGGAGAATAATGATTGTACATGTGTCGCAACTGTAATCGCAAAGAGGTAAGTAAATTTTAAAAAATAAACATCTTTTTAGAAGATATGTAATTAAAGAATCTGAACTATTTTCGCAAATTATGTACTTCAAAAAAGTATGAGCTTGGGAATTGATGGATTTTACAATACAACTTCATGGTAGTTTTACAATACACGGCAGTTCTGATGATGCACCATAAATATATTAAGATAATAGCGCGGTGGTCGACACATGCACAAAGCAGAGAGATGTAAAGGTGGTTTTCTTTATTATTATTTATACTGATTTAAAGTGGCTTTAGAACTTGTTCAAATTCTACAGCGATAAAAATTGCTAGTTTTATTTATAAGTTGGCATTTAATTAAATTAGATTATTTGAGTGGCTAGTCATTAAAGTCAGTGTGATTTGTGAATTGTGCGTTTGTTGACTGAAGCAAATGAGCATCTCTTTTACATTCTTGAGGCACACACAAGGGTGTCTGAAAATGTTTGGCAATGCAAGAGATGCGCAATATGGAAGGCGTTTAAATGCTATGGCTTCCCATTTAATCACAGCTGCCACCACAAAGAAAGACAAAGGGTCCGGTCATCACTTGGAATTTGCAAAAGCTCAAACCCCTTAAATGTTGTCATTCAACGCCTTAAATGGACAATCCAACTTAATTTGACTGGAATTATATGCTCACTGTTTGTGGGGCTACTACTCTCCGAATCTCATTCTTTGTTTTATGTGAAAAGGAATATATATATATATTCATTCACATCAAGTGTGATGTAAAAAAGATTTATACTAAATTTTAATCATACAAATTAAATAACAATTAAAAAATTATTTAATTTAACTAAAACAATAAAGTAAAAAGAAGTAATTTTTCAATCATTAAATTATTTAATTTGTATGTTTGATATTTAATATAAGTCTTTTAGTGTGGGTAGTAATACAAATATTTTTTAGTACATTAAATAAGTATTAGCTGGTATGAAGCAGGTCAATTGTATGGGATCAAATCCATGCCTTGAAAGCTATCTATTCTCACGGTTCTTATGGTTTAATTTTTTGATCGAAGTTTACAAATTCATATTATACGGAGTTCAAGCTTCCTAGTCTGAGTTTGTTTAAAATATGATTGAGCTAAGTCTTTCGCTACTCATGTGATCCTGTATCATGATTTTAATGATTATCCTATATATATATATAAATGAAGAATGATCATGTTAGTATAAATTTAAAATCTCTTATATTTATTTGAGTTTTTTATTTAACTTATATCTAATAAGTTATAATTTATTACTTCATTAACTATTAAATAAATTGAATAAAAGATTCAAATCGAGTATAAAAATATCATATCTCTCTCTTTATATATATATATATATATCATTCTTCATTTCATTATTAATAAAAAAATTAAACATACTATTTAATACATTTTTTAAATATTGATTAAAATTTATAAAAAATAATAAAATTTATATAATTTTGTAATTTTTAATAAGTATTAATTAATAGTTAGGAGTGTATTAAAAATAATCTATTATTATCATTCTTCTTAATACAAATAGGTCTTATTAGAAAGAAAAAAAACCTAAATATTAAAATACAATATTATTCAAAAACAGAATATTTATAATATAATAATTTTATATCTGTCAATGCATTTTTACTTTCTTATCCTCTTTTCTTTCTTTAACCTTTTCTCTTTTTCTTCTTTTACGATATTTTCAACATTTTTGCTTTCTTTTCTGTTTTAGCTTCTTTATTTTGTTTTAATTCAAGTAAAATTTTTAATTTTTATTTAAAAAAATTTTAAGACTTAAATAAATCATTTTTATATATTTTATTTAAACAAATTTAAATTTATGTAAAAAAAAAAACACACACACTGCAAATTGTCTGTACTAAATTTGTAAAAGATTCCAATACAAAATATTAGTATCATAACGTATTATTTATGATAGTACTAGACTGTTTGAGAAGAAGAACGAAAAAGAAGTTGTATTGAATATGAAGATGTTACAAGCTTATATATGTATATCCAAGACAGGCAGAAAGGAGTAACTGCATTATTCTTAATTTAATCTTATTTACAGTATAGTTATATAAATACATATTATTGTTGAAAAATATTTATTTGAGGCTCTGGAACACAATTTATTCAAAGTAATTTTTAAAGTCGAACAATAATAATAATTAATACATAAAATTAAGACAATGCATAAACACTATAGGTAGGAGTAGTTGTTTGTCAAATCATCACTTAGATGTAAACATAATTAATGTTAGAAATTAAAAAAAGATGTGAAATTAATACAGAACTATTTATATTTGAATTTTTTAATAAAATTTTAATGATTCGAACTATATATTAAAGTATAACAAAATACTTACGTAGAAATTAAAATATTTTTTTAAATACATGAATTAACATAAATTATAAAAAAATTAACCGTCTAATTTTATTTTTTTTAAAAAAACGAAGTATCACAGCAAGCTACAAAGAAGACACCCAAGGGCTCAGAGTAAGAGTCATTTTCTAAGTCCATCATACATCAACTCTCCATAACGATCGGGAAGTTCTTAAAGGAATCTGAATCATATAATAAGATATCATTTGTATTTAATATATACATATATATATATATATATATATATATAACCTTTATTAAATATATTTAATAAATCTTAAAATCATTTTTAATGGATTTTTAATTATAACACACATAAATCAGAACTCAAATTCTTTAAAACACACGAAAAATTCCACGTGCTTTACTCATAGAGGCAATTCATCTTCATTCTTCAACTCACAAGTTTCAAGATACCGATTCATTTAAATTGAATAAATATGAGTAATAGTATAATATATTTATAATTAAATTAAAATGTGTTGGGCCTTGAAAGGCCCAGTATTCTAAAAAAGAAAAAACATGCAGTTGGAGGACGTTGAAAAGTCAAACGAAATATAGAATCCATGGTTACCGTCTGATGTTGATACCAAAGAGTGTAGTGTAGTAGCATTGGAGGATTGGGCACAGTCACAGAAAGAGATCAATGTCGTCGTTGTTACATTCAATTTTGGATCCGAAGAAGAACTGGGTCGCAGCACAGCACATGAAATCCCTCTCCAAACGCCTTCGCAGTTACGTTTGGTTAGTTATTCCCTAATTCTAACTGTCCTCGTTATCTCATCTCTCCCATTTATGAAATTAAATTTGAGAATTAGGGCTCCGTTACGATGATCTCTACGACCACTATTACGATGTGGACGTGAAAAGGAGATAGTTGACGCACGCCTGCAGCGTCTTAAGCGCGCCATTGATCTTTCCATGAAGCACCAGTACCTTCCCCACCACCTTCAGGTTCCACTTCACTATCGTTCCCTGAAATAAATTTTTTATTTTCATGCGTCTGAAAAAATGTTGTTTAATTTGAAATTTTCGTGTATGTCGTTTACAGGCATTGCAAACACCGTTCAGGATTTACCTTCATGCTCGCCCTTGTAAGTCTTATTATTATTATTGTGTAAGTAATTTAATTGTTTCAATAATCAATTAGAAAAATGTGTTTTCATTTTTTTGAAAAAATTAGTTCTCGTGTGATTCCTTGTTGATCACTAATCATTCTACTTTCATTTTACTTTTCAGCATTATGAGCTACTTGCTGATTTTTTGAAATTAAGAAATATGAACAATCTTATCGTGGCTGAAGCTCTACTACTAACTCTAAGTGTGTGTTTGAAAATATGATAAACAGAGGTTATAATTAGTAGTATTGAAATAAACGAGAGTATGGTGTACATTATAGTGCGAAATCAAACACACCATAAGTGTTTTTTTTTTCTTAACTCACTTTTTGTAGGTGAAGAGGGAAAGAGCAGAGAGTGAAGCATTGGGAGCTTTGCCTCTATCAACGAACCATTCCTTGAGTGCACTTACTTTGATTGGAGAGGAACCTTGTTTGAAATTGTATTAATGTTGCGCTAGTGTGTTTTCATTGTAGATGTTCGTCTCCTTATATGAATCACAATTTTTTATGATATGATCTTGTCCTCAGTTGTTTCCTAATAAATATTTAAAACCCATTAATCGATTATGCTGTTTGATAAACAATCCGTGCCTTCAAAATTGACTCCTTGCTTTTGTTCATCCCCTTATATTACTTTGTTCCTGTTCATTTAAGATTGCTCGGTTTTAGATAGTACCGTAGTTGTGTTTGATATTTATGCTCGTATACAAGTCCTTGCCTAATTTCAGATGAGAATGGAAGGGATTCTCATTTTCACTTATTTTCGATTTCTAACTTGAATGTGGTGATCTGATTTCAAAAGGTTATGCTGATAATTGAAGACTTAATTATGAGATTTTCACATCCTTCGCCACGTACTCTAATGCAATAGAATTTTGGATTTATGGACTATCAAAGGTTTACGTTTGCTTAGATTCAACCCTAGTTTAAGGAAAGAATTTTGTATCATCTGTTACCACGTGATCCCTTATGTTACATATTTAAATTTTATGAAAAAAATTGACACATGATGGTATTACGTTATCCAATAATTAATCATAATTTAAGAAAATTAAAAGTAATATACTAAATTAGTTCTTAAATTTACAAATATTTGTCAATTTAATATTTAAAGTAAAATATTTAAATATTAGTTATTCTAGCTTTTTCTTTATAATTTGTGAAACAAATTTATTTATAATTTGATAAATATAAATGTTTTAACTTAATTTATAAGGAAACTTTATATTTATGACTTCTCACTGAGTTCTCACGGATAGAACACAGACAGCTCTTTCGAAATTCTCTAACATTTTTTTTAATCTACGCACAGGCATTGATTAAAAAATAATTCTAACTATCTTTCTGTTTATCTTCCTATTTATAGATATTAAATGAAGAAAACAATAAATAATTTGTATGTTTTCAATATATTAAATATCTTTACATTTTCATTGAATATTTTCTTCACATGATGTTAGAAAAACTAATAGAAAGGTTTATAAGTGAATGTAGCTGTTATCTAATAATTAAGTTAAAAAATTATTTTAAAAATTTGTTATATCGAAAGACACAATAGTCATTCATTATTTGATTCTTTCAATAATTAAAAATATTTATAAAACATTTCTATACGGAATAAATTCATAGTTTAAAGTTTTACATTGTTATTAAACTTTACTTATGACAGAGTAAGTATAGATTTAAGAATTTCAAATTCCACTTCCAAACCCAGTATTCTTTCTTTAAATAACCCTCCCTCCCCTCCCCCAAGCTCGGGCAGGTTTATCTAAACGACTGACATCACACTCTGTAGATTGATGGCTAGTAACAAAATATCCTCATAATTGATTCATCTAAAACGATAATTAATTAATTAATTATGTCCGATGAAGGTGGCTCATTGTACTCATAGAATTGAGTTTCCCAACATTAGATGCCGCCGTAATCCTCTCCAATAACAACTGCACATGCCATGTTTCTTCAAGCTATTGTGGAAACAAATTCATGATTTAACTAACATAAATATATATTTCCAATTAGAATTAACATGGGTTGTTGTTTCTTATGCCAAACCATCCAATCAAAATAAAGTACCCTAAACATTCAACATAATAACAAAACATAATAGGCTCGCTTCGCAAGTTTACATGTGCGTTTCAAAGAAATTCTTTTCTACAACACATGTATCCGGGCCGAATTGGGTAGACGGAAATGGACAAAGAAAACTCTTTCTTTTAATATTTAACGCTGCATGCGTTAAGATATTAAGCTGGAGTAATATATGTAAGTTGATCCATGTATTTGTAGTCGTTTCAAAGAGTTTAAGAAAATAATTTGTATTAAAATAAATTATTTTTGTTTTATTTTAAAAAATTTCATAATCAAATTTATAATATGAATTATTATTTATAAAAATATTAAATAAGATTAAATACAACATTTTCTGTTCAATTGGTATGAACTGAGTTGGATCGACTAGGATGATTTGCTAACATAGCTAGTTTCGGGTGGAGGAGCTAGGATGAGCATGCATGTGACATTGAACAGCTTTTGTCTCCGACCTACCCCAGAAAACATCCTAGGGTCGGTTCATATTTTAATGCAGAAAACGTAGACAGAGTGAAGTGACTGACAGAAATTGCAGTTGAACACGTTGAATGGCATATTTGCTATTTTACTTCTAACCTTGGTGCCTTTTCATAACAGAACATGCATATAAGGTCATCACTCCCTCCGCTGCTACATGCTATTCTCTCAATTTTAATTTCCCTCTTTCAGATCTCTCTTTCTCAAGTTCATCAGTTTCATGGGAAGCCTCTCGTTTCTCTTGCTGCTCTTCTGCACCGCCTTCCATGTCGCCTTTTCCATTATTGACGGTATGTTATATATATATATATATAAGCAAGAAAGTGTGCTAATAGCATTCATCATCCAAAGTATATATTTGTCACTTGGTGTATATATAGAAAGTTAATGAAAATATATTAAAGTGTTTAAGATTTGGGTGTAAAACGCATTCTTTAAAGTCACATATTCTCCCTTACCAAAGTATTTGATTAGAACTCCAAACTATAGGAACTAGACTAAACATCAACATATATAATTACCAGTTAGCAAACCTTATACATAGTTACACACCCAGTTGCAAACACTCAACCAGTATGTAGGAAGAAGAAGCACTCTAAGTTCATTTTCAAATTTTAATATTTCAGGCGAGGTTATTTAACAATATGCTGCGTGTCAGTGACTCATAAATTTCAGTTTGATAAAGAATTTGAGCATTACAATTTGCAGATGGATGAAATCATCCCAAGTTACCGGGGGTTAATTTGTTGGTGTCGACTTCACGCATGAGTAGAATATGTTTGTACAGTGTACACCGCCTTATTATCCTTATGGGTTTAATAGGTGTATGCATTTTCTGTTGATCTCTTCCTTCACGTTGAATTAAGGTTAATATATCCTGTCAGATTGCTCTCAAGATTCACATGGCCATGGGGACCACATGACATGACAGTGGATAATGCGCTGCAGACCACATGACATATAATAAAAAGTAGTTTTGAAATCACTAAAATGCAACTAGCCAATTTCCAAATAAAGTAATTTAAGTTCAACAGTGTTGTGGAATAGTATGTAGTCAATAGAAGTGTAACATTTTTGTTTTCTTTTGTTATTCCCTCTTAAGGGTCTAAGTTCTAAAATAATATAATTGATGCAGGATTAGTGACTAATGGAGAGTTTGAGCAGGGTCCAAAGCCAGGAGACATGAAGGGCACGGTGGTGACGGGTGGCCCCCACTCTATACCGGGGTGGGAGATTTCTGGCTACGTTGAGTACATAAAATCAGGGCAGAAACAGGGTGACATGTTGCTTGTGGTGCCAAATGGAGCTTATGCGGTGAGGCTTGGAAACCAGGCATCTATTAAGCAAAAGTTACAAGTAGTGAAGGGAATGTACTATTCGATGACGTTTGTGGTGGCACGCACGTGTGCTCAAGAGGAAAAACTCAACGTATCTGTGGCTCCAGACTGGGTGGTGCTACCCATGCAGACGTTGTATAGTGGCAATGGTTGGGATGCCTATGCATGGTCCTTCCAAGCAGATTACTCTCAAGTGGACATGGTTTTTCATCACCCCGGAAAGGATGAGGATCCTGCTTGTGGACCAATCATTGATTCTATTGCTCTCAAAGCTCTTTACCCTCCTAGACTCACTAATAGTAAGTTTATCTCCTTAATTAATCACTTACTCGTTTCATTTCATGTAATTAATATTCCTTAAGACCATTGCTAACATAGCTATCAACTAGTGTCCTCGTTTATCAAAGAAAGCAGTAACAATATATTGTCAACTTGCCATGTGATGAAAAGATGCCATGCAGACTATATAGTTGGCTAGCGGTGATCCTATTAATGGACTTTTTACAATTGGTTGACTACTACCCAAATTGCCACTCATAATTTTCATTTAAGAAATCAAGGTTTTAGTGTCCATTTTAAGATGTATTTAGATACTACATAAACTCAAAACAGGTCATGATCATAAGTTATTCGAAATTGCCCTTTTTATAATTATGTGGACTATATTGGATAGAAAGGTTTCATTTGTGCGTGTTGTTATGTGACACTTGTGACAGAGAACGTATTGAAGAATGGTGGTTTTGAAGAAGGACCATACGTGTTCCCTAACACATCGTGTGGTGTGCTTATCCCACCCAACATTGTAGACCTCAGCGACCACTCTCCCTTACCGGGGTGGATAGTGGAGTCCTTAAAGGCTGTTAAGTACATAGACTCTGATCATTTCTCAGTTCCCCAAGGGAAAAGAGGCGTGGAGCTGTTGGGAGGAAAAGAAAGTGCCATTTCACAAATAGCCAGAACTGTCCCTGGCAAAACCTACTTCCTCTCTTTTGCTGTGGGAGATGCTGGTGATTCTTGTGAAGGGTCACTTGGCATTGAAGCTTATGCAGGCAAAGACAGCATAATGGTGCCATATGAGTCCAAAGGCAAAGGTGGGTTTAAGCGTGCTGTTCTCAAGTTTGTGGCTATTAGTCCAAGAACACGCATTGTTTTTCGCAGTAGCTTCTACACCATGAGTAGCGACGACCACTCTTCGCTGTGTGGGCCCGTGGTTGATGATGTCAACTTGATTAGTCTTCGCAAAATTTAACATTAAATATGTAATGACATGTTTGGATCCGTGTGATGTTGTGAGTGTTGTATACTTATGTCTTAAATACAAAATTAGAAGATGTAGCGCCTGATAAAGAGTGCAGTATCACACATTTAATAAAATTATGTGGCTTATACGTGTTAAAGAATGCAGTATCAAACATTGAACTACGAGTTCGAGTTCAAGTTCACAAGATTTCTGTTAAACATTTATTCGTGTCTCAATATACAATTACTCTGAACTTTGATCATGTGCTGTTGTCAATGCTCAAGTTGTGAAAATAACGAATCGTTAAAAATATAGAAATGAAAAAAGAGAAATGACTAGAAAATAAAGATTTTTTTTTTTGGTAAACAATATAATAAAGAGTTTGCCAAAAAAAAGAAATTCCCAGCAAGAAAGAATTTTTCTTTATTTGACAGGAAAGAAGAAAAATAAAAAATAAAATGAAAGAAGAAGAGTATTTTGACTCAAGAATATAAAATTAAAAAATTGAAATATTTTATATAAAAATATTAAAATAAATAATCTCATTATACTAAAAATATTTTCTCAAATAGAAAATCTTTTTTTTGTTTTTTGTTCAAGAATAAAATTTGTAGCTATAAAAGATGTGTGTTCTACACCCAAAAGATTCAAAGGGCTCTAGATATACGAGGGTATATGGGCTAATCGGGTCGAGCCCACTTTAATTTGGACAGAAAGTAAGGGTAGTTAATCCCCTACAAAAAATAAAACAGTCATTAAAGAAAATGTGGAGAGACCTGCGTTAGGTTAACGCGTTGTAAGAAAACACGAAACCCCTCGAAACCCTTCCCCATATAAACCCTTGTTTCGTTGTGAGCACTCACAGAACGCAAAACCGCCATTGTCTCCAAACCGCAGCACCATTCCATGGTATGATTTCTCTGTTCAACGCTTTTATTTTCACTTTTCCTATAGCATTCCATTCGCATCTTATTCTTTGCATCGCAGGCTTTGCCCAATCAGCAAACCGTGGATTACCCCAGTTTCAAACTCGTCATCGTCGGAGATGGTGGCACGGGTTTGTTTTTCTTCTTTTTAACTTTTTCTTCGTTATTATTTTTAGTCGTCGACTTTTTTATTTTGAAAAAATAAGAAAAAGTCATTGAGGGTTATGTTATGTCTCTTTGGCAAGGGTCTAGGTTTGAGCTTGATTTCGCCTCTGCGCTATGTTAGCGTCTGAACTTTGTTATGTTGTGTTGAATATTTGCAGGAAAGACAACCTTCGTGAAAAGGCATCTCACCGGTGAATTTGAGAAGAAATATGAACGTAAGACTTGTTTTGGTTATTTTAAAGGTTAAGGATGTATGTTTATATGTTGATCTTCATACGAATTTGACTCATTTGTTATTTTGTTTTTGCTTGTCTGAAACAGCAACTATTGGTGTGGAAGTTCACCCGTTGGACTTTTTCACAAACTGTGGGAAGATTCGTTTCTACTGCTGGGATACTGCTGGACAGGAGAAATTTGGTGGCCTCAGAGATGGATATTAGTAAGTCACTTCTATTCCCTACGGCGAAATATTTTAGTGTGAGCAATTGGCAAGGAGTATATCGGATTGAGTTGTTAGTCAAGTGTCTTGTTCTATTTTACTTTTGCATAACACCCTGTTGATTTTCGTCTAATGTTGAAATGTTAAATCTCTTTTTTATTGTTTTAATGCTTAGAATCAAAATTTATAACTTTCACCTATGCTTTCTTGCATGGATTACTGGTTTTCAATGCAACAAGAGATTTTTGATATCTTTCATCATATTGAGCTGATGACTTGATTTTACAATCATGGCTTGTGTTGTGCATGTGGCTTAAATGTAAAATTTGTTTCTTGTCAACAATCTTATCTCTTTTGAGGCCTTGTATCATGATGATGCCTTGGGTTTTATTAGTATTGTAGTTTTGCATGTAAATTACATGCTTTTGCTGCTTTCTGTTGGGATGACTTTGTTAGACGTGTACTGATTCTATAAAGTCCAACACATTTTCTTTATGCATCTGTTTTACTTCTTAATCCCCATCCAGTGCTTCTAACACAGTGTCTTACTTGCAGTATCCACGGGCAATGTGCAATAATCATGTTTGATGTTACTGCCCGGTTAACATACAAAAATGTCCCTACATGGCACCGTGATCTCTGTCGGTGAGTTACAAGTCTTTAAATTGTGTTTAACACAGTTTTGTTGGTCTTTATTTAGCACCAAGTTGTTTACATCACTTTGTGAGCACTCTCTGCCCAACTTACTTTTCAGGGTCTGTGAAAACATCCCAATTGTTCTTTGCGGTAACAAGGTTGATGTTAAGAACAGGCAAGTGAAGGCAAAGCAGGTGACTTTCCACAGGAAGAAGAATTTGCAGTACTATGAAATATCTGCTAAGAGCAACTATAATTTTGAGAAGCCTTTCCTGTACCTTGCCAGGAAACTTGCAGGGTAGGTACCATGCCACTAGTTTCTACATTATAAAGTAACAAAACGTCAAATTTTTGGATGCATTTAACTTATGTTTCACTACTTGTGTCAATTTTGCAGTGATCCTAACTTGCACTTTGTAGAATCTCCTGCATTGGCTCCACCAGAAGTTCAAATTGATTTGGCTGCACAACAACAGTAAGCTATCTGTCATTAAATGAATTTTTTCTTTCTCCATCAACCTTAAGGCCTGGGTCATGGCTTCCAGCACGATAAAATCAGATAGATTGTAGAACTGCAATGTTGCATATTTAATTTAAAGATGGTCTCCTGGTAGTGAGTTGTCATGGTCAAGATGGATATAGAGTTTTTAGAGTGTTCTATTTTTAGTTTCCTTAAACAGAACCCACAAAATCCATTAGTTTCTTGTTCAATTGGAATTGTACGTGAATTCCTGTAATTTATATATGTATATATTGGTGACATTTGCAGGCATGAGGCTGAGCTTGCTGCAGCTGCTAATCAACCTCTTCCTGACGATGATGATGATGCATTTGAGTAGGGCTTGTGCATCTGTGGACCATCTTTTCCTGAGTTTCTTACTCGTATTTGTGTATGCTACTAATATGTTTTTGGGGTTGTATTAATGACATTTTTGGACGTGGATTTGAGGATTTAAATTCAATCTCTATGAGATGTTTTGCTTAAACATGAAAATCTCATTAGTCAGTCATTTCGTCATCGTTATGGGCATTCATGTTTGTTTCGCGTGGCGATCTCAACAAGAGACAGTGCATGTGTGGAAATTTATGAGGACTTTTTATTTTTGCCCGTAGCGCTTAAGTATTTTATTTTTATCTTAGTTCTAAAGCTTTTATATGTTAATTTATTGTTCATTCCATTGGTGTAATCGTGTACGTGGCTTCTGTTATTGGACCTTGTGTTCAAGATACTGTTGCTCCCGTTAGCGCTTGCTGTAGCTAATGATCAACACTTTCGATTATATTTAAATGTATTGTTTAATTTTTCAATAATTTTATTCATTGTGTGATTTGTTTTGAGAAGGCAATCACCCATTATTTATGTAAGTAGAAATAGTTAATCTTTTAATTATTATTATAGTAGATATTTTTTGTGATGAAATGGCTTAAATTTTTGACATAAATTGTTATTTCATATTTATTTTTGTCAATTAGAAGTATAGTGTTTTGTTTTTAATTATTATGTAGATTAAAAAAAACTAGTGTGTCCTTGTGAATGTATTTAAATTTTACGTTACTCTTGGTTATATTTCTTTTAGTTTTGGACTTCATAAATTTTAAACCTCAATAATTTTTATTAACACTTCCAGTTAGTTACTTCTTTCTTTCCGGTCAAGTAGTAAGTTACATCAAAATGATCCTCTCGTGTTATGGTTGTGTATATGTAATGTCATAATTATAAAGTAAATAAAATTATAAAAATATAAAGTTAGTCAAACGTTAACAGGAAAACCTTGACATATAATTTAATGTCGCATATTGAAAGTGAGTGGTTTTTTGTAAATATCATCCCACATAATAAGTGAAGGATTGATCTCTTATAATATAACTTTTGCTACACTATACACGTGTGTGTGAATTTTAACTTACTAGCTTACGAGTGCACTGTTAAGCAAGTCAAAATTCTCAATCCATTTTTTAAAGCGGAGTGAGACAGACTAACCCACTTTGAGTTGAATTTTTTTAAGGATAAAATGGACTGATCTGCTTTGCCACTACTAACAATAAACAATTAACATGTCATACTTGTCTAAAATATAAATATATTTTTTGTTCATATTTTTAGTAAATAAATTTTTTGACTATTACCTGTTAAGAATATTTTGTAAGTTGTAGTTTGGGGATACATTCTTGTAGGCTTTGCTTGCTAAGTCTAACGGTGAAGAGGGAAGAAAAATAAGAATCAAGAGGATGAAATTTATCCCTCATATGGGAGGAGCTTCAGCCATATGATGGAATGACTAAGTAGACTACTTCCATGACCCACGCCCTATCAATATCAATAATCTAAACCTACTTACCAGCAATTGTAGACAATCGAAATCCTATACTAGAAGACTAAAAGGAAACAGTTTTATCAACAACTCAACCCCCCATTGAAAGATAACATCCGTTTCCTTTCATTTTTTCTTTTCTATCAGATTCCTTTCTTACCTTTGTCGTTTGCCCAAAAACCAATGCCAAAAAGTAAAGTATTACATAAATTTGATGCCATTGTTTTTCAACACATCTTGAAAGTCCAAATGATGTTATAAAATTAAAATCACTTTTACACCATTCTAAACAGAGTACATAATATATTAATATGTGATATTTAATTGCAGTGGAACAACCAGTTTTCTGCATAAAGCATCAAATTAAACTTAACATCCAAAGTGAACCCGCGTTTTGTTTGCATTGATGAAATCATTCAATATTTTAAGGTTATAAATCACTTGGTGCGCATATTTGTACTCCGTAGAAGTGGAAAAAAGATCCATACCTACGTCATGTCAGAAGCAAGGACTGCAGAAACAAATATTGTTTAACTGTTTGATTAGAGACTAATCATATATTGAAATCTAGATTTCTACTGTGGTTGGTTATTGTTTGATTAGGGATTACCAGTGCCTACAGTACTGTAATTAGTTAGACCTTTATTATGAGTTAAATATAAAACAAATATTTGGATCATCTATTCACCTACTTGTGACTTTATATATTTATAACAAATATTATTATTATTAAGAGTTAAAATGCTTAAAGTCATTTATTTTATTAGTGACTATGAATTGCATTTGATAAAAATTTATTGAAATTAATTATAAGCTAAACAGAAGAACGTGGAGCTCAGACTCTGTGCCATATGCGGTGCGGTGAGGTCTCACTCTTCCTAATCTGTGACTCAGTTTCCTTGCACACATCACACATGCAATTCCTAACCTGAGACCCAGTTTCCGTGCACACATCACACATGCAATTCATGCTGATCGCAATGCACACGTGCAATTCATGCTCAATCTCATTCCAACTTAACGACAAAATTATATTTTGTTTTTATTGTTATGATTATGATTTCAGTATTGCCACACTACTAATATTTCTTGTATTAAAACAATCTAAAATAGTTTTAAAAAATACAAAAAGGTTGGGGGGTGTGGGGCCAACATGGGAGGAGTAATATTGGTCCAACATGGGATCCTCCAAAATCCTAGGATGTTGAAACGGATCTCCCTATTTGGGTCCACAAATTCCGGATTCGCCCTTTGAATTGAATGTTTCTAATTTTTGGATTGGCACCTGAGATTCCTTCTCCCTCTCTCTCTCTCCCTCTCTCTCTCTCTCTCTCTCTCTACCAACGCCGCTCTAGAGAGAGAAAGAGGGCCCAACCCCACCAAACCTACTCTGCATTCTGTGGGGTCTTTCTCTCTCTCTCTCATTCACTTCTTACGCCATCAAATCATGCTTTTGTTTTGGACTCTTCAAGTGATAGACGCAGTTGCCGCTGCCTGAAGCCTCCGTCTTTGGGCTTCCCTCGTTCCAAGCACATTTGCCGCTTCATCTCAAAAGTGAGAACCCATTCTCGTTCCTCTTCCCTCATCACCTTCTTGTAATTGTTCACATTTTTCATCTTTAAAAAATTCCTTTTTTTATTCTTATAATGCCGATCCTTGTTTTCTTTTTCTGCCCATTGCCACGTACTGTTTGATCATTGTGCATGTCATGTTCCCATGCAGCGTGTGGACTCTGACCCGTCCTTGATTTCCTAGAACCTTACCACTAAAAATAACACCCATTGGTTTAATACATTGAGAGAAAGACAGAAAGGAAACACAAGTAATGTACCGCGTAATAAAAATAGAGAGATACAGAATGTTTAATAAATAGTTAAATATTTATAAATAACTTTAATTTTGAGAAAAAAACACACTACTAATATTTTTTTTTAGTCTCAATAGTAATAATATAAATACTGCATTTAATTTTATTTATTTTTATGTATATATTGCCTGTGCTGTATACACTCACAGCAACTGAAGAAATGCATTTTATCACGTGTATCCAACTGTTTAATGTCCTCTTTGAAGTGTCAAATTTTGTCCCTTTTGATTGTTTTTTTTTTCTGTCATTCACTCCCTTCGTTTCCTCCTCTCATCTTATATATAAGCATGCTAATCCACCTCTTTCCTTTCCCGAGTATTTCAAATGCAATCAGTTTTTTCAAATTTGTCAAATTGATATATCTAATTAACCTGTGGATAATTTCCTCCATCAGCTGTGGGAAGCATGGGAAAGCCATTCAAGGGAATAATTCAAGATGTCAAAGGAAGAGCTCAATGCTATAAACAAGATTGGGCTTGTACAGTCTGTACTGGCCTTAGGTAATTCTTCTCTAACATGGGCGACACATTATTATCAGCAAAATGCTGATTCATGCTTCTTTGATTAATGGCAGCATATTGGCTCCAACGTTCTACATATTCTTTGCTTCTGCTCTTCCTGTCATTGCTTTTGGAGAGCAACTTAGTAGGGATACAGGTAAACAATCTCTTCTATCAACATCCACAAATCTTTGAGCCAAGAGTTATTTTCAGGGTTTTTTGGTGGATACTTGATATCAATACCATGCTTGTTATTCTATAAATGAGCTCAAATATCATGTTTATCTGCAGATGGAAGCTTGAGCACAGTGGAAACACTTGCATCTACTGCTATTTGTGGAATTATCCACTCAATACTTGGTGGCCAACCATTGTTGATTTTAGGAGTTGCTGAACCCACTGTTATAATGTACACTTATCTCTACAGTTTCTCCAAGAAAACACCAGAACTAGGTGCCAAGCTCTTTCTGGCTTGGGCTGGTTGGTACGATACTTTACATTATAAGTCTGCTCTTGCTTTCCCGAGTTCCGAATAACATGTTTGGTTTCGATTTAGAATGCATATGGATCCATGTTTACCTCAACACGCGAACATACAGTAGTAGCTTCTGCATCGAGTCCATGTTTATAATTTTTTTAACTTTTTTCCAAAACAAGCGAATCTGAGTACAACGGCGTATTCGACTAACCTCAGTGTTCATCCGTGTTGCAGGGTTTGTGTTTGGTCAGGATTCTTCTTGATTCTGCTTGCAATTTTCAATGCTTGCAATATTATCACAAGGTTTACAAGAATTGCTGGGGAGTTATTTGGGATGCTAATAACTGTTCTTTTCTTTCAAGAGGCTATAAAGGTGTTGCTTCCCCTTCCTAGCAATAGATTGTGATTTTGACACTGTAGGGATCAACTTGACAATTGTTTGAGCCTTGAATTGAACCACAGGGATTGATAGGTGAGTTCAGCACGCCCAAGTCTGAAGATCCTTCCTCAGAGGAATTTCAATTCCAATGGCGGTATACAAATGGATTGCTTGCAATCATTTTCTCTTTTGGAGTGCTTCTCACTGCGCTTAAAAGCAGAAGAGCAAGAACATGGCGATATGGAACAGGTGAGTGATGCCAAATTAATGGCTACAACATTAGACCTTAACCTTGTTACACGCTTTTGTGTTGAACTTGATTTATCTTAACACTTCTTTGATCATTGTTATGTAATCCACTGCAGGGTGGCTTCGAGGTTTTGTTGCAGATTATGGGGTTCCGATGATGGTAGTGTCATGGACAGCACTATCATATGGTATACCAGGCAGAGTTCCAGAAGGTGTTCCTAGAAGGCTTGTCTGTCCCCTTCCCTGGGAACCTGCGTCCCTCTATCACTGGACAGTAGTGAAGGTATTGTTGAAGTTATACACATAGCACATTTTTTTTTAGCACATTTTTTTTCCATCCAAATTGCATCATTCTTCTGAAAAACAGGGCTAGATCCATCATTGTCTTAGTTTACTTTCGTCTAAGTTTTCTCAAGGGGTAAATAACCCTATACTAGATAGACTAAAGAGGTTTTATTTATAAAAAGTCAAATAAAAATTTGATACAATTTTCAATCCAATATATTTTACTTTTTTAGTCCGCCTAGTATCTGGTTATTTATCCAATGGAATAACTTATACAAATCCAGCTAAATAGATTCATCTAAGTTATCCTAGATGGTAAATAACTCCATTTAAGTGGACTAATGTGTACAAAATATTATAGAATTTCCAATACAATATCTTAATTTTATTAGTCCAATTAGGATATGGTTATTTACCCCATGAGTTAACTTAGACAAACCTGGGGATTGGACATTGTAAACTACAAGCAGTGATTGTTATAGTTTGACAAGTCCAAATATGCATCTAACAGTAACTACAAACTACAGGACATGTTGGAGGTACCCGTGGTTTATATAATTGCGGCAATTGTTCCAGCTCTGATGATAGCAGGCTTATACTTTTTTGATCATACTGTTGCCTCCCAGATGGCACAACAGAAAGAATTTAATCTTCAAAAGCCATCTGCTTACCACTATGATCTTTTGCTGCTTGGAATAATGGTTTGTTGATGTTATTTTGTCTCTAAAATCCTTCTTCTTATAACTTGGCTTTATGTTATTCAATGTTGTTGAAGTTTCCTAACACATCTTTATGGTCTATAGACAATAATTTGTGGTGTCCTTGGCCTTCCCCCTTCAAATGGAGTCCTTCCACAGTCCCCCATGCATACAATGAGTTTGGCAGTTCTTAGGAGGCGGGTAAGTACCATCTTTTGCATCAAGACTCTTGGTTCTTTTTTTCTTAACATAAATTTAATTTAGATTCTTGTTTTCTGTTATCAATTTGCAGTTGATCCGAAAGAGGGTGGTGAAGAGTGCCAAGGAATGTATTAAGCAGCAGAAGACCAACTCTGAATTATATGGAAAGATGCAAGCAGTGTTTATAGAAATGGATACAGTCCCTACAGTAAGTATTGGTTGCTTGATATATATCTATTTGTCTTTACATATGCAGGCATGGCCAAGAGTAATATAATGTATGTTTTGAAATTGACATAGGTTAAAGAATTGGAGAATTTGAAGGAAGCTGTAATGAAATCTGATAACAAGGACGGTGCAAAGGAAAAATTTGATCCTGAGAGACACATAGATGCATATCTACCGGTCAGAGTTAATGAGCAAAGATTGACCAACATATTGCAGTCTCTCTTTGTTGGAGTGTCAATCTTAGCCATGTCTGTTATCAAAAGGATACCAACCTCAGTTCTATGGGGTTATTTTGGTTACATGGCAATTGATAGTCTCCCAGGGAATCAATTCTGGGAAAGGATTTTGCTCCTGTTCATCACCCCAAGTCGGCGTTATAAGTAAGTATAGCTTTATTGTGTAAACTTTTTCAGTGCATACTAGTATTGAAATCAAGAGATTAATCATTGATTTCAAAATTTTCTTTCCTTTGTGATGAAAAGAAATATTTTTTTCCAAATAAGCAGAACCAATAAATTTACCAATAAGTTCTTGCTGTTTGGGCAGAACTTTGGAAGGTTCTCATGCATCATTTGTGGAGACAGTACCATTCAAGACCATAGCTGCATTTACAGCCTTGCAGATTGTATATTTTCTGTTCTGTTTCGGGGTGACATGGATACCTATAGGTGGAATATTGTTTCCTCTGCCATTCTTCCTTCTTATAGTTATAAGAGAACACTTGCTTCCAAAGCTATTCAAGCCTAGCCATCTTCAAGAACTAGATGCTTCTGAGTATGAGGAAATTGCTGGTGCTCCACTCATGGTACAATTTATTCTTATGACAAATTATGTGCTGTGTACTATATTTTGTATATTCTAAGCTTTTTAACTTACGACCTGAAAATGTTTAATCAGGATAAGGAGTCACGTGGTAATGACGCTGATGCAAGCTCAGAAGACTTCTACGATGCAGAGATATTGGATGAGATTACTACCAACCGGGGAGAGTTGAAAGTTAGAACTGTTAGCTATCAATGATAGAAACCACAGCCGCAACAGTAACAGTTTCAGTGAAGACAGACACTTTCAGGTAAATGACACGTCTAATTTAGCATCCATAAAGGTTTCAACTTCTAAGAGAAATGTGGCAAATATACTCTTCAAAGCCATTCCTTGTGATTGATTCATTTTTCAAAAGATTAAAACACTTGTCTCATTATTTGATCAAATAGAAATGGTAAATTCAGACTTTAGAACTGAGTTTAAGCAACTATTAAAAATAAGATTTTTATTGATTACACTTCTATAATTTAATATAATGAATGTGTTCTTTTTCATTTAAAATTTACTACTCTTGTATGCTTAAATTCGATCTTCAGTTTGAGGTCAACAAAATTCAAATTATTTAAACTTTATATAAAAACAAACTAATCACGAAAAGTGTTGAAGACTATATTTAAAAGAATGCGTTGTCTACCTCACATTACATGTCTACTATTTATTATGTTTGTTCATGGACTTGGACAGGTTCATCCTGAAGATGCTGCCTGAATATGATGAAATCTAGCTGGAATTGCCATTTCCTAAGGATGCAGAAAAGGTTTGATAGAAAAGTATGTTCGGGAAAGGATTGCTGACAACATCACCTAAGTCAAAAACATCAGTTCTGAGTCAAAATGCACGATGCCAAGTAGAATGTAGTTTCAATCTTTGGAATCACTAAAATAATGACTCTAGATTGTCGAAAGCTGATTGTTTTATAGGTGGTATCATCACTGAATAATAATGTAACATAAGTGCCTTTAAGGTATTAGTTAGAGTCCATCAATCTCTCTTAGATAACTAATCTTTGAAATCTGTCACAACGTTCTTCCAAGATATAGAAGCCAAGAGGAGATATGAACTTTTTATGTAAACTTTAGCAAGCAGGTAGCCTATCATGTCACCCCCTATTATATTAAAAATGTCATATCATGTATTTAACTACCTGTCTTTGTATTCTTTTTCTGTTAATGTGCATTTTCTTCCATATTTTACATGTATTTAACCTTTATATTAAATAAGAATTTAAATTCTTCAAGTATCTCAAATTATTCAAACTGGATTTTTTTTGTTATAATAACATAATTTTTATTAAAATAATGTTTTTTAAAAACTAATACACGTGTCATATATTCTGATATGTAGTTTCACTTTATTTTGCTATACACATTAAATGGGTCTTACCTCTTAATATGATATTTAATTTAAAATTTTAATGTTTTCTTATTTTAACTTAATTTTAAATTCAGATTTTAGTTTTTATTTTATATTAATTTAAGTTTGAATTAAAACTTAAAATTTTCTTTCACTTTAACTAAAATTAAAATTGAAGTTTGAATTTTATTTTTCATCTTACATTAATTGAAAATTAAATTTTTTTGTTTTTTTTTTTAAGGTTATAAATCACTTGGTGCATATTTGTACTCCGTAGAAGTGGAAAAAAGATCCATACCTACGTCATGTCAGAAGCATGGACTGCAGAAACAAATATTGTTTAACTGTTTGATTAGGGACTAATCATGTATTGAAATCTAGATTTCTACTGTGATTGGTTATTGTTTGATTAGGGATTACCAGTGCCCTACATAGTTAGACCTTTATTCATGAGTTAAATATAAAACAAACATTTAGATTATCTATTCACCTACTTGTGACTTTATATATTTATAACAATTATTATTATTATTATTAAGAGTTAAAATGCTCAAAGTCATTTATTTTATTAGTGACTATGAATTTCATTTGATAAAAATTTATTGAAATTAATTATAATATTTGCATAATTTAATAACTAAAATTATAATTGATTTATAATTATTATCTCTGAATTATGTTTTTAAAAAATTATTAGCATTAATTATATATAAAAATTTACATTAATCAAAATTTATTAAAATCGATTATATTTATTAAAATAGTAATAATAAATTTTCTATGAATTGTATTTAATAACAATAATATTAAAATTTATTATATATAAAAAAATTGAAAAAATTATCGTAAAATGTTTAAAGCATGCAGAAATGTTATGTAAGATGTATCAAAATAATTTTGTAAAAATTTAATGAAACTCTCAAGTTACTTGTTAATTGAAAATAAACTTGTATTGTTATTTTAATTCTATTTAAATTTAAATGATATTTATTTAAATTTTTTATTAAAAAATTTAATATATTAAATATTTATAATTTGTATAAAAAAGCTACGTATATTTACTAAACTATTATTTTGTATTATATATTATTAAATTATATCTCTTATAAAAAAAGAAATACGTTATAATAGAAATAAAAAGATAACTTTTATTACATTAATTTTATTTTTTTCTAACTCTTCATATATCACTAGATAAGTCTTTGTCTTTGCTTATATAAATATATTTACACAACTTTTAAAAATTTGCAAATAGTTTTTCTACCATCTTGCTTTGATTTTTTACAATTATGTTGTCCATCAAAAATTACATATCTAATTAAGCAAATATATTTTTAGGTTAATATTTTTTTTATTCTAATAATTATATTTATTTTTTATTTAAATATGTTAAATAAACATAAAAGTGCATTATTTTTAAGTGATATTGTGTATTATATTTTATCTTTAATTAATTAATTTGTATTAAATCTGTCAATATTTTTTAATTACTTTTATCTACAATATTAATTTAGATTGTCTAAAATTATGTCATAGAATTTATATATTATTATTTCATTATTTACAATAATTTATATGTAATTAAGTTATAACTTGAGGAAAACAAAACAAATAATGTATAAAACAATTGGGGAAGATTTAGAAGATTAAATAATTTTTATTGTATTAGTATACAAATAATGATAAGATTTTGTAAATTTAAAAAGTAAAATATTTTATCAAGACATGTATAAAATTGACTACATTTGCTTGTGTTATATGCATTTATAACTATTAAACGTAAGAATATTAAGTCATGTATAATGTTGTAACATAAATACTGTAACACAAAAAAAAATATTACATAAAACTTTAGTGACATGGATAGTTAAAACATATTATTGTGCATGTTAAAAATAAAAAATAAAAAATTAATTATGAATTACATTTAATAAAAATATATTAAAATTAATTATAATATTTTATATTATTTAAGAATTTAAATTATAATTATTACTTCTTAATTATATTTTAAAAAAATTATTAAAATTAATTGTATATAAAATTTATACAACAAGAGTGGGTTAAAAACAAAAACAACAAATTGCATCTAACAAAAAATTAGTAAAATTGATTATATATGAAAACTAAACAAATTCACCATAAAATATTAAAAATAAAATCATACAAAAAGTAATCTCACAAAAATTGAACAAAACTCTCGAATTATCATTTTATTAAAAAAATTATATTATTATTTTATGTCTTGTGATTTAAAGAATTTAATTAATTATTTTAATATATTATGTAATTTTAAATATGCATTAAAAATTAAAATATATTTTAAATAAAAAATTACATACTTACAAAATTATTATTTTATATTAGATATTATTAAATTATTTTTTTACTAAAAAATAAAATAAAATATCATATAAATAAAAGATAATATTTATTATATTATTTTTTCATCTTCTAATATATTATTAAATAAATCCTCATCTCTAATTATACAAGTAATTTTTATATAATTTATAAAAATTTGTTCACAGTACTATCGTTTATTTTATTTTTGTATTTTGTGTTCAGTAAAAGATAATCTTTAAAAAATTTAAAAATTAAATAATTTTTATTATAATATTGTAAAAATACTTTTAAGTCTATTTTTTTAAAATATTTTGTATAATTTTAAAAAATAAAATATGATCAACAATTTCATATTTTATAAAATATTAAATTATATTATTATAACTTGGATATAAATTTTTTATTTATATAATATTTATTTAAATTTTATATGTGACTCATATTTTTTATGCGCTAACATGCTATAAGTTTAATTAATATGAATAATATTTTTTTAATAAATAAAAATATTTTTAAAAAAATTTTATCTAATCATTAATTAGTTTTTATTTAGTATTTTACTTATGATGAAAAATTTAAATTATTTAAATAAAAGATAATTATTAATAATTTATATTGACAATTTCATCCTAATATTTTATTTGTTATTAAAAATTATAGCAATGATTATAAATTCAAAACTTTCAATTTTAATTACAATAACTAAAATTATTTAAATATTATTAAATATATATTTAGAAAATATATGAATATTATTTGTTATTAAATTTTTATAGTAATTATTTTATTTACATACTAAATATTTTATTTAATAGATGAATAAATTTAATATGTAAACATAAATTAAGTTGAACTAATATATTTAATTTTTATATTAAAATAATTAAATAATTATTTTATATTAATTGTAATTATTTATAGGTGAAATTAAGTAATAAGATAAATAAAAATATAACCATACAAATTAGTGCGCGTCGATCTAATTTAAAGTGAAGTAGAATTAATTTTGACGGAATTACCATCAATGCATCGGCCTAACATCCATAGTTGCTGCGAAATTTGCTCCATTTCATTGACTTTCAAAGTCAAAAAAGTAACTTTAAATTTTTTTAGGGGATTGAGAATGCCATGGGAATTTAAACTTCAAAATTGGGCTCTGTCAATTGTATTCAGGTCCAGGATTAAGCCCAAAAGGTACATTGGAGTAAAAACTATCAAAGCCCAAAAGGGTGGATGGGAAAATGGGCAGGTAAAGGCGGCCCAATAAGGATAGATAATGAAGGAGGGGTGCGTGAGGTTAACGCCAAGGAGGGTTATAGAAAGAAACAGCAAATTTGATTTGATTTGAAACCCTTCCAATTCCAATATAAACCCCTTTCTATTCTTCTCACTGAATTATTCTTCTTCTCACCCACCGCTTACAACATGGCACGATCTCCATCTCCCTCTCTCTGATTTTCGCTTCTCTCTCTCCCTCTCTCGGCATTCCTTTAACATTTGATTTTTTGCTTTGCAGGCTTTGCCGAATCAGCAAACTGTTGATTACCCTAGCTTCAAGCTCGTAATCGTCGGTGATGGAGGCACAGGTCACTTTCTTCTTCCTTCTATAATCGAAACACTTGAAACAGTTATTTTTTAATTGGTGATTTTTTTGTAACCATATAGGTTGATTTCATTAGCGTATGAGCATCACCTTTATTCTACCTTGTTCCTCAATTGCAGGAAAAACAACCTTCGTAAAAAGGCATCTCACCGGTGAATTCGAGAAGAAATATGAACGTATGTCTCTTTTTTACTATTTGTATTTTCAAAGGTCGAGGACGAATCTTATGCTTTCATCTCTTCGTATCTGTTTAACTCACTCTTTCTTTTGATTTTGTTTGTTCGAAACAGCAACTATTGGTGTGGAAGTTCACCCTTTGGATTTTTTTACAAACTGTGGTAAGCTTCGGTTCTACTGCTGGGATACTGCTGGACAAGAGAAATTTGGTGGACTCAGAGATGGATATTAGTAAGTCACTTTTATTCCCTATCGTTTCCAATTTTGGTGTGAAGACTGTAAGGCTAACAGATTATTAGAGTGGGTTTGTTAGTCAAATTTACTGTGTTATTTACTGGTACCTAACACCCTGTTCTTTTTTATCTAATGGTTAAAATTTAAATCTGTTTTTTATTGTTTGATGCTTAGAATCAAATTAGAAAAGTTTCACCTATGCATTTTGGTTTCTTGCATGGATTATTGGTTTGCAGTGCAACAAGATATTTTGATATCTTTTATAATGTTGAGCGGACACTCAACATGGTTTTACAATCATGGCTTCGGCATGTGTCTTAAATGTAAATTTTACTAGTTGTCAACAGTCGTAGCTCTCCCACGTTCATGAATAAAAAATGCCATGGGTTGTATCACTTCCTTAGTTTTGCATGTAAATTACATGCTTCTTTAGCCTTAATTTTTGTAGTGATGTCTTTGATAGATCTATGAATGAATTCTAGCATTTCAGAGGTAAAATGAAGTATTATGTACCAGAGGATATGTATCTGTACGCTTTTTATTCATTCATCTGTTTCACTCCTCAATCCCCATCCAGTGGTTCTAACATGGTATCTTATCATAGTTTTGTTTATTATTTGTTAGAGGTGTACAAATTCTAGCATTTCAGATCTGCCATGAAATATTTAGTTTGTTCTGTTGGAAAGGTCTGTGTATGGTTTTTATTCCCCATGATATAAAGTCCAACATCTTTTATTTTATGCATCTGTTTTACTCCCTAATCCCCATCCACTGCTTTTAACACGGTATCTTATTTGCAGTATCCACGGGCAATGTGCAATAATCATGTTTGATGTTACTGCCCGATTAACATACAAAAATGTTCCTACCTGGCACCGTGATCTCTGTCGGTAGGTGACAACATTAAATTGTGTTTAACACAGTTGTGTCTGTCTTTATTTAGCATGGAGTTGTTTACATCACTTTGTGAGCACTTTCTGCCCAACTTACTTTTCAGGGTCTGCGAAAACATCCCAATTGTTCTTTGCGGTAACAAGGTTGATGTTAAGAACAGGCAAGTGAAGGCAAAGCAGGTTACTTTCCACAGGAAGAAGAATTTGCAGTACTATGAAATATCTGCTAAGAGCAACTATAATTTTGAGAAGCCTTTCCTGTACCTTGCCAGGAAACTTGCAGGGTAGGTACCATACCACTAGTTTCTACATTATAAATTAACAAAACATCAAATTTTTGGATGCATTTTAACTTGTTTCACAACTTGTGTCAATTTTGCAGTGATCCTAACTTGCACTTTGTAGAATCTCCTGCATTGGCTCCACCAGAAGTTCAAATTGATTTGGCTGCACAACAACAGTAAGCTATCTGTTGTTAATTGAATTATTTCATTCATCAGCAACCTTAAGCTTGGGTCATACCTTTACCATCATGATAAAATTAGATAGTTGTTACAATGGCAATGTTGCATTTTTAATTTAATGATGGTCTTCTAATAGTGAGTTAGTTGAGGATCTTCATGTTGCCAACCTCACCTCACCTCACCTCACTTAGTGAGAGAAGTCTTTGTTATTGAAAACATAACTAAGAAAATTCATTTGTTATTTCTTAGTAATCAGGAAGTGTTGCTATTTTGGTCGATCAGAATTGTAGGTTTAAGATTTCTGGTAATTTATATATTGGTGGCTTTTGCAGGCATGAAGCCGAGCTAGCCGCAGCTGCTAATCAACCTCTTCCTGACGATGATGATGATGCATTTGAGTAGGACGTTTGCTTCTCTGAGCCATATTTTCCCGAGTTTTTACTGGTATTTGTGTATGCTGCTACATATGTGTTTTTGGTGGTTGTATTATTGACATTTTTGGACGTGGATTTGAGGATTTAAATTCAATCTCTATGATATGTTTTACTTAAATATGAAAATCTCCTTAGCCAACCATGTTATTCAGTTTTGGGTACTGTTTTTCTGTGTGACGCATCTCAACAAGCAACATTGCACGTATGATAAGTTTGTCCTCGCGTCTGCTTGTCTGTTCTTTTTTGAAACGAATAATTGTATAAAATGACTTGATATTTTTACGGGAATAACGTCATAATCCTTTTCATAAAAAGGGTCAATGTAGTACAATTGTCAACTGAGTACTTGTAAGAAAATAAAATGAATCACCAGAATTTATTTTTCTGTACGATGAAAGTCAATGAAATGTATATGCCTTAATTTTATAAAAACCTTATACTTTTTATACACTATCCTAGTACAAGGTAATGAAGTGTCAAACTGGATATGGTAGCTGTGAATGTGATTGTGTTTTTGCAAAGGGAGGGATAATAATGGTAAATGGTGGCAGTGTGCATTCGATTCGAACTTTTTCCCGTAGGTGTAACAATAGTAGTAATCTTACCATTGCTTTTGAGAAGATTATCAGTAGTGATGATTGCACTTTTCTTCCATCAAGGGGAAGTAATTAAATTGTAAGAATAGTTCAAGCTTAAATATAATGCCCAAGATACGATTAAAATTTATTAAAAAATAATAAAATTTAAAAGTTTTATTCTTTCTTGTTTTTAAATTAATATTTTTTTATTTTTATAGTTTTCAATAAATTTTAACTAATAATAAAAGATGGGTTAGAAAGTATATTATTAGTATTACTCAAAGTTATAGTAAGTTACTTGGAATGCATTAGACTAAGTTTTTTTTATTCATATTATAATTAAATAAAAACATACTTAAGAACAGTTTAAATTTTCTTTAAAATTATTAAATTGTCTGATTTTAAAAATATATGCTTATTAATATAGTTGTCATATGATTTTTTTTTTCTGTGAAGTATTAAAAGATGCATTTTAAAAAAACAACGTATTTATTAACATATTAGAAATAATTTTTTTCAAATTCAAACCTTTATTATAAATTAGAGTTTTAAGTAGATAACTAAATATAGTTTTTGAAAAGTCAATTAATATACTTTTTTAAGCAAGGTTGACTAACTTCTCGAATTCAGTTTTATATTAAAAATATGAATTAGTTATAATATTTTAGTTAAAAAAAATTGTTCAACATATTTCAATAAAATTTATACAAGAGAGCTAGAGAATCTGGTCCATCATAATCTTATTAAGTTGTTGTATTATGTACTTTCAAACATGTTAAATCAAATTCATTATATATATATATATATATATATATATATATATTATATAATTTTTTTTAACTAATATAAGTTTAAAAAATTTTATATTTAATTTAAATTTAACAGTTTATAATTTATTATTTAACTAACTATTAGATGTAAGTATTAAATATAAGTTACATAAAAAGTTTATATCGAATGTAAAAAATTTTAAATTTATAAAAAAATCTTTTATATATATATATATATTATTCATCCTTTTAAAAATATATTTATTTATTTTTTATAGTATTTAAAAATGCATATAATTTGAATTTTTATACACATGTATTATTTATTTAGTGACAAGTACTTAAATAAAAATTATGAAAAAAATCAGTGAACAAATAAATTGAACATTTTAGACAATGTTTTTACATTCAGCAAAAATTTTAAAAAATGTCATTATATGATGATGGTTTATCTGCTCTCCTGACCAATTGTAAATTACAACAGCCTTTGTCAGACTCTGTTTATACTTGGTTGAGGGATTTACGTGTAAAAAGAAACCACGGAGAAAAATGAAGACAGAAATCTGACACAGTTTAACACACACAATTGACAAATTTATGCATTGAACGATTCAAAAGTATAAGAAATCTTGTTTGAACGTCATATCACCAGCCACCTCACTTTTTTCATTTAGTGATGCAATATAAAGTAGAAAAAGTATAAATAAATATAATAAAGGGTAAGATATTATATAAATATTAAAAAATTATATTCAAATAACATAAAATGTTATTGATGAAAATTCAAATAATGTATACAACATGTACCATGCTTTCAAAGCTATTGATATTTATTAAACAAAAGTGTCCCTAACAAAGCAAATAATGTAAATGATAGTTCCATAAAAAAATCAAAATAAAAAAACAAATTTGCTGCTCTAAGTTAATGCTATTTCATTTTTGTCTGAATAAATGAACCACAGCAAAACAAATGTCCAACAGAGATTAAAATACACACACACAAAAAGTGTAAAAAAAAAATTGTGGAAAAAAAAAACCTTAAAAACATTAAACTCAATTGAAAAAAAAAAAGAAATCAAAAGACAAAATAGAATATCTATAACCTCATTTTAAGAAAAAGGTAAATCCAAATTAAAGAACTAAAAAAATAAGGAACCAAAAGTTTGATTAAAAAATAAAAGCTGACTTTAAGTAAAAAACCACACATTATTTTTTTAAATTAAATTTTTATTTTTTAAAATGTACCATATTGCACAAATAGAAAGTTATATATAATTTTAACAAACATTACAAAATTCAATGTAATTAAATACATTAATACTACTAAATATTACAATGTTTAATAAAAAAATTATCTTTTTATGTTGTGCAGTGCAATGTATATGTTAAAAAAATTATTGTATAAATTAGAAAAATATTTTATTTTTATTTTTTCCTAATCTAAAATGAAGGGACAAAAAAGGTAAAAAAAATCTGAAACTGTGAGGGGTTAGGTCATTGGGTGGGCTAAGGGGTAACAACCAGCTGTAGGGAAGTAATTTCATATTTGAATTTTGAGATTGAATTTTCATTTGATCTAACGGTGGAGAAAGCTGCGTCACGTTGACGCTTCAAGAGCCTCTCTCACAACTTCAAACTCCAAACCCTTCCAATATAAATAAAATCTTACCATCCCTTCTTCCCTCACTCGTATCTCCTTCTTCCCCTCCACGCTAGGAAACAACACTGCTCTACTCTCCATACCTAACCTTCTAATGGTAATCTCTCTTTCTGTCACTTCACTCTTTATTTTTTCAAATTTCATGCAGCATTTGATTTGAATTTCATCTCTCGAAAGCAGGCTTTGCCCAACCAGCAAACCGTTGATTACCCTAGTTTCAAGCTCGTTATAGTCGGTGACGGTGGCACAGGTCATATTTATATTTTCAATTTTGTTTTCACCCAAAATTTATACAGTTATTGACTTTTGAAAAAGGGTTTCATTCATTGTTATGTTGTTTTGATATGGTTTGGAATATGATGATTGTGATGTGGGCACAACTGTGTTTTCTTTATGCCAAGTATGAGTTTTTTATACTGGATTGAACATTTGCAGGAAAGACAACCTTCGTGAAAAGGCATCTCACCGGTGAATTTGAGAAGAAATATGAACGTAAGAATAATTTTGGTTATTTTTAAGGTTAAGGATGTATGTTTTTATGTTGATCTTCATGTGAATTTGACTCATTTTTTATGTTGTTTTTGCTTGTCTGAAACAGCAACTATTGGTGTGGAAGTTCACCCATTGGATTTCTTCACAAACTGTGGGAAGATTCGATTCTACTGCTGGGATACTGCTGGACAGGAGAAGTTTGGTGGCCTCAGAGATGGATATTAGTAAGTCACTTCAATTCCCTGTGGTTACGTAATTTTGTGTGAGCAATTGGCTTGGGTTGAGTTGTTAGTCAAGTGTCCTGTTCTATTTTACTTTTGCATTACACCATATTGATTTTCATCTAATGGTGAAATTTTAAATCTCCTATTTTATTGTTTAATGCTTAGAATCAAAATTGAAAACTTTCACCTATTCATTTTGGCTTTTTCCATGAATTACTGCTTTTTAATGCATGTGGCTTAAATGTGAAATATGTTACTTGTCAACAATAGTAGCTCTTTTGAAGCCTTGTATCATGAGGATGCCATCGTTGTAGTTTTGCATGTAAATTACATGCTTTTGCTGCTTTCTGTTGGGATGACTTTGTTAGAGGTGTACAAATTCTAGCATTTCAGATCTGCCATGAAATATTTAGTTTGTTCTGTTGGAAATGTCTGTGTATGGTTTTTATTCCCCATGATATAAAGTCCAACATCTTTTATTTTATGCATCTGTTTTACTCCCTAATCCCCATCCACTGCTTTTAACACGGTATCTTATTTGCAGTATCCACGGGCAATGTGCAATAATCATGTTTGATGTTACTGCCCGATTAACATACAAAAATGTTCCTACCTGGCACCGTGATCTCTGTCGGTAGGTGACAACATTAAATTGTGTTTAACACAGTTGTGTCTGTCTTTATTTAGCATGGAGTTGTTTACATCACTTTGTGAGCACTTTCTGCCCAACTTACTTTTCAGGGTCTGCGAAAACATCCCAATTGTTCTTTGCGGTAACAAGGTTGATGTTAAGAACAGGCAAGTGAAGGCAAAGCAGGTTACTTTCCACAGGAAGAAGAATTTGCAGTACTATGAAATATCTGCTAAGAGCAACTATAATTTTGAGAAGCCTTTCCTGTACCTTGCCAGGAAACTTGCAGGGTAGGTACCATACCACTAGTTTCTACATTATAAATTAACAAAACATCAAATTTTTGGATGCATTTTAACTTGTTTCACAACTTGTGTCAATTTTGCAGTGATCCTAACTTGCACTTTGTAGAATCTCCTGCATTGGCTCCACCAGAAGTTCAAATTGATTTGGCTGCACAACAACAGTAAGCTACCTGTCATTTACTGAATAATTTCTTTCTCTAGTAACATTAGGCCAGGGTGATGGCTTCCATCCTGATAAAATAGTAAAATCAGATAGATGGTAGAATTACAATGTTGCATATTTAATTTTAGAGATGGTTTTCTAATAGTGTGATTTGTCATGGTCAAGATTTAGGGTTTATAGTGTGTTTTATTTTTAGTTTCTTTCAACAGAACCCACAAAGTTCATTAGATGTTTCACAGCAATCAAGGAGTGTTACTATTTTGGTTTATTGGAATTGTACTTTTAGGTTTCCCGTAATTTATATATTTGTGGCTTGTACAGGCATGAGGCTGAGCTTGCTGCAGCTGCTAATCAACCTCTTCCCGATGATGATGATGATGCATTTGAGTAGGGCTTGTGCGTCACGTACTCATATTTGTGTATGCTATTATATATGTTTTTGGGTTTGTATTATTGACATTTTTGGACTTGGGTTTGAGGATTTAAATTCAATCTTTATGAGATGTTTTACTTTAAGTTTGAAAATTTTATAGTCGTCATTTCATCATCTTCTTGGGCATTTATGTTTATTTAGTTTTGTCGGGGATGCATCTCGGCGCGACTTGATTTCTATTATTTTTTAAACGAATAATTAAACAAAATCGCAGGATATTTGAACTTTTATGTGAATTAACGTCATAATCCATTTCATAAACAGAGTTAATGTACAATTACTGTCTACCAGTGCTACTAAGAAATAAAATGAGCGAATGTTGTTAAAAAAATTTTTGGAACAATAGTGGTATGAACAGTGAGCTATGATTATTTTATTTACAGGTTAATTTATGTCATAATTTTTTTCACAAATCTTATCTTCTATATAAAGACTCAATAAATTTACAAGAAATTTTTCCAGAGTTAGAGTTTAAGAATATATATTTATATAAATTAAAAAGCCTTTACGTCTAAGTCAAAATTAATTAATTATCTTGTTCATTCCAGTACTGTAATTGTGTGTGGCCTTGTTTTATAATCAAATGTCCGGAGGGAAACCCTTGGCTTTCTGCTATTTCTCTCAGCTTCCAAAATTTCAGTAGCCAACATCATCAATTCCACGTTATTTATTCTTATTTTGTTCCTGTTTACTGATATTGGAATAAAATAATTGGGATGAAACCAAGCGGCTACTGGAGAGAAGTGTAATAATAATAATAATAATAAATCGATCAAATTCAGTAACTCGCGTAACATACTTGACAATCAACTCAGAAAGTCCGCATCAAATAAAACGGGACCAACCAAGCGGCTACTGTACGTTGATGATCAAACCAAACAATTTTTAACCCGTTAAACCAATCTCAAAAATTGATTAAACAAAAACTTGAACAAAACAATAATAATAATAATAATAATAATAATAATAATAATAATGTTATACTACCGTTCAATTTTTTATTTTAAATTTTTATTATTAAAACTGAATCAAATTGATTATATGTTAATATTAAATTAAATCTTAATCTTAATCCTTAAAATCATAAGTATCAGATAATTTAGTCTTTTAACATATTAAAAATGTCATTAATTTTTAAATTCTTCTTTTATTGGACATTTTAATTCATAGACTCAAACAACATTAATAAATAGTAATAACTTCTTTTTCTATTTAATTAAGTGACATGTATAAGCTGACTTTGACCTTAAATAATGTCTTAATTAGAATTTTTTTTCTTTTCTTTCTCTTTAAAACTTCAATTTTTTCCAACCTTGAGTCTTTTCTTTCCTAATCCTATGGGTTGTATTTAGAATGAGTTGTTTGCATATGTTAAGGGCTATGTCACCTATGTACATAAAGTGACCATAGATTATGTATGAGGAGGTTTGATTGGTAAGTATTGTTGATGATATAAAAAATTTGCAAGAGCTTATTGTAATTTTATGGTTGTAATGTTGAAGGAGATAATGAGGATGAAGATGAAGGGGAATAAATCCAAAATTTTGTATGGGTGTTTTTTAAAAAGTTTGTACTAAGCACTTTTGTCTTAGAAGTTTTCAAAACTTCAACAACATCGCTCTTATTTTCTTTTTTCTTTCACTTGATCTTGTACATAGACTAAAGTGATTGCCTAAATTCAAATATTTTTGTTTTATTGTAGTTTTCAACATTAGCACCTTCTTAATTGATAACTACATTAAAAAAATGTAGATACCAAAATTGGCCATTAATTATGATTTTTGTAACTAAAATTATATATATATATATATTACATCATCATTTTTAACATATCAACATTTTATTATTTAAATCAAAAACTAATATAACATTTTTAATATTTTAAATACTAAATTGTCTAACACTAGAGTTTAACCATTTATATTATTTTCTATTATATTAACATATAAAATTATTTTAATTTTACAATACTATGATATAAATATAAGATACAACACTTACATCTCTAGATTACCTCTTCTTTTTTTTTCGTCTTCTCTCCGATAAATCCATCATTCTTTCTTTGATATCTTCCCCTTTTGTTTAATGGTCATTTTTTTATTTTAAACTAAAATACTTTGATTAAACTAGTGCAGTCTAAATTTAAAATTAAAATCCATATAAAACATGAAAATATAATAGTTTTGATATTACAGTCAAATCTAACCGCATATTTTTATGTTCATTTTGAATAACATTCCGCTTGAAAACCAAATCACAATCTTGCGGTGATTTTGAGTTAATTGGTAAAAGCCTTCAGTATCAACATCGGACAATACTCAAGTTCATAACAGAAAAACGGAGTAAAGAGAGCACATTGTTATTGAGCTAACGGCACATTAATAGATAGATTACGCTAAAATGTGGATTACAAACTGCAAAAAATGCCTAAACTAATATTCTATTTAAGACAACAACGAACTTATACACGGCACAGGCTGCAACATAACGTACATTGTCGAAAGAGGAGTTTTTTAACTGTAACATGAGTAGACAAAATTAAAATAAGAAAACAAATCAGCCTTTACATAAATATATACAGGCACAAAAAAATACGCATCAGAGGATCAGAGTAACTTGTTCGTATCCTCTTCACAGGTACTTCCTCTCCACAAGCCTTTTGATATGCAAGGTCAAAGCTTGATCAGCTCAGCAATTCTCACAATATAATAAGAGACTCAGTATCTACACCCAAAATTATTCCCACAACAGAACAACCTAAATGAATTTAAAAGAAAACTGCATTGAATTAAATATAACGGAACTGTGGATTCGAATACCCAAGATGAGCTTAACTAATTATCAAAGCTACATGCTAGCACAATGTCATCAATGGACCTATTTAGCGATCAGCAGAGATTTCAGAAAACCCAACAGACAACAAAATTAATTGGAGCCAAAAACAAATTAATAGTTTAAAAAAGACATAAATTTAGCCTCAATAAGAAATAAAAACACTGCACCATGTCAAAGCAATCAATAGAAGTTCAACACTTATCTCGGAGAATTTAAAAAAAATTGTCTATAATGTAATCTAAGAATTCTAACAAAAGAACCATTGTACATCGTGAAAATGCTTGATAATGGAGTGGCAAAGGAGAACTAAAGCTGCAGACATTTTGAACTATGCCAAAACGCTGCATGGACAGAAACAGCTCATACAAGAAAAAAGAGGAAAGGAGCTGATTGTGACATGCGCATTCATGCATTTTCATGTTTCATTACAATTTCTTAGATACGGTAAAAGTTTCAGCACAAAATTGCATCGACATCTTTCTTGCTTTTCAAGAGCATAAACCAACAATTATTGATTTATTGTCTTTTACATGAAACAATTTTCACCTAAGAGCCGCTAAAAACGTCACAAGGCCATGTACTATATATCAATTGAAAAATGTCAAGAGGGCAGGTTTCAGAGGCATGCCGGCTCTTTAACAATGGGGCCTAACAAACAAGGAAGACAACTTATAATTTTTATGAACTATGGAAATTTTAAAGATCCTGCCTTGACAAAGTGAACAATAACTAATGGCACCAAGTGGACCAAATTAAATGTTTATTCATCATTTATAATTGGAAGTCATAGTGACAATAGCGTAGATGCACATTTGCCATTAACTCGCGACGTAATTTACCAGAGTCAATAACAAAGGGGTGTGAAGCACAAAATTCACCCAAGAAAAAAGTCATAACAGAAAAGAGGTCTTCTTGAAGCAGAACAGAGGTCATATAAACCAGTAAAAACAGGTGACTGCGAAGTGCAAATTGGGACAACACAATACACACACAAATAAGAAGCTCTTAGAACTGCAAAGACAGGACAGCTGGCAGACAATGATTGAAGAGTGGAGAGGGCTTATATCACAAGCAAGGGGAGTGGAAAGAGACAAAACGGTCTTGACCAAAAGACCTGAAAACAACTAGTAGGATGACACAAAAATGTAGGCGAAGCAAGATTTTTACCAAGATTTTTACCAGTTTTAAGTAGCAGCCGCAATGCTACTGTTGCAGCTGAGATTCGTTCCCATGTCAAAACACGACACATCTGCAGGCGCATCATGGGGAGGCCATGTGACAAATCCAGTGCGATTAACTAGCCTGATATAACATGAATTGAAACATCCTACCATCACTTCCTTTTCAATTGACAGGATAAAGTATTCAAGTCACACTGAAAATTATCCACAAGACAAGCAAACATGGGAAATAAAGTGCCACTATCTGAACAATTGTACTATAAGATCATCTTCCAAATGAGGATTGCATCTGCAGCTATTAAGAAAGTTCATATTCTGGCATGACATGGCAGTGTGAGATCTAAGACCTGAAATATACTACATTATTGGAGGGCACACAAATAATCAAAGCAAACAGTGATCAGAAATCTCTTATCTCTGTAAGAAAATAATTGGTAGAAATCACCAATTAATTTGCTGAGAGAGAAGAAGCAAACCTAGCATCATATTTAGCCATTGGAAGCAAGGCATGCAAGCCTCCTCCTACACTGGCCCTGGAAAATGTAGCTGATTCATCAATAACAATCAAAAGATGGAAAAGTTGACACCATAAAAGAAATAGCTTATAAAGTTTATCCAAATTAAGCAAGATTTTAGAGTGATCTGTACTACTACAAACTAATAAGCAAGCTGTCCAAGTCACATCCATGATGTTGTCAATAATTGCTTCAAAATCAAAAGATATACACGAGCATCAGAAAGTAGTGAAAGAAATGATTAGAAGAATCTTTCATCTGCAAATCATTGCAGGCTCCTAAAGACTAAAGTTGGATAGGAAAATTAGAACATCAAATAAACAGGGAAAATAAATAAAGAGCATGGAGCATCATTAACTTGGTATATACATAGAGAGTATTGCAACAGAATTTCCCCAATATAGAAATATTAAGAAAAGAGAATGATTCAAATATATGCACTTTTGTTCAAAACCTAATAAGGCTGTACAAAGATGTGGTGGTATCCCTATGTTATATAAACATTTAAAAATTCTGACCAGCTGAAACTAAGTTCTTTATCTCCATCGAATGTTCATCATTTGAAATATTGAGTGAAATACGAAGATTAGTCAATAATTCTTCTTGTTCCCAACTTAAAGGACCAGAAACATATATTGCCTCTAGCGTTCTGCGATAGGCATGCAACTCTAACCTATGAATTCTTTCTGCTACAACGTCTTCTGGAGAAATGGAGCATCCTTTATCCACATCTCCAACATCTACAGATTCTGCATCACTACGAAGGGTATCCTCATCTTCTTGGCAAGAACCTTCTAGGGTATCACTGGAGAATTTATTTGTATTATTACTTATCACACTACAACTGCCAACTGAACTCATAACACTACAAGAATATTCAGGTTCTTCAATTCTTTCAAGAAAGTGCGTTGAAACATTACAAGGATTCTTCTTCCCTGTTTCATAATATTGGTTGGCACCATTAGTAAAGGAAGTATGCATGCATTTTTCACCCATATTATTTTCTGGGTAAGCAACAGCATCTACCTTTTCCAGCAAAAGGGCTGTGGGTAGTGCTTTGAGTCTTTCGCATTCACCCATACTTGCAACAGCCCTCAATTTTATGGGATAAGGCTCAATAAGAGAGGAGCCATAAGGAGACTTTCTCTTCAATGTTGAAGTTGAGGCCAGATGAGATTCCTGGGGAACACTTGCGTCTAATCCTGGTAAACAAATCTTTCTGGTTTGCTGAATTTCAGGCTGATCCTTGTAACTGCTTGAAATCAAACTCCAGCTAGACTTCCCAACTCCGGACTTGCATGGTCCCTGGGACAAGCATGAGCAAATGTAAGGAAAAGGCATGTCAACAAATATCAGGGACAGTTGACATAAGCATCTTCTCAAGCAAAACTCATACGGACTTAAAGGGTAAAAACATTCAAATTCACGAGATATATTCTAACACTTGGCAAATTGCCCAAACTTTGAGAATACCAGCTAAAATATAAAATGAGATGATAAGCAACATTGAACTACTTATATAGAGCAAGTAGGAATTTACCATTGGCATAATAAACCATTGACCATTATGCCAAGACTGGCGTGGCCTCATGTTTACTTTGTGAACATGTAACTCCTTGCAAGACACCCACAGCCTTGCTAAGTAGAAGCCTCTGCCTATGAATTTCAAAACAGTAGCTGCTTTCCAACAACCAGCATCATAAACCTCCAAATGATCATTAGCTTCCCAACTCTCAACACCCTTAATAGGAGGAGGACATGGTCGGATGGCCTTCCTCGGAACTCTCTCCACACTGGCCTCGCCTGTTTTGCTAGAGCAGTCATACTGGACACTGTAAGTGTGCCCATTACCAGAAATTATTCGAGCACAGCGCCATTCTACTCTCAGCCTCTCTGTTTTGCCAATGATCTCCACTTTACTTCCCTTTTTCAATCTCATAGTGAAGACGACAAATCCAAGCACAAGCCTGTGACATTCATAAATATATGTTACTCACACAGAAGAAAAATATCAAAATTATCAATATTTGATACCATTAGTGCCTTTTTCATTCTACATCTCTATACCTCAAAGGCTCAAACACAATAATGTTTCAACACAGTATAGTATAGCATCAGGATGATGGATTTATGATATGACACAAAACCAGACGCATACTTAAGGATTAGAGACGTTTCACAAGTTGAACTGCAAAATAATCTAACATTCATCATCAATAAAAAAATTACTACTCATCAGAAAAGGTGCGGTTAATGGAATAAATTTCAAAATTTTAAAAAACATTTTAACGATACCCAATACCGTGATTTTTCCTCCATAATTTTGAAATGAGAAAACCACAATGAAATTTGGTTAGACGTTTAATTGAAAATTAATTAGAAATTTGGGATAGTCGTCGTCATAATAAACAAAGGCAGATAACTCAAAATATGCCGAAGGATCAAGAAACAGAGAGAGATATAACAATATTAAAATTCACACAGACAGTTACCAGAATCGGAGTAGCAAAGCGTTAAATGAAAAAGATAAAAAATACCAAAACAACTGTAATCAAATGAAGAAGATGAATACTGACCTTTATCGACGATTAGCGATGTATGATCGATCTTTCAATCTTCGAATCAATCGCTGCCTTGACTTTTTCCAAGGGAATGAGAATCGAAACAGCGTAGAAATTAGGGTTTCTCAAAACCAATAATCAATAATAACAAATGAAAATGCATTTCAAGGAATAATAGGGTTTCTTAAGAAAATAATAGGTTGAAGAAGGGTAGCGATGGGAATCTGGTAGATGGGCCGCAGAGGATCGAATCAATGCCTATGGGCCCTGTGCAGGCTTGATATGATATGATTCGTTTTAGAAAATTTAAAAAAACATTCGACCAGAAAAAAATATTACTGACAGAAAAAGGGAAAAATAGTTAATGTCAACAAAATAATTAAAATATTCTTAAAAGTATGATATAATTAAATTATATTTCATCTAAAATAAAAATATAATTTAATAAAAACGTGTTTTTAAGTTCAGTACTTGCATTTATACCAGTTTCATTTTCATAACTAAATTATTGGTTCAAATGTGATATATTTATATGAAGTATGGATTAATATTTAATTAATTTTCTATCATTTAAAAATTATATAATATTTTAAATAATATATATAGTCTGGATATTTATTATTTATTTGATGCAATGACTTTGTGTAATTTGATTTTAGCTTAATTCTTTTGAGTTGGACATTATAAATAAGTAAAATATTGTAAAAAAAATACAAAAAGGAAATTAAAATTAATTAATTAAAATGAATATTTAAATTTGATAAAACAATTAAGCATTAAATTATCTTTAGGATAATAATTAAGTTATCGTAAGGTAATTCTCAAGTGCTTTTTAAATTAATCATAACTCTAAAGGAATCAAATAAACTTTAAACTACAACCATAGTGTAATTCTTTTGTGAAAGTGAGCAGAGGTAGAAGTGAAAAAGACAGTGGAGAAAGCGTTAATAATAACAAAATGAATCGTATTGCAAGATTTGAAGGTAAAGAAATAAAAGGATCAATGGCATTTTAGTTAAATGACAGTGGAATTGATAATATGAGTAATTCACGATGGTTAAAGATAAACGAGACGAGAGGAAACAAAAACGAAAAAAGAAGATGAAACAAGAGATTAAAAGAAGAAAATAGACATGATTATTATAAAAAATTTCAAATGTCAATAATATATTAAATACTGAATTGACTGATAGTTATTAATTTTAAAAATATAACAAATTTAATTTTTATCGTGTTGTATATTTGAGAAACTAGAATGCATGTTTATCTTTACTTTTTTTCTTCTTCTAATTTTCGACAAAGTTTTAAGGTACATTTAAATAATTGCTTATATAAGTATTTGTTTAATCATTTTTTTAATGATAACTTATATCTTAATTTTAATGAGAAGTTTTATTAAAATAAGGCAAAAATAACTTGTTTTGACAGACTATATTGGCAAAAATATTAAAATATTATTATTATTACTATTTTCATTTAATTCATATGTTTAAGTAAAAAAATACTGTTAAGTTGTAAAAATTTTATTTTAGTGACATAATTTATCAAAACTTTAACATATATGGGTCTTATTCATGACTAACAGTACTTAAAGAGGAGTAATATATTAATTAGATTTTGTGTCTTGGTCCACGAATTTATATTGTGTATGATACTTTTTATAATTTAAATTATTGACCACTGTTGATTATAATAACATTCAATGTACTTATCTATCTACATTAGCCTTTTTATTAATTACAATGTTATTTAATTTTTTTTTAAATAAAATATTAATTTGTTTATCTAGTACATTGTAAAACTATACAGTGATAATTTAGTTATTGAAGAATTTAGACAATTTAAATTTGAAATAACTTATGACATTAAAATAGTCATTTTATAAAATAATAATAAAAATTATACCTTTTAATACTTGACGAACTTAATACTGTAATATTTTAAAATATTCAATAATTTTTTGGTAAATCCTTGAATGGCTGAAATAATAATTTAGTACATAATGATAAAATAATTAAAGTCTACTCAATATATCTATATATCTATATCTATATATATATATATATATATATATAATGATCACCACTTAACACACGTATAAAGGGTTTAAATATGTTTTGTTAGTTATCCTTCATACTACGTCTTTTAAACTCGTACTAATATACAGAAAAGGAAAAATATCAATTCCAATATTAAAACTCACGTAGAAGATTAAAAGAGTCCGAAAGAAAAACAAAAAAATCTCATCTATTCATGAATTTTAAATTATATAAAAATAATTTAATTTTTTATTTACTTATAACGATCTTATTTTATTCACTGATCTACTTGGCTAAAAAATATTTCCTTTCTTCTGTGATTCATACAAAAAAATTATAGTTGTAGAATTATGTTATTTATTAGAACATTATAATAATAACAACAACGAACAATACCATAAAATATATATGTAAATAAAACAAAATGATGAATATAAAAGAGTTAGTGTTAGTAAACATGGTTTTGAAGAAAATAAAAATAAGAAATCAAATAAACTATAAAAATTTAGTAATTATAATGCTTAACAAAAAAAATGACTTTATATACTCAACTATTTTTAATTTAATATAACTACTAACTAATTTTTATAGTTAAATAATAATATTATGTGATAATTAAGATAGAATAAATTTAATGTGACGTGTAAATGTTTTTTTTTTGTTAATGTGTATAATAAAATATTCAGGAACATTACAAAATAAATAAAAAAATTATGGTATAAAAAAAGGGTGAATGTTCTGGCGCCTTAAAAATTGGAAGGCATCTAATGCACTTTTTAGTTGGACTAATAATCAAAGAAGTATGATGATTTTTTATTTTTTGAAAAAATTATAAAAAATATCTTATAAATTTAATAAAAATATAAAAATTAAATATTTTATGCGCATTGTCGGCTCATGATAGTTGTTAATAAACTTTGTCTACCTTTTAAAAGTTTATGATGTTATAACTCCCTTTTTACATTTTGTAAGATCTCTCGAAATGGATCTTATATGTGAAAACTTGTCAACAAATTTTTGGACGGATTATAATTGTTGTTTAGGTACAATATTTGATTTTTCACTTGCAAACTTACAAAAATATTTTGATCTAAGAAGGTATGAATTAAACATAAATTTAAAATTTGCCGATTGTAAAAAGAAGAGATGAACCTGTCACAATGTTGACCCATTTAACATCAGTGAGGTAGATATACTTGTTAAAATATTTCAATACCAAATATTAACTTGCACCTATAAACTAATAATGATGGAATAATGTGTACCTAATAACGTTGATCACTTTACACAAGTCTCTGATGTGAGTGATCACAGCCAAAGCACTGAGATGATTATAAAATCCTCGTTGCTAAAGATGTTACCAATAGATGGTGATCTCTTGATGCGAGCGAAATAGGCGTGAGAGGCTACAATCACGGGAGCTTAAGCGAGTTTTAAATTCTCTGTTTGGTCCATTTGTGAAGTTGAGTGAATTAGCTTTGGGTCGAAGATTACCCAAACCAATACTTAACGAATCCTGAATCAATATTAATATTTTACACATTTATGATCAGTACATATAAGTAATGACTTTAATAATGTATTTTGTAAATCCTTTATAATTATATTTTCATTTATTAATGACAAAAACCAATATAATAGATTTCTTAATAACACGTTAAATGCCAACTTAATATATTAAACGTCAATTAAATTATATTAAAAGCCATGCAATGAATATTCTGAAGGATTTAAAATAAACGAGGATAAATTTATCCACAAAACTATTCAATTTTGTTTAGAAAAACTTAAATGTCAATTTCAATATTTTTTTTCCTTAAAATTTGCATGGAATTTTTATGATGTAGGATTACATTTAACGCGTTAAATTAAGACTGAGCATTTGTATTCGTCAATAAAAATTATTTGTATTGCGTTAAAAATAATTCAGAAGCAATTTACAAAATTATATATTAAGAATCCGTTTATTGACATATAATATAAACTTGGTAGAATATAAAATAAATTAAACTCTTATCTAACTTTATAATGGACATCATATTATTTTATTCTTCCTTTTTATGCAATAAAGTGAATATTTACTCGAGATTATTTACATATCTTATAGGGACATAATCGTCCATTAGACATTGTTTCGTTGATGAATCATCATCACCATCCGCCAACGTGTTAGAGAGAGCAGGGACAGTCCAGTAACTTCACTTTCCAATGGAAGCAGCTAGGCTCGGCTCTTCTATAAGTCATGCCTTTATATATAAAGCTTAGGTTTTCTGCTCTCATCTTACTGAAAAAAACCTTTCCGTGGTTCTCGACTCGGGTAAGAGCTTTAGGGTTCTTCATCTATACTGTTCCGTTCCGAGCATGCAAATCTTGCGCAACGTATGTGTTTCCTCATTAACTTCTCCACGTAATTGTAGTTCAGCACTGATCTATCTAAAACTTTGTTCCTCTAAGGTTTTTCCGGAATCTAACTAGGGTTTAACATCTGCTACTTAATTTGATGATTTGTACTATTTCCGTGCCGTTTGTTTCATCTTCGCTGGTTTGTCTTAAGCGTTTGCTTTTCTATTAGCTAATTGGTTTGATTCCTTGTGTAATGTTCCCTTTCCGATCTGGATTTCTCAACCCTTTCAAGGGTTTAGTTGAACTCGTTGCGGTTTGTTTTCGAGATTTCACCATCAACGGTCGGTGATTGTTGCGATGTGCTTGGATTGGATTTGATGTTCGAGATTGACATGAACTGAACCGGTTTTTTAATTTTTTTTGAATTATTATTTCGTATCGACTCTGCTGGATTGGATAGAGCACTGTTTGTCACTGCACTAACTTTGGGTGTGGATATCGACAATTTCCTGTTGCCATTGTTCGTTAGGGTTCTTGTTTGTCTGGTTTTTGAATTTGGCATGAATTAGTATTTGGAAAATTTATCTTGACTAGCTTGAAACTGCAGTTCTGTATTTTTGGCGTGTAGCTGGAATTAGAGTTTGTTTCCTGTTGATATATTGTTAATTAAGATCCACTAATATTTGAGGGGTTTGTTTGATAATGCTTTGTTACTTCAGGTTAGTGGGCTATGCTTTTTTAGATTTTGACAAGTAAGACAAAGACCATGACAAAGAAGAAGAATCCCCTGGTTTTTATGGACGTGTCCATCGATGGGGATCCTGTTGAAAGGATGGTCTTTGAGGTACTTTGTATTCTTGTATTTACTGTTTATGCTGCAACTTTTGCAGTATTCAATCTAATGAGTGTTCACCTTGCCCTTATAGCTTTTCTTTGATGTTGCTCCCAAGACTGCGGAAAACTTTCGTGCATTATGTACAGGTATAATAAATTTAACTCTCATGGTAATTTCTTCAATTCGAACTTTATTAATAGGACATTTTCTTTTCCTCTTCACAATTGGCAATTTCTACCATCAAAGTACCAACTCAACATGTATTTGGACATATTTGTGTACTTAACTTGCATTTGCTTTTTGATTGATGTCAGAACATTTGGTAAAGATTGTCTCCCTGGTCAATGACAATGAGTCACTGACTGATTCCTCCATTTTTGCATGAAATTTTGTTCTGTTCAGGAGAAAGAGGTGTCAGTCCAAATACTGGAAAATCACTACACTACAAGGGTTCTTTTTTCCATCAGATTATAAAAGGTGCCATTGTACAGGTATGTTATTTTATTTATTCTTACATTTAGGGTAGTTCTATGATATGTAGTATGTCTTGATATCTTCTCATTGTGGTTGAACATGGCTTAGTAGTGGTCCACGTTACCCTTGTTTATGCTGTAGGATACACTGGGCTGATGGTCACGACTGCTTTTCTTGTGATATAGTTTTAAGGTTGTACTTACTAAGTTGTTCATCCTTGTAATTCTAATAAGCCTCATGAAGCCTGATCCCCATTTGTATGCATTAATTATTGTAGATGATTATGTGCTCAACAATTGACAACTGGTTTTGCTTTTGCAGGGTGGTGATTTTGTCAATCGAAATGGTATGTATTTTATTAATCCATTGCATCTCATTGAGTTACCTTACCTCTCCATTTTTTGAAGGTTGCAATTTGATACTATACATGTAGTCACTTTCTTTTATGTTTTTATTATTTGATCATTCAGTTGTCCGAGTTGCCAGCCTTGTTCTTGCATGTTTCCTGTGACAATGGTAATTTCTTTTCTAAGTCGATTAGGAACATGATTAACAAAGTTCCTTTACATGAACACAGATTGGCCTGTATTGAGTTTGGTATTAAAGCTATTTGATTTGGAAATTTGTGTTAGTTTTTTTATATTAATACATATGTGAATGTTGATTTTCAATTCACCTTAATCACTGGGGCATGCCTTCCTTATTTTTTTAGTGTTGAAAGTATTGTTTGCTGATAAAATATTGTATCACCAACCTCTTTTCTTGTTCCTAATTCTTATTTATTGCCTTGATTGGTAGTAGTTTAGTCATGGTTCATGTGCATTTTTTCATAAATTTCCTTGATGTGTTGATTTATATACCCTCTGGTCCTGTCCTGATTTTCCTGTATTAACTGCATGATATTTTCCTATGTTTTGCAGGTACTGGTGGTGAAAGTATTTATGGTTCCAAGTTCCCTGGTGAGAATGCCAAGTCTTGCTTATAAGCTCATATTATACACAATGAATTGCTCATAATTGACATAGTTTGTATTGGTGATTTGTTTAGATGAGTCACCTAGGTTGAAGCATGATGCTTCAGGTCTTTTATCAATGGCAATTGCAGACCGTGACACTGTTGGTTCTCATTTTATGATCACTTTGAAAGCTGATCATCACCTTGACAGGTTTGTGTGTCTGGTTAACTTTTGGTGGCATTTTACTTCTTACTTAGATGTTCTGTATTGGTTGTTGGGGTGGAGGGAGGTAAAATGCCTGACTGTACAGTTGTGTGGCCATTTTGCAGGAAGCATGTAGTCTTTGGGAAGCTTGTGCAGGGACATAATGTTTTGAAGAAAATTGAAGAAGTGGGTGATGAAGAAGGGCATCCAACTGTAACTGTTAAAATCATTAACTGTGGTGAATATAATGAGGGTGAGGATCACTTGGCCCATTTCAAAATACTTAATTTTACTCCCAATACATGTGATGGTTAAATTCCCAAACAATTTTACTGATAATTCTGTCTCCCAAGTCTTTAAATGCCAGATCATAGTGAATTTTGGGTTCATTTTTCTTGTTCAATCAAATGTGCCCTGCTCTGACCCAGTGTTTCATTTTTAAATATGATTGTTTTTTAAATATATTTGAATCTTGATCAACAGATGGAAAGAAGGTAAATAAGTCAAAAATGGGAAGGGATGGATCTTCTGAAGCCAATAGTCATGAAACACGGAGAAAGGGAAAGCATAAAAAATCTTCCAAAGACCGAAGGAAGAGGAGAAGATACTACTCATCAGATTCAGGGAGTTCTTCAGATTCTGATCTGGAATCTTCAGAAACTGATAGTGATTCTGAGTCGGATATATCCTCATCATCTTACATAAGCTCCTCCAGTGATGACAGGCGAAGGAAGAGAAAGAGATCTAAGAAAGATAAATATAGACGAGGAAAAAGAAGAGATAAACGCCGCGACAAGAAGCGAAGGAGACGTGATAAGAGATCAAAGCGGAAATCAAGAAGGTATTGAATACTCAATATTGATTTGGTTTATGATTTTCAGTCATCTATCCTTGTTGCTTTCTTCTTGTTGAGATGAACTTGTAATGGCCATTAGTTCAACAAGGTTTGTGTTCATTGCAATTTTTAATGCAAATATGCTAGGAAAGATGTAGGTTATCTCTCATGCTGTGTGTATTCATATGAATAAAGCAGTTATTATATGTATTTGATTGTTCCTTTTTCTCTCGTTACTGGCAAATACTTTTTCATGTGATGTTTTCTTGCATTTATGTAGAAATATGTGTGGTTGAAAGTCTCTGAATTTGATCTCTGATTTTAATGGTCATGTCACTATCCGTTGGCATTCTGGGATGATTGATGCAAGGGGCCATCTCATATTGTGACAGTTCACGTTCCTTAGAAAATTTAATAAAATATATCATTGTTTTGAACTAGTACTTTGCACACATGTAATATTTCAGTCATACTTAATTTTCCTTTTCTTTTCCTTGATTGCCATTGAATTTGTTGTATGTTTTAGGGAATCTGGCACTGATTCGGAAAGTGAGAGTAACAGTGACAGTAGCTCTAAAGGTGAAAGTACTGATGCCCAACGGAAAGGGCTGAAGCGTAAAGATCATTCTCAGAAAAATGGTAATTTTTTAAATAATTCTACTGTTCCAAATAAATCATTGTCTGTGACCATTTGTTGTCTTCAATGAAACAAAGTCTTGAAATATATTCCGAGAGTTTCTTTGATTCTGTTTTCTCTTTCAATTCTTTGGGTCACGTGGATGTTTTTTCATTCTTTTTCCCTTCATTCATTGTAGCAGCTGAAATTAAATCTCCCTTGATTGTTGGGAAAGATGTACCTCCTGTGCATCACAAAAAGGAGGAAGGGGGTATCCTAGAGAACGAGGAAAAATTGTCTAAGGAAAACGGAGAACGGCATAGCAATGGCAATGGAGCTAACTATAGATCTGACGGAAGTGAAGAGAGGCACCCTGACGTGATGGATGATCATTCGGGCAAATCTAGGTCTACTTTCCTCTTTAGTCACACCTCAGTTATTTCTTTTGCTTACCATTTCTCCCAGATCTGGTATTTTATTAAAAGTTGATGAGCAGGAGTCGAAGTGCCAGTCCTAAGCGAACCATGAGTAGGAGTATGAGTATTAGTCCCAGGAGGAGTGAGAGCAAGAGCCCAAGCATTACTCCCAAAAGGAGATTGAGCAAAGGTCCAAGCATTAGTAGAAGCCCTCCTCCATCACGGAGGAGTTTTAGTAGAAGTCCTGTAAGAAGCATCAGCAGGAGTCCAAGCAGAAGCATCAGTAGAAGTCCAGTGAGGGGCAGGAAGGGCAGAAGTGTCAGTAGAAGCCCTGTGAGAAGCCCCGTGAGAACTCGTTCTCTTAGAAGTGTCAGCAAGAGCCCTGTAAGATCCCATTCTCGAAGCCACTGGAGCAGGACTTCTCCCAGAGCATCATCACGAAAAACAATCAGCAGAAGCCCTGCAAGAGTTTCAAGAAAGAGTGTAAGCCGTAGTCCAGTTAGATCATCCGCAAGAAGCTTAAGCAGAAGCTCTGGCAGGGTTCCTTCAAAGAGAAGCATCAGCCGAAGTCCTGTCAGAGCACCAAGTAGAAGCAATCGTCGCAGTTACTCCAGGAGTCCTAGCCCTGTTCGAAGGACAAGGACACCTCGTGGGAGGAGTGTGTCGAGGAGCGATTCACCTGATGCTTCACCAAAACGTATCAGAAGGGGAAGAGGTTTCAGTGAACGGTACTCGTATGCAAGAAGGTACAGAACCCCCTCTCGGTCTCCTGTGAGGTCATATCGTTACAATGGAAGAAGTGACCGTGACAGGTAAAGTTGAATGCAGTTTTCATTAATACACTAAGATGGTATTGAGATTTGATTGATGAATGGCAGAATAAGCATTTTGCGTCTTTTTTCCTCAGGTATTCTAGTTACAGAAGGTATTCCCCTAGGCGATACAGGAGCCCACCACTGCGTGGAAGAACTCCCCCAAGGTTTGTTTTTTTTCTCTCTCCTTTACATTAGCTTTTCACGTTATACTAGTATATCTTGTATTTGATTTATAATTTGTTTCTTATCATGAATATTTCATATTAATGTCCATTTTAGTTTTTTGCGTCATTGTATTGTAATATGATTATTTGAAAACATGTGTAGGTACCGAGGCAGGAGGAGCAGGACGCCATCTGTTTCACGCAGCCCACGATACCGACCTCGACGATATAGCCGAAGTCGGAGCCCAGTTCGCAGTCGTTCCCCAGTTGAACCATATCGATCTCGCCCCTCTCCTCGTGTGGAGAGGCATGCATCTTCACGGAGCAGGAGTCCATCAAAATCTAGGTCCAGGTCTAGGTCTTCTGTGGAATCACGATCTCCACGGAAAGCAAGTAGAGATAGCAGGTCAGGCTCATCGTCCAGAAGCCCAGATGGAAAGAAAGGCTTGGTCTCATATGGCGATGGTTCTCCATATTCGGGCCAAAGATGAAATACTTTGTCCCAAGGGTTTTGGGTTTACTGTAACCTTTAATGAGCCAGAGGATTCAATTTTTAACAGCACCATCTGTTCGTGAATGTCACTCTTTATAGACCGCAATGGATGTTGAAAGATTTAGAATAAGTTAGACGGTACTTGGGACATTAGGTTGCTGCCTTAGATGTGGGGGGTTGTTGCGGTATTTGTTGTTAGGAGAAGCATTTGAGTTGAATTTATAAAATTATGGCTAGCTTTACTGTATGGACTACTAGATGATAGCGCAGTGTCCGGTAGTGGAGTTCGGGAACACATTCATGCCTAATTTACTAGGATATTTAGCTCAAGATTCAAGAGGATTGTAAAACGTCGGGGGTCTATGTACTTCTCTTTACGCTTTTTTTTTTTAATTAAAAACTTTTAAAAAACATTAAGTGATTATGTAAGTTTCTTTTAATTGACGCATAAAAGTTATTAGTGTTTTCTTTGAAATTTAAAGACATTAATTTAAACAGTATATTTTTTTACAATCAAAATCATCGTTAAAAAAGATTTGCGGTTAATAGAATTAGTAGGAAGTGCATCAGGAAGTTTTCGTTTAATTTTAATTATACTTTTTCTGATATTTTTAAAAATAGAAATTAATTGAGGGTAAATGAACTTAAATGCGTTTGGCACTTGCATTCTTGAGTGAAAAAGGTGTTAATAGTTTTTAGGATATATTAATTAAACTAATTATTACAATTTTCATATAATATTGATTGTGAAGGTGAAATGTATGGGAGCTTTCTTTGAATTTACTCGATGTGGATGTGAATATAATAGGCTATTAGGCAAGCTTTCTTTGTATGTCTGGTTGCATTTGAGCTGAGGCACTCGGGTCAAAATCACATCATGCGTGAAGTTCTAAACCGCAGTAAAATCTGCCTTTTACATAAGTTTGGGTACACATTTCAATTGTAGTTAAAAACTCAAATTAATTATATTAAAATAATGCCTATTCAATAGTAAAATAAATGGGAATTAAGTTTGTAATTTATTTATTTGAGTAGCAATATATTTACAACCAACTTTTACTAATTTTTTTTTATAATTTACTTTTTATGTATCTCTCTTCATCGTATTATTCATTATTTTAAATAGTTTTACTTTTTCAAACTATTTTACTTTATATATATACTCTAGAAGTTAAAGGAGGTGCTCCTCTTAATACTTTATCAACAATTTTTTTAAAATTTTGAATTTCTCTCTTTTTTTAAAAATTAATTTTTGACTAAATTGAATTACATCGTAAAATTCATATAATCGATTCTATCTAATTGAATGAAACTCGATTGTTGGTGTATGAATACAGAAAAAAAAATAATCTTATTTTACTATCTTTTCGAAACAATTATTAAATCATTTTGTCTAGTCTTGTTTTTTTATAAATTAAAATTGCAATCAATGACCATAAGTTTGTCATGTTAGAATAATTTTTAAAAACTAAAAAATAAATCATGTAACTTTAATTATTTTTATTGATTTGGGTAATTTAGTTGAAGTAAGTTATAAAAAAATTGTGGGTTCTCCCCATTTATAACTAAACATTGGGTTAGGAGTGGCCACATGTAGTGTTAACAGGACAACTAACCACCTTAGCCATTGCATTAGTTCGTTGCTAAACCGGTCACTTATTTCCCACTTTCCCTAATCCCATTCCTTGCCAAGGGGAAGGGACAAATAGACGGATCAAATGTGCCAGGACACCTAAGAGGGAGACAAAGATCTTAAGAAAGAAGTGGAGCATTTTCCTATGCAAATAAAACATTGAAACTATCTTCATTTTCTTTCTTGTAACTTGTTTGCAGTTTGCCTAATTTATTATATCAGCAAAGGTCTACAGTTTTCATTTAAGCTTTTTAAATGCTTCAAAAGACCACAGCCTTGGTGGTTGAGACTTAGATCAAAAGCCTAGGAAAGATGTCAGTGTCATCATCATCTCGTTTTTTTGACACCATTAGTGAATGTCTCACCCTAGTTCAATCAGATTCCCATGAAACTCAAGAGAAAGCCCTTCAAACGCTTGTTTCCATCACCAAGGTAAGTCCCCAAAATAGAACCTTTCTCGCTCAAATAGATGGAGCCATCCCAACATTAGCTACACTCACAAATTCTTCCTCCCCCATTATCCAAACACTTTCTTTGTTGATCCTCTTCAACCTTTCCTTGAATCCTGATTTAAAGCAATCTCTTGCAGATATGGAAACTATTTATTACCTCAATTCCCTCATTAGCTCCTCGTGTTCTCTTGATTCTTGCAAATTGGCCTCCTCATTGATTTGTAGTTTAGCCATGCTTGATAAAAACAAAGCCAAATTTGGGGTGGCAGGTACAGTTCAGTTGCTAGTGAAAGGTATTGAAGGCTTTCATGATTCTGATGCACATCACCTTTTGAGTTCTTTGGCTGAACTTGTCAATTTCCATGGAAACTGCACCTTGGCTGTGCGAGCTGGTGCAGTTCCAGTGCTACTAGGAGTTGTTCAAAGCACTGATAACGAGGACTTATCTTCAACTTCACTTACTGTTCTTGGTCTCCTTGCAAGGTTTGATGAAGGGTTAAATGGTTTGAAGAAAAGTGATGAGATAATTAAGTCAATGTTAAGTGTGTTGAAAGGGAGGTCGTTGTTGAGTAAAGAGGGTGCAGCTGATATCCTTCTTCGCCTCTTTGATGATAGTGAAAGTTGTGTCACAGAGGCTTTGATGTTACCTGAGTTCTCAACTGTATTAGCTGATCTTTGTGTGAGGGGTTCTGTGAGAGTTCGAGATAAGGCTGATTTGTTAATGAGAAAGATGGCAAAGTTGAGCTTAGACTCTGATATGGAACCAAGCTTCCTATAATATGTGCTTGACTTGGATCAAATTTACATGTTGAATCATTGAGTCAATTAATGTCCGTTAATTTGCAGTTGTTTTTACACCCATTCTAGGGATAATAAGTATATTTTAGCATCTCATTGATACATTTGGCCTCATATAAATTCATGGTTTGTACTGATTTTGAGTACTTGAAATGATAAAATTTTAATAAAAAAGAAAATATTTATTATATAAAAATATTTAAATATTTGATGGTGATATTTGTACACACTGTCAAGGGATGTGATTTGCATGCGAGAAAGACAGGGATAAAAAAGAAAGAAAAAAGAGAGTAAAAGATATGATAAACGGTACAAAAAAATATAAGAGAAAGTAAATGAAAATGAAATGAAAAAATATAAAAGTATTATTATTATTGAATAAAAATTATTAATTTGTTTGCGTAAAATCAGCTTATGCTTATGTTTTATAAATTAAATTACTATGAATCTGCATATTATTTTTATGCTTAAGTTTAAAAATATCATGACAAATTAAGTTATAATTTCAAGCATTTAAATTGAAAAGAAATATTAGTAATATTTTTTTAATATTTTTAATTATTATCTAAAATTAATTAAAATTATATGAATGCTAATTTTATTTTATTTTACTTTTAAGTTGATTATTATCTATCACATTTCATTAGTTTTTAACAAATTTTAATCAGTAATTAAAAGTATAAAAAGGAATATATTTTTAATACTGGATGAATTAAGCAGATATCCATTATGTGAATGTTAACTTTTTTTTTAAACAAATTTTTACTTAAATATTTTCTCTTATTTTTATAAATTTTAATTAATAATTAAAAATATGAAAAAAGAGTGTGTTTTTAATACTGGACGACATAAGGTGAACATCCATTATGCATTATAATAAGTTAGGTAAAATAAGAGGTATTGTAGGGTAAAGAAGGAGTGTTTTATGACAATTAAAGTTTGGGGTATCTAACTATGTTAATTGTTTATCCAAAATATTAAGTTACCACTATGGGCATAGCTTGCACCTCACCATGGCCTGCTTGCTCTGTCGACTTCTCAGACTGTGTGCACAACTATTCTCCATTCTTGTTTTATTCTGACCATCTTTACTGTAATTCAAGATCAGGGTCATGAGTTTCATAATATGACGAGAAGAACAATGAAGGATGTATATATTAATATTTCAAGTGCACATTTTATTTGTTCTATTGTTTTATTCTCCTGCTCCAATAGTCCAGCTGTATCCTAGCTGAAAGAAAGAAAATAGTGGCTTGTAGAATCAAAAACTTAGTCAGAGAGAGAGAGAGAGAGAGAGAGAGAGAGAGAAATTTAAACGTATCAAAATTCAAAAGTTTTTCAAGATAGTACAATGTACTCATTCTCTTCTAAAAATACGTACAAAAATAATTAAAGCGTTATAACTATTGATTTAAAAATTAATGATTTGAGTTGTAATTATATATATGTAATCAAATAGGTTTTAACTATTAACTTTTAATCAATATTTAAATTTTTTCATTTTTGGTCATAATTATATAAAAAATATACTGATCTCCGAGATAATAAAATATGGGCAACATCCAATATTCTACAGCAAAGCAGCAACATCCCGTAATAACTTTTTCACAGCTTTTTCAACCCTAGCACACTGAGAAAGCAATTTTAATGTTGTTTTAAATATTAACTTTGTTTGATACCAACTAATATTGAAATAATGTCTGAACCTATGTAAGTGGCATACAGAATATCAACGACATAGAAATAGTTTTAAATTTCTACAGATGCCTCGACACACCCCTTTTGAAATTACTATTTAATGTCTTCTTTCGAATGGTTCTGAGACAGTGATAGTATTTTATATACATATATTGCACGATCAATACATTAGGTTTAGGTTATTAAAAAATAATAATTGATGAGAGGCAAGAATGCCTTTCCTTGCTTTACGCCAGTTATTCCAGTCACTCTGCAATGAATTTCGATTTCTTTTGTGTTACTACCAACTTCCATTCTCCTTTTACTTATTGTGGGCCTTGCCAAGAGTTGACTACTTAAAAAGTGTGTACAAATTTGTAGAAATAAGATTCCATTTTTATTAAAAGAGAAGATGAATTGTAGATGTTTTATAGTTCATGAGAATAATGGTTATGTAACTTCAAACTCATAATAGGTTAGTAATAACTGGAATGCATTTTATTATGGCCAGCAACGATTCTATAGTTATCTCGTTGTAGTACGTACTAGTTCTGCATTAAGGTATGATTAAATGATAATCGAATTTTTTAACACGAGTAAGTTTATTTATTAAATAAAATTTGGGATAATTAATTCACATAATAAACGACTACGAGACACGTTAACTTGGTTTTGTATGTGCAAATAATAACTAGTTTTTTTAAGAAAGAAAATAGTGTTAATAAATGTTAGCGAACCGATAATAATGGTTAACCAGCAGCAAACTCATCAGTTCCATGAGTAAGATCAATTGTAAAAATAAAATTAATTAACGGCCATAATAATAATATTAGTATAACAAATAAAAAGGTGGTGGTAATTAATCAATAAATTAATAAGCAGACTAGAAATAGGTCAAGCTTACTCAAGTCTTGTACCACAAAAGAATGAATAGAAAATGTCAAATTTATAATGGGATTTACGTCTATGTGAATTTTAATAAATTTTTTGTGTCAAAAATATATTATTAATATCTCTCTCACACAAGATTAAACTTATTTAATAAATAAAATAATTTAATTAACTTAAAATTTAAACTAAATCATAAAATATCGACCAATAAAGTAACTCCAAACGCAAATTTTGGCAATGCAAAATGAAAAGCCGACAACATTATCCTTTTGTGCATCCCCAAAACAAAACCAAATTGCCTTCTCCACGAGCCTGGGCGATGAAACCTGCTTTACTTTTCATCAATCAACGTTGAAAAGAAGAATATCGTAGGTTTGTGTTTAAGAAATGAACAAAAGTATATTAACTTTGACATCTGTTTCGTTAATGAAAAGAGAGAAAATAAACTAAATTTTAAATTTAAGAAAGGTACAAAAAGAATTTTTTGGCAGAAAATATATTGTTATTTATGTTTTTTTCCTTCATCCAAATAAATAAACATATTTTAGTATAATTTATGCCTTTCTTTCGATTAATAATGTGAAAATTAAATAACCCAAGTCAATTAATAATTAAATGATTTTTATTAATCAAAATGACTTAAATTGTCATACAATCATTTATTCAACATTAATGATTCTATGTAGGACCAATATCAGTAATCATAATGATCAAATAATTATATACCATGTGAGTGAGCCAAAAATTTCAAACACACGCTTGTATATAGAATAATAAAAATAAGATTCCGTTAAAGGCACTAGTTAAAAAAAATGTTAAATGTTATGTGATGTATATTAAAAATTCATACGTAAATATATTTTTAAATATTTTAATCAATACCTTAATAACAGTAAAAATTAAACCATTAATGTTAGTATAAAAATTACATTGATAATTTTAAGAAATGCTAACAACTATTCGGATAAATTAAAAGTATATTTAAAAATTAATTTAAATGTAACTTTAGTTATGTAATAATTAACCTGACTGAATAGAAGGATATTATTACTACTAAGAGTGTTACAGTTACTGTGAGGAGTACTACGTAGTACGTAGGGGCATTGTGGTCAAAAAAAGGTTGTAAGAAAACAAGCGGCTTAATGCTGGGTTTGTGTTGTGTTGTGTTGTGTTGTGTTGCGGTGAGAGTGTGAAGTAATAAAACAAAAAGAGTTGAGGGAAAGTCGTGGGAACGAAGAAGCTAACGAAGGCAAATCAAGGAGAAAAGGAAAAAAGCCCTTATGCTTTTTGGGTTTGTTTCCCACCAGGTTGAGGTGTTTAGGTTTGTGCAAAGAACATAACTTTGCTCACTTTTTCCACTTCTTTTCACCTTTCAATGTTCTTTTTTTAATTTAAGATTCTGGTATATATTATGTGAAAGAGAAATATACCAACTTTGTTCATACCCCCGAGTATGAATGTCATCATTTCAAAATGAACCTTCCAACTTCTTTTAGTTAATGCTATTTTGCACATTATTTCGTTTTCTTTTGGAAAATTCAAGGTGGCAAATGGCAAAATAAAGAAAGGATTTTGTTATAGCCAAATATTCTTGTTTGTTGTCTTAGGCCTAGTGCTTTCTGGCTTTACTTAATTTCCACGAGCATAGATTCTCCAATCTTATTCTCTGTGTATTACAAAGTAAAATGCTTACCTTGGCTCCTTCTCTGCATTTTGTGCTTCATTTGTTGTGGGTTCTTGCTCATAAAGGGTTACAATTTTATTTTTTTTGTTGGCTCCTATAGTTTCTATCTCCTTTTCTTGAGTGCCTTTCACTTTCTGTCAATTTTCAAGGAGGTTTTAGCTAGTTTTGTAAGCAGGGTAGCTGATGCAGATTCATTGTATTATTATTTTCCTTTGTCACCCTCCCATTTGGGTATAAATACAGATTGCTAATGTTGGTGCTCTTCATTGCAGAAACTCATCTTAAGCATTGTGGCAGTGACCTGAGCATTTAGCTGTTTGGGTAGAAAATATGAGCTACAGCAGCTCCTCAATGAGTTCTGGTAAGTTGTGATCCTACATTTCCATTTTCATCTCATTGCCGTACACACACTACATTTATTGATTTACTAGTGAGCCTTTCTAGCAACTAAATCATCTAGGATTTCCGGCATTTTTTTAATGAACTTTATTGCTGTCATATTTCAGGTAGTGGAACTGCTAGAAGGACATTTGAGTTTGGAAGGACCCATGTGGTAAGACCTAAAGGGAAACACCAGGCAACTATAGTTTGGTTACATGGCCTTGGTGATAATGGCTCAAGGTATGTTGCTAACATGAATATCTTATGTAGTCATGGTTTAAAGATGGATATTCTATTAAAATTGGAGTACATCTGGAGATTTGTTTAAGGGAAAAGTTTTCTTCTTTTTGAGCTGGTTGGCAAACGGAATTAAAGGTTATAGTTTGAAAACCCATTGTACTCACACCAATAAGACATAATGCACTTTCCAAGTGACCATTCTTGTCAGTGTGCATGGCTCAACAGTTGGAGTTGGTGATGTTTGGGATTTTATTGTTTGTATAAGTTTATTCATTTTTTTATTGGCAAACACTTTGAGTGGACTCCTCCTTATGCTTGAGAATATACCTTCAATGAAATGGTGGTAAGGGAGGGAGTAAGGGAATGTCAATATCTTGTCCTCTTCTGTTGAAGTTTGTTTATTAAATAAGTTCTTAAATTCCATCCCCTCATAGGAAATTCTTGCCAATTGATTGGGTGGGATAACACAAAGGTACTGTCAACCAAAAAAGTTAAATAATCATTTTATTTCATCTTCTAACTTGAAAGTTTGCAGTAAAGGAAATCTTGACTCTCAGATTTTTATATGCCAGAAAATAGAAAGGGGACCACTTCTTCACAGCTATGTTGTTACCAAAACTTAATAGGCATGTAGATACTAATCATCAAACAAGGACACATCTAGTCCCAATGCATAAGTAATAAACTCTTGATTTTCATAATTTTGAAATCAGGTTGATTAGTGCTTTTAATCATATAATACAAATTATGCCATTTATTAATACGTGGTCCCAAAATCAGGTAGGATTGATATAATTTTAATGTGTATTATTTCCTTGAAGAAACCTTATAATAGTTTCAAATGTGATCTTTACTAGTTATAATTTTTTTTTACTTAAATTTGTTGTATTTGTAGTTGACAACTTCCTGATTAACCTATGGTGAATAAAATTGACTTCGTTTTTTTTTTGTTTTGCAGCTGGTCCCAACTCTTGGAAACTCTTCCTCTTCCAAATGTGAGAATAAGCATGTTTTGACATTTTTTCAGTTGCTACTGCTTATCTGAAGTTGCATCACATGCTAGTTATGCAATATTTGGAAAGCATGTGATAAACAGTTGCCATTTGTTTTCTTGAAATATATGTTGCAGATTAAATGGATTTGCCCAACTGCTCCTACTCGGCCTGTTGGCATATTTGGGGGATTTCCTTGCACTGCTTGTAAGATTGAATGCTTGAAATTCTACATTATTTCCTTGAAAACACCATTGTTCTTTTACCATTTTCCTTTGACTACAAAATTTGCTTCTTCACTGCAGTGATATATATAGATTTCTTTGCTAACTTACTGTATGTTGAGTGTAGAACTATAAAGTCAGGTCCATTTTAACTGTCAAGAATAGTCTAATTTGATTGAGGCATCTCTACCAGGGTTTGATGTTGGGGAGATTTCAGAAGATGCTCCTAGTGATTTGGAGGGTTTGGATGCTTCTGCAGCACATGTTGCCAATCTTTTGTCAACAGAGCCCCCAAATAGTAGGTTTTCCATGATCTCTTAAATAACTCATTGATATGATCTCCCATGCTCATTGAAATTTGAACATGAGAGGATCCATTCTCAATTCACAATGTTAGCTATATCTATGATAGAAAATGTCATAACGCTAATGGAAACAATGGTATTAGTTGCTAACAGCCTAACATCACAAATACAGAATACATCTCCTTAACAAGAGGTTCAGTCTTTTATAGTTTTCGTGAACTCCTCAGCCATGTATGGCTGGATATATGAAGTGAGCTATTGCTTATGGTAATGTAGAGTGAAAGCAAATGGTTTTCCTGTACAGCAGAAGAGTTCAATGAAATTATCAACAAGATTTGGAGGTTATTGAAGTAATCAACATGTTAATGCTCTCTACATTCTTTTATAGATTCCATCTAATAATTCAATATAGTTGTCCTGGAAAAAAATTCATTCTATTGATTATCCTTTGGTAAGTATTGAATATTGATACTGCAAGTACTGTCTAATTACATGCATATTTGTTTGGGGAAAAACAGATTGAACATTTTGATCAAGAAAAACTATTTATTTTATCTTTTAACAGTTTCCTTGTTTGTAGAAACAATAAGAATCACAAGAACTTGTTTTGATGTCTGCTTCAGTAGCAGCTGAGTATTATTCTCTATTTGTTATTCATCTGCACAGAATTTGGTATGAAAGTATAGGAAGAAAAAAGTGAAAGTTTACGACTCCATAAAGCCTTCCCGAGCCTTTAAAATAATGACCTTCCAAATTTGCTATCAATAAGGTGTTTAGATATTAAAGTGACTGAAGTATTATCTCATAAAATGAATAAATTAGAATGAAGCCAAATATTACATTTAGATTGTATTCACGGGAATGTTTGAACTAAATTCAAGTTGCTTGTAATTTGACTTTTCTACTTTTACTGTTTAGTCAAACTAGGTGTTGGGGGCTTCAGTATGGGTGCTGCAACTGCTCTATACTCAGGTACCTGCCATGTTTTGGGGCGCTATGGGAATGGAAACATTTATCCCATTAACTTAAGTGCTGTTGTTTCTTTAAGTGGCTGGCTTCCTTGTTCAAGGTTTGGTTTCTACCACTTGTCACAGTGATTATGTAAATACACTATGAATATGGCACATCCAAGAGTATTTTCCTTTTCTTTAAGCTATACATTATATAAGCCACTGAGAAGCTTCTAATTGATCCAGGACCTTGAAAAGTCAGATTGAAGGATCACACAATGGCATAAGGCGCGCAGCATCATTGCCCTTATTTCTCTGCCATGGAAGAGGTATTCATAAGTTCTATCATTTATCATTATAACTTCAAAAATTTTAAATTGTTATTGAAAGGAATCTTTTCCCTTTCTACAAATTGAGGGTGTGAAGGTATAATTGATTCATCTGGCCCTTACCCTGAATTCCTTTCAAGATGGGCCTGCACGCTAAAGTTCTCTTTTATAAAAATTTCAGAATTACACATCTTTCCTGTTATATGTATATCAAAGTTGAGATGCTAGTTTTATGCTTTTAGTGATCAATAATCTATAGTTATGTCTGGTCAATAGTAGTTCCTGTGCACAAAAAAAGAAATGCCTCGTAAGAGTTACTGGTTAAGACTCTTGACCTGTGCTTAATACTGTCTGGGAAGTGAACACTTCACATATGTTGAATTCCTTGTTTAAGTTGGTACTGATTTATCACATAATGCAATTACCAGTCTAAAATTCATAGATTCATTTACTCACCATGTCTAGATCTTCATTTGGTCTGACCATTCGACACTTTTCTGGTTTGTGAATATCAGAACTTCTAACAAATATAAGATTTAGTTAATTCTTTACATATATGTGTATGCCAACTTGTACTACTAGTCCCAATATTCTTTGCTTTCTTCTTGGGCTGTAGTTCAGACTTTGAAGTTGTATGATATATGTTGAATTGTTTTTGCAGGTGATGATGTGGTTGCATATGAACTTGGAGAGAAGTCTGCAATGACCTTAAGCTCATCAGGATTCCAGAATCTTACATTTAGGAGCTACAACGGGTATTCTACTTGTTCTGCAAAAATTATCACTATCATATTTGTAAATGACGTTAGTCTAATGAATAATACATATATATTGTTGCTTTGCAGGTTGGGTCACTATACAGTCCCTGAAGAGACTGATGAAGTTTGCAGGTGGCTAACTGCAAATTTGGGACTTGAAGGGTTTCGGTTGAACTAGAGAAGTAAATCTCTATGGGGTCACACGGATATAATAGCATAGTTTTAGGCAATGAAAGAGGCGCTATAGAATAGATAGTGGTGTGGGGGTATATTGGTAATGGTATAGCCGCTTCATTCTCTCTCTTCTATTCTCATGGTACTAAATAAATGTTCTTTTTTAATTCCAAGGGTCACTGTGCTTATTACTCTGGGATTTGGGAATGCTTTAGTGGGAGGACATGGATAATTTCCTCTCATCCAGCAAATTTTGTTTATTTCTTATGGGCGTGGATATATATGTTGCTTTCTGTATTTATATTCTGTCTAAATAAAGTTAAATTTTAGTAAGTTGATGATATTTAAAAAATAAAATACAATGTGGAAATTTGGTTATGCTACAAAGCGTATAAATAACAAGAATTAATATTTGGTAAAGAAAGACAGACATTTTCTCCTAGGCCATAGGTTGTTTGAGTACCTCAGATCCCAACCTTTGTAGGTTCTAGTTTGATATTATTCTCCTACCTTGTCTTGGGACAGCTTGCTCATACATATTCAATTCAATCTTCAGTGTTCAAATAGAAGCTATTAAATCTTCAGATAAAGGGGAGAAAGCTGTTGAAATTGAATCTTTATTTGGACTATGTGCAGTAGAATTTGATGCAGTTTCTTCAAATTAGGCGACGTTGACGGTAAATAAACTCAACAGCCAAAAATGCAAATGCCTAAAAGGCACGCTTGCAGTCTATTTTCCTACAAAATTTTTATCAGCAGATCAGTCATTTGCTTAGTAGATAATTCCACTAGACTAATCTCATCAACTTTTAGCAAACAAATCATTTATTGATGCATCTTTTTTCACTTAGATACATGAAATCAAAAGGATTTTCAATAAGAATCTTCCTTCAGTTTCGTCACTTCCAGAATCATGCTTGCAATTGATTGTCCAAAGATTTTTTTTAAAAATAGATTAGTGACATAAGTCATTTACCATGTACATAATAGTATAACTAGTGTCTTTCCCCCATCCCACGACTTAAGCTAGCAAATTATTCATTCAAACATCCTTGTCCATGCTCAACAATATTTTCACGAATGAAAATACTCAAACCATAATGATGTGATACATATCTCATGAGAACTAATAGAATCTTGAGCAATTACGATTGAATGAGAAAATGTAATTGCCACATGACCTCATAATTTTCCAAGTTCCGATATTGCAAAATTAATAAGAATAAAGGTAAAATAACTGACGCACATAAAGACATACAATAGACAAGACACTACAACCTTTGCATTCTTTTACATTTTGAATGTTCTTGCCATTCATTTTCTGCATCATAATATTGTTGTTTCTTGAAAACGATGTCAACAAACAAATTCAAATGTTGTCCGATGCATTATTGAAACACCTTGTACTTTTCTTGATACATCAACATATGCTATGATTCTGAATACGACTAGCACATTCGAGGGTGTCAGGTAAACAATATGAAGGGATAGTGTTATAATTGCCTATAAGTCTTCGCAGTCTCCCTCAACCGGAATATATCTATAAGAAAGAAATAATTTTGAAATGAAAAAGTTGATGTGCAAGCATGAATGAACACAAAGAATAGTTATGGCAAAGATATGAAACAGTATGAAGAATAGAACAGTTCACTAAAGAATATTCCAAAAGAAGGTGATTCAACGATAAACATGTGCTGCTATATTATCAAACCAAAATGCATGAATATCTATAGGAAGTTATGTAATACGATGCATGGCACAAGAAATGACAACAAACCTCAATGAAAGAGATTGAATTTGAGACGTACATGAAAAGGTTGTGAATGAAATGATGAAGAGGAGAATGGGGTATTTTTCTTGGAAGCTTTAGGAGAATTCATGATGAAGATTGAGGGAGAACACAGAGTACATGTGCGCTACTGTGTTGCGCGAATGAGGGTATACATACATATATCTCTGTGTGTAGAATAATGATGATAAATATCATACTTTTTTATATATACAAGTTAGTAAGGGTCTTTTGGGTGGCTTAGACCTTTTTCTTTTCAGAATTATTTTAACTGACTTTTATATATCTAAAAATAGATCGAAAATATTTGAATTTTTAATAACAAAAACTAAAACCACATATCTCATTCTTAAAGTAATTAAACAAATTTAATAGATAAAAGTGAATTATTGATGTTTCAGTTTTTCCTTGTATTTTATAAATGTATATACTTAAAAAAAAATTACTCATTTTTTTGGGTAATTAAAGTAATTTAAAAAATAAAAAAAGTCTCTACCAACACGAATGTGATTCCAAACATCTAGTATTTAATTGTAGGTTATTTTTATGATTAAAGAGTGCTAAAGATATTTTTATAACAAGTTTTCTTAAAATAGAAATTGTATCTTTAGATTAATTCTCAAATTAATTCATTTTAATTTCTTTCAAATATCATCTCAGCTGCTTATGATTTTTCGCACAAAGTCAAATCGGTTGATTTTGTTTTAATTGATAACTCTATTTTAAGCTTCGTGCGAGTAAAAAACAAAAAGGAGTGTATTTTTTTAGGTTATGGATAAAAAAAAAAAATGTTAAAAATAGGTTTACTTTAGCTAATGAAGATGGAAATAGTTCACTTAAAAGTATACCTTTTTTACTTCCAACATAAACCTATAATTACAGCGAGGTAACAATCATTCCTCCCTAATGTTTTTCTTAATTAAACAGAAAAAACCCAACAAACGAACAAAAATATACACAAGACTAAATAACATATCGTCGGCTTCAACAAAATTATACACAACTTAAATAACAGAACAACTTTAGGAGCTAACTATGTTAAAATCAAATAGAATTGATTTTGCACTATTAATTATAATTAAAAAATGTATAAAAATTAATTTTAGCCATAAAATTTTAAACGGTAAACTAACAGGACATTAAACATGTCACCGACAATAAACTTGGGCACGATCGAGATATCCTCCAATCCCTTAACAAGGTTGCAAACGGCAATGGATTATTTGGTCATTGGTTGAAACTCACAATAAGCAGAGATTTGGGCTTCTTAAGAAACTATGGTTTTACATTGGGCTCTATTTTCAGTTGAACAAAATAGATTTATGATTTATGGCGGCCCATTATTATATAATTTCTGTCAATTATTTTTTATGATACTAACTCGTAGTAGTTCAGAGTTTGATTTTCTAAAACAATATTTCAAATTCAGGCAATTTAAATAAAAATAAATAAATGAGTAGTGCCACTTTATTCAACTTAGTCAGAAATTGAAATGAATTGTATGAAACACTATGGTTGGGATGTAAATTGTCCAATCCAATCTGCATCTATTTTAATCCACAAAAATAGATTGATTCCGTGATCCATATATACTCACACTCAAAAGCGTTGACATTTAACGTATCGGCTTAAACCTGTAGTTAGTTTGCAGACTAGTTCATATATTCACTTTTATCATACGTACTTTACAAATATGGATTATTATGCAAATCAACGGATTGAATCCACATAACTTACAAGTTTTCATGCATCAACCAGCTTATATAAGTTCATTATTAAATGGGCTCAAATTTTACTTGTTTCAAGTTCATGGGTGCCAGAGTTGTCAAATTGAGCTATTCTGTTTCGCCAAATCTAACGCGCGAGTTAAGCTTATGTAAGTTTAGGATAAAAAGTCTGTAATTATTTAAATTTCTAAAATAATAGTCTAAAATTTTTAAATAAATTTAAACGCATTAAAATTCAATATTATCAACTCATCCAATGAATTAAATATAAAAAACTATCATCGATCCATCCAATAATTTTATATTTTAAACAAACTCTTTAAATAATCTCAGCTATTTAAATGTAACAATGTAACATTTAAACATGATTATTTCTACACACAAAAAAAAGGAGTAATGTGGACAATCCAAATCTGTATAGGCAGGCCCACATTAGGCTCACATGAATAGTGGAATTTTATCGGATCAAGTTAAAAAAATTAAATTTATTCGATTATAAAATACACAAATATATATTTTTTCTATTAATCAATTATATGAACCATCATTAAAATATACCCATATTCTCTTTAACATAAAAGCCACATATATGAACATTTTAGGTAGTGATTATAACATTTGAGAGTTGAGAAATGCAATCCGAAGCTCGTGCACTAACGACATTTCATTAATTTGGGTAGAAAACTGTGTAAAATCAAATAAGATGGACATTTGGGGACTCCAAGAGCATATTATAAAAGATATTGGAGGTCTAAAAAGTAAAAGAAAAGAGAAAACTTTTATCATTCTGATGGCGTCACTCACATCTTTCTACCAACTCACGTGCATGCAACCATAAAACAAACGAATGATATATATGTTACATGTACACTAATACGTACATTTCACTCTAAGACTATATTTTCAATAATTACAAATGGTTATGTGCTTATGTGCGTGCATAACTCAGAAGACAATTCGGAAACAGTTAAAATTATCGTACTGCGACATATGAAAATTGAATTATTGCTTTACATAATGCGTACTACATATAATTCGCGAGATTAACCTTTTCTTAAAAAAGACATGTAATGTCTTTATTTCATTATTTAGTTGGCAGGGTACATTATTGTTAATTTGAATGTGTTATATTTTAGAAGTACACACGTTCATATGCACATATAAGTACGTTAGCGCAAAAGCATGGGTACGTTTCTGATATGTGTGTGTGTGTGTGTGTGTGTTATGGGGTATATAATAATAAGAATAAATAAAAAGATAAAGTGAAGAGTATGAGTATACGTTAGGGGTCGATGGGTACGGTGATGCATGGAAGCATTTCCCAATGAGAGAATCGAATCAGCACTCTCACTCTCTCCTTTCTTTTTGCTTTCACAGCTTGGTACAGCCTTCTTTACCATTCCCCAAGAAAAATGGTGGGTGATTTCTATTAGTTTTAAGATTTCCTTCTTTTTATTTTTTTGGGGGTTTTCGTTGCTATGTGTTTCCCTCTTTGCTGGCTAATTCTCTTTCTTTGTTACGGAGAGAGAAGGAAAAGGGTGAGAGAATATGCGATAATGAGGAAGGAAAAGAACATGACAGCGAAAAAGCCATATCAGTGTAACGAAGGGGAAAAAAGAAAAAGAAAAGATGGTCAAAATTTGAACCTCGAAGACTTCTCTTCCATCATCATCAACTTCGACTATCTTTATCGAAACTCTACCAAGTTTTGCTCCTTTCTTTGATTTTTGAACTATTCCTTCAATTCCAATCAACATTTAGTCATCAATGAGAATCGTTTCTCTTTCACTAAATGGTATCGTAGTGCAATAATTTGAACCAAGGACGTTCCTTGAAGTAATGGCCATGCAACTTTTACTTTAACATCGCCTACGTCTTGGAGCTATACACAATTTTACTCCTCTAGATCTTCAGCATCTGACATGCACGAGTGATCCTCATTTTTTTCATTATAATATATACAAACACGGATTTATATGTTCACGGTCCAAAATCTCGTCGCCACTATCGTCAATAAAATATATGCGTTTTCTTCATGTTCTATGGTTGAGATAAAGATTTGTCTGTGTTAAAACAGTTCTCTAAACATGGATCACTATTTGGGACCACTTTAAAGACTAGGATTAATAGCTTAATTAATATTGCTTAACTGACATCTCTATAACTCGACATGATTAATAACCTTTTTTTTATATCTTCGTTGTAGTGTTTATGATTTTATAGTATGTTGGGAAATGGGAACACGCCTAAATTCATTTAATTAGGTTGGTAAAGGTGGATTGGAAATTATGTAGACATAATTTTAGATTCCATGATATCTTGATCATTAATTAGGTAAGTAAGATGGAATGGAAACAGAGCACAATATTTGGGTTGCAGGTAGCTTGGCCAAATGTTCATATAAATATATGATTATTGAAGTAAAAAGAACATTACATAATAAGGTTATGTGATATTATAATCCTTTTTGACTTGCGCCCAAAAGAAATTAAGTCCCAAGTACAAAAGAGGAATATTCAAATTTGAAAAGCAGCACCGATTTTTACCATATAGTTTGTGACGACCCTTATAACTCCCGGCCAGCTTCTGAAAGTATAATATTGAAAGTGAGACATGACACCTCCTTGTCAATTATTTATGAATATGGGAATAAGCTGGGCCACTACGCACTGGGGTCAACAATCTCTGATCTTAAGGTTTTTCCTTGAAGTGTGAGGAATATTCATTTTGTCTGGTGATAAACAATGAATTTCGTTCCTTCTTATCCAATCCTCTCTTTGATCAATAACATCAAAAAAGAAAGAGGGAAAAAAAAAGGATGCACTTGGAGACCATGCGGTGATCGTAAGGTAATAAGGACCATTTTATTGTGATTCTTTCCCCGCCACTTCACTATAAATGAGGGTCCAATTAACACATATCCACAGTCAAAAAGATATCTTGCTATCATTTATGGACTACAAGATTTAAAAGATAGGGCATGGGCATTGTGGTGTTTAGAGGTTACAATGCATGCTAATTTGCTTTATGTGGGGACAAAAAAGAGCAGCTTGACAAAGTTGAACCAATTATAGTTATAATTTCCATAATCAATTTATTTATTTTTACGTGGATGATGATAGGTAATTGCTAGTATAACTTGTCCTTTTTCTAATAAGCAACGTGTGTGCGTATATATATAACATACTCTTTTTTATTCTGAATATATACACACACATAATAATAATTAGTGACGTACTTTGCATCTTAAAAACCCTACCGATTACATACTCACATATACCTTTTATTTATTATATAATTAGTTAAGATATATGGTGTGTATGGAGTGGCACTTGGAAAAATCTTTTTACCCTTTTTCCAAATATGGTTTTTGATGATATCACATTGGTTTTGAAGGAAGCAAAAAAGAACAACCCCTTACCCTACCTGCGCACTGGCTAGAGGGCTAACTAGTTACTTCGATCTGTCCGATTTTCGAGGCCTTAATTGGCAGTATATAAACCCCTTCAACCTCCACACTCATCTGCACCACAATCACCACTCAACAATCTCTCCTTATTCAACCTACTAACCTTCATTTTAATATTTCAGTCTCCAAACTCAAGAGGTGAGAATAATATCATTCCTTTAATTTCCTAGTTCAAAAGATAATATATATTATTTTCATTCGTTTTTCCCATGCATACGTTAATAATGTCATTATGGCTTATAGAAGAAAACATTGTTATTCAATGCTACTATTGATGATAATAATATGTAACTTTCTCAATATTATATATATATATGAATGATGGAATTTGGAAACTATATATGAAGGGAAAATGAGCAGACCAGGAGATTGGAACTGCAGGACATGCAATCACCTCAACTTTCAGAGAAGAGATTCGTGCCAACGGTGTGGGGAACCAAGAAGTGGTGACTATGGTGGAAGCTTTGGGGGAAGAGGGTCTTCTTCCTTTGGCTTTACACCTGGTCCTGATATTCGTCCCGGTGACTGGTACTGCACCGTCGGAAACTGTGGAGCCCACAACTTTGCCAGCCGCTCAAGCTGCTTCAAGTGTGGTGCCCCCAAGGAGGATTCCTCCGCCGGAGCATTCGACGCCGACATGCCTCGAATGAGAGCCTACGGCTTCGGCGGCGGCTCCTCCGCCCGCCCCGGCTGGAAATCCGGTGACTGGATATGCACCAGGTTCATCATTTTATTTCTTTAAGAAATATATATAGATATATATATATATATATATATATATATATATATATAATATTTTAAATGTAAAAGATAAACTTAATATTCTCTTTCACTCATCGCTCATGGCTTCATATGTGAACAAAGAATCACTGACACTTCGTAATGATAGGCATGTTGTCTCAAATCAGACACGTAATTATATAATTTGATGCTGCACGAAAACTTTAAAAACTCCTATTACTTTTTTTTATTCTTATTCTTTAAACTATTATTTATATCAATACATATAAAACTGATCACCGCAAGAAATAAATAAATTATAGCCTTGTACCACAATTACTTATGTTCATTTTTTAAACATTAATTCTCTTTTCTAATTTACAGTTTGCGTTTTATGACAGGTTTTATATGAATTTTATGTTATTTCATAGAAGTGTTTCTTAAAATTATATATATATATATATATATATATAATATTTATATATCATTAGTCTCTGATGAATATGTTACTGCTCAATATTACAAGAACGGTGTTATTATTATTATTATAAGGACATTTTTAAAGGAAACGTGAGTAAATAAAACAGTAGATTACTGAAGGGGGTGTGATTAAAATGTGCAGGTCTGGATGCAACGAGCATAACTTCGCCAACAGAATGGAGTGTTACCGATGCAATGCACCGAGGGACTCTAGTAGTGGCAGGTCTCCCTATTCATCGTAGAGTTTCTGGATCCATGTGGTAAGTGTGATTAATCATCTATTTGTCTGTCTGTATATTTTTGGTTATCTAGTTAATTTCATCGTCATGCTATATAGCCGTATGTATATAAATATTATATATGTAGAAAGTTACATGCATTGATGCCCTTTCTTATTTTCATTTTCAGGTTTGTTGTCCAAGGAGAGAATCAAGAGGCTATCCCTATTTCCTAGTGATAGTTACTTTTTTTTGGTCTCTAGCTACCATATGTTACTTTGGTCATCATCGAGCTCATGCGGATATTTATTTTTGCTTCTTTGATTTTCCTCCAGCTAGGAAGCTTAGGTGAATTATGATTTTGAGTTTTTGTTGGCACTGAGTGATTCTGGTATCTGACTCAGCAGCTAGACCATGTACTTTTTTAAGTATCAACAATTTAATGTCAGTGTTAATGTGTTTTGAGAGGGGGCTACGTTCTAAGCCTCACTATGATTTGGTGCAAAGGTGTTCTTTATCTAATTCTCCGAGATGCGTTCAGAAAAGATGCTCAATTCTCTGTCTTTCTCTCTTTTACTCTCAGAGCTACACACACACATATATATAGCTTTATAGTGGGGACGTGGTCCAAGGAATAATTGATTCATAACTGTAGTCTCAAATACTCAATGTTATAGCCCATATTCTTTTATATAAGGACCACTTTGGGATGATACCATCATTGCAGTTTGCATACAACCAAGTGTATGCTTGTATGTGATCATAATTTTACTCTTTATAAAAGAATTGAGCACGCGTGGTTTCTCATTTGACAGGAAGATTAGGGAGGGCCAAAAAAAATTCACAGCATCTAGGATATATATATATATATATATATATACAACTCTATATTGGTCATGGCAAATTAATCTCAAACGATATGCTGCTTTTATTTTTTGATCCATTTTGAACTTAATACGTTACACGAGATCAATCACAGAAGAACAACCCATCTGCAAGTTCTAAATTTACGTTGAAGAAATCATAGTACCATTTCACTTAATATTCGTCGCAAGTAAACATAGTCATGGTCGACCAACGTAAACCAAGCTCTAAAGCAGATTATAATATTATATATATATATATATATATATATTTATATTTATCAATCTTTTAATAAGGCCTTATATAAGATACATAAAATTTTAAGAAAAGCATTACTTTTAATTATTAATCATCAATCAATTTTTAATTTTTTTATAAAAAATATTAACTATTAACAATAATATAGTTTAATTTGAAATTTTATTATATATATTACAATACTTGCTTTAGTGACCTTTGAATTATAAGTATCATTAATAAGAGATAATTCTATTCAGGTTAAATAAGATTATAGTAAGTAATAAAAAAATTTCTCTGAATATTTAATATAATTATATTCTTTTGAGACTATATATAAATTAAACTAAAATAACTTATTTTCAATTGATTTATGTACTTAATTGTAAAAAAAAAATTAATATGTATAAGTATAAAAAAAATATAATTAAGGATAAAACTAACTAGGTTAAAAAAATAAGAAAAATAAAATAATAAAAAATTTATTTAATCAACTAAAGTATTTAAACATGTAACATTGTATCTAATTATTACATATATTAAATTTGAGATGATTCAAATATTTATATATTTATAACTTAATAATACAAAATTACTTATACTATAACTATTATATTCAAATATAATATTAGTGAAATAAGGTATTGATAATTTTACAAAAAATTTACTATGTGAAATTTTTTTATATAATAATAAAATTGATAAATTTATTATTTATAAAAAGTAAAATTGTGAATTTTAATATATATATATATATATATATATATATATATATATATATATATATAGCTCTCTTAATCTTTTTGAACGTGTTTGTATGAGTGTATAAAGACAGAGAGAAGCAATTGGTTGTTGTGACACTCAACATTTTTATAAGTGCAACTCCATATATATTTATGCTTGAAAAAATTTAGGATGAGAAATTTTTTAATTAATTTTATTAATATCATTATAATTCTATCTAAAAAATATCTTTTAGACTTTTCAGAAGAAAAATATTTATCAAATTATTATAATCAAATTTATTTATTAATTATAATAAATGAATTAATATTTACTATTATTTATAATATTTTTATACAATTAATATGTTGTTTGAAATATCATTTTTTTCCTTGTATGATTTGTTTTAAAAGTTTCAGTTTGAAGTATAAACATAATACCTATATATGCTAGTAATTATTGCATTTTAAAGAACATTCAAGATTTAGGTAACTTTCTTTCGAATTACCTTGGTCTGTTATTAGTATTACTATATTAAATAATGAATTATATGTGCATTTTAATTGAAATTGATTTATAGAAAAATTAAATTAATAAAATAAGCAAATAATTATTAATTGAAAATAGATTTATAATAAGGTGATAATTTTGCTTTTAAGGAAAAAATCACTATGTTGTAATCTACTTTTTACTAAGTAAAAATTTACTTTACCATAATACTCTCACTGTTGTCATAAAATTTCTTTTTTATGTGATATGTTCGTTAAATTTTAAAAATGAAGATAAAAACTATTCTATGCTGCGTTTGATCGTTTTAAAATTGAATATAATCGAAGAAAATTCAAATATTTATATGAATTATCTATAACTTAGTATGCACTTACACCTTCACTTAATTTATTGATTTTTTTAAAAAAATAGCAGCGTTATTTGATGCTCAACTACGATAATCCAAGTCATAACACTATCATTTCTCCAACAAATCCATCAGAAATACTTAAAGTTCCTTTCCCCCGAAAAAAAAAAAGATAAAAGAAAAGAAAACCGATTCGATGTTAAGATTCTAAGAAAGACATTGACAACCTTTGATTGGTTGAACCAGAAATGCTTTGCCACTAAGGAGTGCTTATCTTCTGTTAATAAAATATCAAATTTGTGTATTGATCAACGGAGGGGGTTCAATAACTTTGCTTAATTAATCAATATCAAGCATCTTGGATTTAAAGCTTATGAAGAATGACTAGAATTTTTAAAGCATCAATTAACATAGGATTCCATAACTTTACAAGCTTATGATACATTTCATGGGTTTCCCCATTGACCTCATGGGTTACGTTTAACAGCAACACTCATTGGTCAAAAGTTGCCACACTTCATTAGTGTCTGCTACTACACTCCATTATATAGCTTTTAACAAGATTCTTTAAATTCACTTTAGTCTAAGCTTTATGTTACTTCATATGCTTTGTTCAATCATGTGCTTTGGTGAAGTACCTCCCCGCTCGCTTGCTCAATCATGTGCTTTGGGGTTTCAACTATGCAATTGAGGTTTGAGCCATTTTTAGTAATTTGCATATTCCCCATCATGTAATTTTGGCATGGAGTTGCACGCACACGCATTACATTAATGCTTAAATCAAAATATCATTCATTATGTAATTCGATTGATGAAATTTATTCAGAGGAGATTTAAATGAGCTGTTTTTTGAATTTATTTTCAAGTGATAAACATTTAAGGAGTTTTTTTTTCTTATTATTTAAGTTACTAAGAATAATTATATGTCACCATAAAGATGCTTTTTGTAGTTAAGTGTCTTATTATTTTTATATTTTTGGTGAGTGCTTGTGCGTGAGTTTGTTTGGTTTCATGCCAATCTAACAAAGACAAGACCTACGAAAGACCCTTGCTCATGAAAGCACAACAAAAACATCTTTAATCATGAGGATTTGTAATGTCAGTTGGGTCCCAAATACCATCAAAACTAAACCAGCTCAGGTTGAAAGCCCTATACTGTGGCAGTCAAGGTTAGCAAAAACAAGAGGACTTTTTATCCAATTCAATGCACGAAAAAAATGAGATACACTTTCAAAAGCTTTAGCTCCCCTTTTCCTTTCTTTTCAACCCAAGCAAGCATGTTTAAAGGTTTCTTTTTTCTCCCTTTGAAATAAATGGTTTTAGCTTTGGTTTCCAGGTCAAACACACTACCTCTCCAAGAGCTATACTTATTTTTTAAAGATCGAAGTATGTGCTACGTGAGAAAACTAGGAAATATACCTATAAATTATTGGTTTGTGTTAGAGCCAGTAAAATGGACCAACTCGATGGATTAGACAAAACAATTCATTAAATAAGTGGATTTGAACTCTGAAAAATAAGATCCGAAATTACCTTAGACTATTTTGGTTTATTCCAAATAGGCCTAATACTCAATAGGGCTTTAATCAGGTTGGCCCATGCGAGTTCAGATAGCTCATATGTATATATATATATATATATATATATATTAAGATTAAATTCTGTGTTTTAAAGAATTTAAAAGGAAATATATTTTAGTTTCAAAATCCTAAAATATATGTTAATGGAGAATAGATCATTACTCTTCATAATTTCAAGCTTTCTCTAGAAGCTTCATGTTCTTAAATTTTAATATTTTTTAATATTTAAATCTTTGATGAACTTTTTTAATCTTTGTAAACTTTTTATGTGCATGGACTTTTTGTCATAAGAAATTTGTTTAATTATGAACTTATTTATATTTTTGTGAATTTATTGTGTTACAAAAATAAAAAAAATGGCTATTCTAAAAATAATAAAAAAAAGAAACCAATGACCTTTTACATTTAAAAAAATTTAAATAAATGGTCTAATACAAAAATTAGAAAAAAAAAATAAGTAGTCTATTAAGTCATTGCAAAAATAACTTAAAATGACTTGTTACAAATACTAAAAATAACAATAAAAATAATGATTTGTTATTATAAAAACAATAAAAACAAACAACATGTTACAAAAATAAAAAAAAAATATTCAAATTGTCGGACTGGCCCGTGAAAGCTCATAACTCGCATAAGATAAGATCTAGGTAGTAAAAATATAAGCTCGTTTTTTACTTTAGACTAATTAAGTCTGACCCGTTTAAGTTCCTTACCCGTATCGGGCCGAGCTAGGCCACCCGTTTTTACAATTTTAATTTGTGTTCAACCCACTTTAACTTGCGGGTTAAATAAATATTAGAATATATTTTCTTAAAAAATATTTTTCATATTTGTGAGTAATCGATTACTTCACCTATTCGGTTTAAAAGAAAAATATTTTAATTTAAATTTTGCTTGCATGATTTATTTAGTTATTATTGAGGCATATAATTTAGATTTTACTGTAGTTCAATATTTCAATAATTATAAATTAATCTAATATATTTTTACATAAGATACAGTAGTTTTTATTAAAGGTTTTACTTATTCAAACATTAAAATTTTAAGTTTTTTTAATTAATTTGAAAGCCTTGATATAATTAGTCTTTAAAATTATTTTTTTTACACTAGACTTGAATTTTATATTTTTTACAAAACCAGGTCTAAACCTACTTAAGCAAAAGTAAACCAAGCTTATTTTCTTTCCTATCATAAAGTGACTGTTAGCGTTTCCTTCTTTTGTAGTGTAATTATTTATTGAGGATTTAACACTTTCGTGTAACTAAAAAACGATAATTCTACTTATCATATCATTAAAAAGAACAGTATATTGATGTTGTTTATGATATTTTAAAAAAACTTAAAATATATCTATTTTACTTTTAATGAAAAATATATAAATTATATTTCATAAATATGTAACACTTTAATTTACATCAATTGCGTGTGTTTACATTTATTTCTGTTTAAGCTACACATTTAAAAGAGTACTAGTTTTATAACCTTTAAAATTTTCAATTAATTATTTCAAAACTTAAAAAATGTAAAATTCAGCATTATTAAGTGACCATTGAAAGACCACAGTAATTAGATTAAGGATGCGTTTGATCTAGGTAGCTGTATTCTAGGCCCATTAACCAGACTGTAAATGTGGTTGTTTTATTTTGGTGGGCTTCAAATATGGATTTCTCGTTTTATTTTTGTCGACTCAAATGTGGGTTTTGAAATTCAGAAATTAAGCCCGTTAAAATATATGTCCATATGTTTCGATTAATTTAACTGAGTGTCAAAGTGGGCCGGGCCGATGTTCATTGTTCTTAAATTTTAAATAAGTACTCTGTATATATGACAGACCAAAAAAAAACTATTCTGTATATGAATATTATAAATCTGTATAATTTTAAAAATATAATTTTTTAAAATTAATATATACATAATTAAATTATACAAAAAATTAAAATGTATTATAAAATAGATTTCAAATTTATGAAACAAGTATAATTAGTAAAAAATGGGCGCTTATATTGAAAATAGAAGTTAAGAATTACATATGCCATCTTTTTAAGAAATTGCAGACAAAAAATCATTATAAAAACAAAATACTTTTTTTAACTAGGGTTTTTAAGTATACAATAAATTTTAATATAAAAAAGATAAATTGAGAGTTATGTATATGAATTTTGAAGAGAAAAAAATAGAAAAAGAGTCAACATAAAAAAAATAAATGAATTCCTTTAAAATTTTATGTAAACGAGATTGGGAAATAAAAAAGAAATATAATTATAGCTTACGCTATCAATACATCTGAAATAAAGTCATATTAAATATATCTTATTTGTAACAATTTAAGACAATCAAGGTCAATAGCTGTTAATTTTAAATTTGACTCTTAAAAATTAGAGTTAGATAAATGATTAGTGTAAGACAACAAATAATAAGAAAAAAATATAAATAATTATCATAAATATTACTACAATTGTACACAATTACAAATACAATAACTATCAGTGATTTATTAATGCCACACGTAGATTTGGAAATTCTTTATTGTCTGCATGCTAGCAGTCATCAAATTCAGAGTGATAGAAACAGGAATGAAAACTAGCTATGTCTCGGTGCATGTCTTATATTTAGCTAGATTATATCATATTTAGCACTATTATGCATATTTACAATCCATGATTGCTATGCTTCTAAATTTCAAAGCATCACCAATCTTGGTCAGTTCGGAAATATTCCATCAGGGTGCGTTCTTCTCAGTATAATTAACTTGATCACACCCCTATTTTGATCTGACAAAAAGGCAAAACTTAACCAGCAGAACCACATTTGTGCTCAATGAAAGAAAAAATGCAAATTCGTCTGTGCAGATATCAGAATTCATAACAAATATCTGAACTCCTAAGTCATTTCCCACGGACGTGTTGCTTTATTGTTAGTGTGGGTGGCAGGAACTAACCAAGATTCCCCCTCCAAGTCCCCATCGTGATCCATTAATTTTTTACAATGAAATCAACAAAAGATAATGGACTAAAAATAAATGATCTGTTAAAATACAAGTTCATCACTCGTTTACAAATTTATTTGGTTTCTTACTTTATAACATTGTTGATAGAAGATATTGATCACCATTTTTTAAAGATGTTACATCAGCATGAAAAAAAATGTAATAAAATACTTATATAGAGATTAAGATAAAAGTTTTTATTGGTACAACTGTACAAGAACTAATTTACAAATGATATCACCTGTACTGATAAAATTTCTATTTTAACTTAAATAATCTAATACAACAGAACGACAAAACCATGGAAACATGCTCAGAGAAAAGGAGCACAATAGAAATTGAAAAAAAAAATCAGAATAATTCATGACTCAACTATAACTGAAAATACTAAGTCTTTGGGGGATCGAGAGCCATTCTACTGCTGTATCACTTGCAAGACAGAACAAACAGACTGAACCAAAGAGAGGACAAGGAGTACAATTCCTGCAATGGAAGCAGCAGTTTGCCATGGACTGTTACAATAATCACGCCTCAGAGTTGCCTTCAATTTACGCCAAGGATCTCTACAAAAACCATTCAAGTCTTCACAGAGATGAAAGTAATCAGAACTAAAATTTGAATGCGTAATATTCTTCCAAAGACCATTAAACAGGTTAGCCACAGAATCAGTACCCCCTAACCAATTAACCAGAACTCTGTTCCGAACCAGTATATCAACATCCCTACTAGTGTTTACAAGGAAATCCCAAACAGCAACGTAGTCAGTAATGTAGGCTTCATCAGTGTAGTGGCACTGCTCCAAAGCCACCATGTTGCGAAACAAAATTTCAGTCCAATCCTCCACTTTCAATTGCGGAATTTCAAGATCCCTCCCTGAAAATCTCAAGTCTAGTAAGCACCCACTTTCAGTGTTTACCTTAAATCTGACTCCTGCTTCAAGCAACTCAGTAACGCTAAGAAGATGTATCAGTTGTTCATTAGTCCTACTCGGTCTTCTTTGAGGAGGATGTTGCAAGTGAAAAGTTCTAATAAGATCCGTGAAGTGTCTTATGCTAATATTATGAATATCCAAGTTGGATTTATTGTAGTAACCAAAATACTCAAACGTAAGCTCAAGCAATGAAGGAATATTATTCGTACCATTGCTAGATCTATTATATCTGACGGACATGTAGAAGAGGTTGTCGAGAACAAAAAAAGGAAGCTGGTTCTCAAGTAACAACAAATCTAATCTTATGCTAGTGGACAACCAAGGTTTTAGAAGCAACTTGTCATCCTCTGACCAATCCTCGTAATAGAATCTCCAAAAGAGTTCGAGTATAAAACCAGAGTCCACAAAGATCAACTTCACGAGTTCCTCCCTGGTGAACTCGAGAGTGTCGGAATAACAACGACGAAAATTGGGCTCCACCTCTTCTATGTAACGGATCCAGGTGTCCAAGGTTGTTTGGGTTCGTTGGAGAAACGCCTTGCAATATAAAAGTTTGTGTCTTTCCATGTTTTGGAAGCGAGGGTGGTGGTTGTGGTGAAAAGGGCCTATGGAAACAACCTTTGGGGTGTATGCATCTTGGTTGAGTTTGTGAATGTTAAAGGGTACTCTGTAGATGCAGCACTCGTTGGTTACGGGTGGCTCTGCTCCGTCAAGCATCGCCTTAATATCGTTCACAACATCGCCGTTGTTCATGATTGCACAATAGTGTAAGCTTGTAGCGGGGAGTCATGGAGGTATTACCCCCAATCCTTTCGATTAATTTTGAGAGTCTCTTTCTCTTGCGCGTTGCGTTTCTCAGGGGAATCAGTGGAGGCGCAATCCACCAATATTTTATACCTTCCACTAAGTTTGTGAAGTTAAAAGAGTACTCCATAGAATGCAACTACTGTTAGTACATTTTTATTTATTTTAAAGTATTATAATATTTTTATCCATCGTTCATCACATTTTTTACTTTTCTTCCTTCCTTTCTTTCTAATAATTTTTTTTTTTTCCAAAATGAAAGCATTCGTATATATTTTTCCTTTTTCCCTCTTTTTTTTTTTTTATCGAAGTCACCGTCACATTGCTTCTATACGTGAGTTCATGTAAATAAAATACGGGTACAAAAACATTTTTCCAGCGAACAAACGTGAAATAGGGAGAGTAGGGACTTTTCTACCAAAAAGTTGATGAGTGGACTAACTATCCACCAACTACCGTGTTTAAAAATTTCATTTGGAGTACACTTTGTCATGCCCAGGAATGGTTGTGACAGTTGACAAACATCAGCATTTAGGAAATTTCATTTTAACCGACCCATCCGTAAATCATTTTAAAATAGAATTAGGATTTTCTCCAGTAGTTTAAGTAGGAATTAGACTTCTAGTTTATTTTTTCTTAAGCAAAAAAATTCCTTTAAATAAAAATGAGTTATTTTTGTTTAAAATTATAATAAAATAATTTGAACTAATTTTCATAAAATAAATAACTTAAACGAAAAATAAAGCTTAAAGGCGAAAATTAGCTTAAAGAAAAATAATAGATTTAAGCTAAAATAATTCATATCTTCCTTCGCTGCCACTATTATACCATCCTCTCTCTTTATCCAAATCTATTCTTAGTCTTTTTTTTTTTCTCTACACCCAGTTTTCATATTTTCAAATACTTAAAATTCCCTTAAGCTAAAATAATTCGCTTAAGTTAGAAAAAATAACTTAAGCTAATTTTGTGTAAAAAAAAAAATTGACAGTAAAGAAAGAGAAAAGTGAAGAGTTAAGTATAGAGAAAAGTAGGAAAGATAAGTATTTGATGAGGTGAGAATGAGAAGAGGAGGAAAGGAGTTAGGTACGAAGTTGAAAGAAAAGAGAGAAAGAGAAGAGTTAAGTATAAAAGAAAGAAGAAGGTTGAATATGGAGTTTAAAGGAGGTTGAATATAGAGGTCCAGTTCACACCTAAACTGAAGACAATCTGAATCCTTTAAAATGATGCAGGCTAGATGCCAGATCTAGATTCAGTGCAATTGTGTCCAGTTCCTGCCACAATTGCAGTGAATCGAGATCTCTAAACACCAGTCACCCCATCAAATACCGTTAACAAACAGGTCACAACCACTTTGACTCCAACAAGGAAAATAATTTATATGTGGCTTTTTACTTTAGCAAAAGGTGTAGCCCAAAGCAAGTGATTATTGTGTTCTATGTAGTCAACATATCTAAATGAGCTGGTGGTATACAACATTTGTCACGGTTTGTAGTTTGCTGTTACGAGTCTTACTAGAGTTTGGCATGGACTGTTTGGCTTTATAGTTATGAGGCTTCATGACAATTTTGTATAAATATCATTATCCTTGCTATTACTTTATCCTGGACACGTATTTTGAGGCATTATAGAACGACTTACATATGTTTTAAGTAATGTTATTCTTGTAGATTCTGCACTTTTTCTAGAATTGTGATCTGGGGCCGTGGAATTGAGGGTCCGCTTTGGTTCTACCAGCATTGTTCGTCCCATATTAGCACATCAGTTGTGTATTTTTCGAAGTTAAGAACCCAACCTAGTATTTGAAATGCTTGTGCTCTGAAGAATTTATGGTCTATCTTTGATATCGTTATTATGATTGCTAAGACACCATTTCAGGTTTTGAGTTGACTAATGAAACAGTGAAATTTCATTAATGTAAATCAAATCAACCGCATGCTGCGATTAGGATTTTGGAGGACAGTCGGGTATTTTTCAATCATAAATGATGTGCTTGCTTTATCTTTTAGATTTCCTCTATCTTTGTTTATCAAGCTATCTTTCACCATATCAACTTCTTTAACTGGGGCCTCTAACACCACCTGATCAAACTATCTTGGGGAAATTTCTGTTATCTTTTTTCAATAAATACTACAAATTTCTGTCCAAGACACTTCACATTTGTTTCTATGACTACTCATCTGCCTACCGCCAGAAATTATTTACAAAATAGATAATACATGATCATTTCGTAAGTTATTTATTCTAATACAGCAACTGCTTTGATCAGCTACTTGATTTCTATTTATAAATAAGTCGCTAAGCAATATTTTATTTCCGTTCTACAGATCAAAAAGCTCAATCAATTAATAAGAATATGGTAAAAAGAGGTCACACTTCTGGAAAAACTGAACTGTATGTTCCAAAATGAATTTGGGAGGAAGGCATACAATTTTAACTAGTCAACATGAGAATCACTTATTTCAGCTTAGACTTAGATGAGCCCTGAAGTGGTCTAGCAGTGGACCGGACAGGGGCGGACCTAACAGCCTTCTTCAAGTCATACTTAACAGATGAGAAAGCACATATCAAGGCAATCACCATTGTTGGGTAGACGTACACGGCTTTTGAAGGATCAGAATTTACTGGCTTTCCCAAAATCCCTTCTTTGACCAGTCCCCAAATTATAAGAAGTGTCCCAAACATGCTCATTCTCCCGGGTTTTAAAATACCCACAAGTGCTCCAGCCACCGAGAAGTAGCTTCCTGCAAGAACCTGGCAAAAAAATTATGTATATTTAGATGAAAAGTATCAACCGAAACCAAAAGGAAAATGGAATCATGTACTACAATGAAAATAATTGAAAAATCCACAAGGCAGATGAAGGTATATCAATTTGCATATATGCAAGAATAATTATGGAGCACACTTTATGTGCTACTAGGACTCAATGCCTCTTTAATTTATCAACAGAGCATTCTCATTAGACTGGTTCCCCCCCCCCCCCCTTCTCTCTCTCCTTGGTAAAATATTGCCTTGGCAAGTAAAACTTGAAATCCAATAATCAAGGATTATTAAGTTATTCAACTAAGCAAAGACATCAACCACTTCACAAGTAAATAGTCCACAAACAACCCATGACAAGAGTAAGGCTCAAATTTAAAAAAAGATCGTTGCAATGGAACTGGAAGGCTTAACACAGACAAAAGCTACCAGCTCCAGAGAATTATAATGAAATTTTAATTTAACTTTTAATTCAATATAAGAGACCTCAATTATCAAAAGACAAAAGATGTAAGGTCAGTTAAATTGACTAACCTCCAAGCGCTGAAGATCAGTTACTGCAGAAGCTTCCTTCACAGCAGTTAAGTTATACAAGTCCAACAAATTATCCCAACTGGGAAAACTCATGTTGGGAATGAGGCCGTTTACTGCAGCCCCAGGGTAAAGAAGGCCCTTCACAACAACAGCAGGAAAGATCTCACTTGCAATTAACTGTGAGGACGTGACATGCAAAGGGGTTGTACATACACCAGATCTGCAAGTCACCCTGTAAAAGTAACCAAACCAAAAGGGATAAAATTCAAATAAGCTCAATGCTATAACCTAAGTGCGTGTTTGCAAACTCACTAAAATCACGTTGTTATTATGGTGTTTGGAAACACGTTGAAAAACATGTAAACATGTATACAAATGTAGAAGCTACAACCAGTAACATAATAAATGTCATAACGATTTAAATGTGAAGCCAAACACACATTAGAGTAGGCCAATCCACACATGTTAAGTATAATTGGTAGCAAGTATGAAAGTTGATATCTAAGCCAACCATCAAATGTTTAATGATTTAAAAGTTAATATTAAGCTCTTGCATTATTTAAGTCCAAAGGTTGTTAACATAATCAAATATTGATCTCTATCGAATCGAACGCATTTATTTTTATTTTATTATTTCAATTATAGCCGTACATAGTTCAAGTCTTGGACGAAGAATATGATTTATAAACTAATCACAAAATTCGTGCATAAATTGGATTTTGCAGATTCAGCAGGAACGAGTTAAGGGTTTGGAGTACCTGAAAAGAGGGATCTGAAAGATGATGAGGACGAAGAAGATGGTAGCTGCTATTAAGGAAACGTTGTTCGTCCATCCCTTGGATGATTTCGACGGTACCGTGGGAGTTGCCATGGACTCGCAAGGAGACGGAGGATCTGAAGCTTCTCCTCGTCGTCGAACCTCTTCCCGGTGACAGCGAAGAGTGGCATGCTATTCATTTGTATTGTAATTACCACTACTTTATTCTTTCTATTTCCTATATTTTTTTTATTACTTTGTCTGTCTTCGTAGAAATTAAAATCATGAATTCAATTATTGTTTATATTAAATATAAACAGCGTAACCTATTGGTCTCGAGTTCCTGTTTCGTTGAATAATTTGCCATTTTAGTTCTTCTTTTTTACTTTCTTTTATTTACAAGCGGTATCCCATGAAAGAATATAAAGTTTTGAGTAATTAATTTTAGATATATAATTGTTTACGAACAATTATTACTGATTTTATTTATAAAAAAAACAACGATTTATATTACCGTTGTCTGGCCGGGATTAAAAATTTGTATATAATAATTTTTAATTGAAAATGATAAAATATCACATAATTTAATATTAACTTTAAATATTACATTTTTTAATAAAAAATTGTTATTATTTTATTTTTTTTAATGTGTTTCATTCGACATACATTAAAAATAATTATTATTAGCCAGTGAATTAGCTTTAAGACCGAAGTTGTGTTGGAAAAGAAGAATTCGAAGAAATATGTCTTTGATTTATTACTTCGTCTTTTACAGAACTAATTGTATTGTGATCGTGTTTGCTCAGACGCGGCATTGTTTGATACAAATGGCAGCTGTTGTTTTAATTACATTATATATATATATGAGGGTGATTTTGGTAGTGAATTATCAACTATAGAATGAATTTAAAATTAACAAATTATACATTATAAAAAAAATAACAAATTATAGATATTTCTTATTTAGTTCAGCTTATTATTTGTAACTTTATAAATTATTAATTGGTCCCCTGATGTACTTTACTGCAATATTTTATAGGTTTTTTAGGATCTTATTTGTATAATTATAATATAATTAAGTGTTGCTACTATAAAATATAAACTTTATCTCCAAATCACAAAAACACTTACAAAAATACAAACATTATGTTACTTTACTACAATTTTTATTTATGTAACGTGTTTCATTTAACCAATATCTTATATAAGAAGAAAAGGCCTGACTTACAACCAAAAATAATTTAATTGACTTGTTGTTTTTCTTTGAAAATTTTTATACCATGGTTTGATTTTCAAATATTATACATGAATGTTGAATATCAACAATCAACAATAATAATTAACACATGATAAAAAGTACTTTGGCAATAATGTGTTTATAAATTTACACTTGCATATAAAACTGATATATAATTTAAAAAACAAAAGACAGTTCGTCTCCGCGAAACAAAAGGTTAAATTGATGGTTTTAGAACTTTTACAATCTGATAATGATAAGTATTTGTATTAAGATTCTCTAATAAATTGTCTTGTCAATAACTAATAAAGAAAATTATAATCATTAAAAAAAATTAACTCAGTAAATTAGAAATCCTCTCCTTTGACATTGAAGAGTAGTTATTAAGTATTGCTTATTTATAGTGATTATTCAACTAAATTTTAAAATCAGTTATATAACAATAAATTACATCTTATTTTTAAAACAATCAAATAGTTATTGATAATGTTTAAAACCTTCCTCCACTGATTTTGCATATCCTTGTTGATCCATTGATTTTATTTATATTCCTTAAACTATTTAAACACGAGTTATTATTCTACGTACAAATGAACACGTATTTGTATAACATAGATTGTATTGTAATTAAAAAAAATCAATACTTAAATAAATTATGAATTTGTAAATAATTTTTCTAGATATATGTAGTTTTTATTATTTTTATTTCATTTTTAATAAAATTGTTTTGCAAAAAAGATATACTAATATTCTTTTGTGTGATAAATATTTATTTTTACTTGCGATAACTGTATTATCAAATACTTAAAATATATATTTTTTGTTATTAACAACTAAAATTACATAAATAGCCTAAGAAACACTGGACTACAAGAATCTAAATTCAAAAAGAGGAAGAAAAGAAAAGAAGAAAAACATTAGACTATAAGAATCTAAACTGAAAAAAAAAAAAGAGAAAAAGGAGTATCATTCATTCATTTAAACTACTCATGATAATTGTATTATAAAATACTTAAAATATTTTTAAACTAATTAAATATGAGCTTATTATTATCATTTGGATAAATATGTATTTATCAATCATCTATATTTTAAAAAAATATAATTTCAAATATTATTAAAAATATTATTTAGAGTATAAATATTTTGTGAGTGAAGAACAGATTTTAAAATATTGCCACAGAAAATAATAATAAATATTTAAAAAATAAAAAATCTAAAATTAGTTAATTATTTATTATTTTAAATTTTAATAAAATCTAAAATCTAAATATTTAGTAATTAATGACAGAAGTCGCAAAGCCGGATTATAAAATTATTTTTATGCATTTATAATATAAAAATCAATGCATCGGACGATTGAAAATGATGTTGCACTCACCCAATACATTTTCATTGTGTATTTGTTTGTTTCGAAACTCAAATACTCCATAAGTCGTCGTAGAAGGGGTTCTATTGTTCTTTTTGGTACAATAGTCTTTTGGGCAAATTATTAAGATCAATATAATTTATTCTTAAGCCTTACGTTATATTGCACAAGGGCATATGATGGCATCCACCCAACATCAAATTATTAATTAATACACTAAAATTGAAAATTTGTGTCGGCGGAAGCTTTGCTGACTCTTCTTAGATGATTTACAATCCACTTGTTGTTTCCCTAAAAAATGTAGATTTAGATGTGCAGCTTCAATTTACAAACGTCTTTAACTTTTATTTTCCAAATGCAGTCATTTGATGCAGTTTCTAATACAACGATATAAATTACACGACTACTTGTGAAGTATATGGCTATAGTATTCTACTCCTATATTTTGCTTACCACTTTTGAATTATTCAGTGAAAATAACACTCACCCCAAAGTTTTGCTCAAAGTGTTTCTAACAGCGTTTATTCAACAAGCAAACATTCTTAGGAAATCAAAGATGATCTGTTCTTCATTTTGTTCATACTTTCAAATTAAAGCAAATTTTGAAATGGACACGTTCATTTATTTTTCAAGGGAATTAATTAAAAAAACGTTTCATTCAGTTTATTTCTCTAGAATAAATAAATCAATACATACACATGACATCGAGTTTTGTTTCAAAAAGGCAGTTTTCAGACAACAACTTGAATCAACACTATCCGAAAAAATCTGCATCCGAATTATTCGTGATGTGAACTTTCTTAGAAAAAGGTGTTATTGTAATATTATTACGAGAATTTGACAGCAAAATAATCAATGTTAGTTGTAACGGTCCAGTTATTATAAGAGTATAATAGGACAGATCTGTAATTTAATCAATGATGAAGTACATTCTTGAATCGAGTGGCACCGACAGCCGGTGAAAAGAAAACCGGAAGCAACCGGTAATGTCCGGGACAGCCTGGTGCCAATTCAGGAAATATTCTACACGCCAAACTTCACATGGCTTCGTGTCTCTTTACGAATGGTAGACACGTGTCCACGCGAGATTGTTGAGCCTTTGTTCAGAAGTCAAAGTAAACCTAGCCGAGCCGCAGAAGCTAGAGCTTAAGCGGCTTAAGAGCGGCACCGGGAACCAGTCCATCAGGTAAAGTAATAACCATAAAACAGAGTGAAGTGGCAGGAGCTAGCTGGACTCTGAAAGTGAAGAGAGAGAGAGAGATGGCGTATTGAATGGGCGAAGATTTTCACGCTTTGCCATTGCCTTTGCCTCCAAATCTCTCTGACGATTCTTGATCTGCACTGTCCATAACGAACTAAAGAAGATGGAAGCAAGTGCTGGGATGGTTGCTGGTTCCCATAAACGGAACGAGCTCGTTCGGATTCGTCACGATTCTTCTGACAGTGGGGTTAGTATTTGAAACTACAATGTTGTTATCATTTTCTGCATCTGTATCAGATCTGGCTTTAAACTGTTGAGTTTTGGTGTTGATTAGTTCGATCTATGTGATTTTTATGAGAAAATAGGTGATTCTGACTTAGTGTGATTGCTATGCTTTGTAGTCTAAACCCTTGAAGAATTTGAATGGGCAAATCTGTCAAATATGTGGTGATACTGTTGGATTAACTGCCACTGGTGATGTGTTTGTTGCTTGCAATGAGTGTGCCTTCCCTGTTTGTCGTCCTTGTTATGAATATGAGCGAAAGGATGGGAACCAGTCTTGTCCTCAGTGCAAGACTCGATACAAAAGGCACAGAGGTTAGTTAGGTTTATTAATTGTGTTAGTTTCCTTTTTCGGTGTGTTTGAATTTTGATTGGAATGAGATGATTGTGGATATCAGGGAGCCCTCGAGTGGAGGGAGATGAAGATGAAGATGATTCGGATGATATAGAGAATGAATTCAATTATACCAAAGGAAATACCAAGGCCAGGCGGCAGTGGGAGGAAGATGCTGACCTCTCTTCGTCTTCTAGACGTGAACCTCAACAGCCGATTCCCCTCCTCACCAATGGCCAAACGGTAATAATCTATTAATCCATTTCAGGCTTTTCACAGTGGATGCCTGATCTTACTGTAGTTTTTGTCTGCATATTTTTACTTCTCACCGGGTGTAAAGTCGTGTGTGAGAAGAGAGATAGAAAAAGAAGGGATGAGGTTGAATAGAACTAGGAATTGTTTCGAATTGTGTTGCCTAAACTATTGATCTTTCTATGATTGACTCTTACTTCTTTAAATATGTTCAGTTGCTAAGCTAATGCATGCCTTTTTCAATCCTTCATATGGACAGTCGGTTGGCCAGTAATAATAACCATCTGGTTGTATTTATTTTTCTTAATATGGTCAGATGTCTGGTGAGATTCCATGTGCTACACCTGATACTCAATCTGTCAGAACTACTTCTGGTCCTTTGGGCCCGTCTGAAAAAGTTCACTCTCTTCCCTATGTTGATCCAAGGCAACCAGGTATATAGTTAACTTGAAGTGATGCTCCAATATGACTTTTGATGGCTATTATGAAGTTTTGATTGACTGAATATTTGTCATTACAGTTCCAGTACGAATTGTGGACCCATCAAAGGACTTGAATTCTTATGGTCTGGGAAATGTTGACTGGAAAGAAAGGGTTGAAGGTTGGAAGCTCAAGCAAGAGAAAAATATGGTACAAATGACTGGTAGATACACTGAAGGGAAAGGAGGAGACGTTGAAGGGACTGGTTCTAATGGAGAAGAACTTCAAATGTGAGCCACTTATGCTATTTTGTTTGATGTTTACTGACTAGATGATCATAATTTGGGAAGTATTGCAGAAATATTTGCCGATTTAAGTTACACAGAGTTTTCTTTGAATAGCTTTCAAAATCATTAAAGCTGATTTACTTTTTTCTTTCTTACAAAGATTGTATTTTAGTTACTCATGGACGCTTGGTTGTGTTACATTACTATGATTTTTTAACTTACATTCAGAATGTAGAAGTTTCAGTATTTATGCTGTTTGAATTTCATTTCTTTTATTTTAAGTTGAATGGTCAAATGATTTTGTTCTTCACAGGGTTGATGATGCTCGGCAACCTTTGAGTCGTGTGGTGCCAATTTCTTCATCTCAGCTGACCCCTTACCGTGTTGTTATCATTCTGCGATTGATTATTCTTGGCTTCTTCTTGCAATATCGTGCAACTCACCCTGTGAAAGATGCATACCCACTGTGGTTGACATCAGTTATTTGTGAGATTTGGTTTGCTTTATCCTGGCTCTTGGATCAATTTCCAAAATGGTCTCCCATTAATCGTGAGACTTATCTTGACAGGCTCACTTTAAGGTCTGGATTACTCATTTATTCATGTTGTGTTGGACTTGGCACTGTGGTTTAATTATGATATGGCATTTTCTATATCACTAATCTTAGCATGTCTTTTTCAGATATGATCGTGAAGGAGAACCATCACAGCTAGCTCCTGTTGATGTGTTTGTTAGTACAGTGGATCCCCTCAAAGAGCCACCACTTGTAACTGCAAACACTGTTTTATCTATACTCTCTGTTGATTACCCTGTTGACAAAGTTTCCTGCTATGTATCTGATGATGGTTCAGCTATGTTGACGTTTGAAGCACTATCAGAAACAGCTGAGTTTGCAAAGAAGTGGGTGCCCTTTTGCAAAAAGCACAATATTGAGCCAAGAGCCCCCGAGTTTTATTTTGCCCAAAAGATTGATTACTTGAAAGACAAGATCCAACCTTCCTTTGTAAAGGAGCGACGAGCAATGAAGGTTGTTCTTGAGGCATTGTGTTTCCATTTTGAGTAAAATTTTTATGTCTAGACAACATTTTTAACATACCAAGTGAAAACTTAGTTGACAACAAAAGCATGCTGTTCTATAACATAAGCATATACAATATTCTTTGCACCCCACAACCATGGCCCATCTTTGTGTACATGTGTATAGAAAATTAAATATAGATTTTTTTGCTTAACAGAGAGAATATGAAGAATTCAAAGTACGGATCAATGCCCTTGTAGCAAAAGCACAGAAGATGCCAGAGGAAGGTTGGACAATGCAGGATGGAACTCCTTGGCCTGGAAATAATCCTAGGGATCATCCTGGAATGATTCAGGTATTGCCATTTTCTCCAAAGTGCACGTATAATCTTCTCCCTTTTAAGTTGTAATATTTGTTGTTTGCAGGTGTTTTTAGGTCATAGTGGAGGGCTTGATACAGATGGAAATGAGCTGCCTAGACTTGTTTATGTTTCTCGTGAGAAGCGGCCTGGCTTCCAACATCACAAGAAGGCTGGAGCTATGAATGCTTTGGTTTGTCATGCCGAAGCTTCTTGTTTTATCTGTTTTATGGATTTGCCCGACTTATACCCTTTTTTAATGGCAATGTCCTGTGTCTTGTGTTGCACATATCAAGATCATGGCCTTTAGGTAGCAGTAGGTTTTGGTCATATGATTATTCCAAAAATCTCTGAAAAATAACATACAAACTGATGCTGTGATTCAACGTAGTACAATGATAGATTTCCTTTATTGTGACATGGTTGGGCATGGTTGTGGTTTTCATTTACCAGAAATATATGTTCTGAGTGTATCTAACCTTGGTTTATCTTGGGTGATGTAGATTCGAGTTTCTGCTGTCTTGACCAATGGTGCATATCTTCTGAATGTCGATTGTGACCACTATTTCAACAATAGCAAAGCTCTTAAAGAAGCCATGTGTTTCATGATGGATCCTGTTCTTGGAAAGAAGACATGCTATGTGCAATTCCCTCAGAGGTTTGATGGCATTGATTTGCACGATCGATATGCCAATCGCAATATTGTGTTCTTTGATGTAGGTCTCTTTTTTTTGTGTTTGTGTAATTTTGTTAAGTTGCAACAAAGAAAATGTTTTCTTTGCTTGCAGAGCTGCCTAATGCTTTGGTTAAGTTTAATTTCTTTTTTTGTACCTATCAGATCAACATGAAAGGTCAGGATGGTATTCAGGGCCCAGTGTATGTGGGAACTGGTTGCTGTTTCAATAGGCAGGCTTTGTATGGTTATGATCCTGTTTTAACTGAGGAAGATTTGGAACCTAACATTATTGTAAAGAGTTGTTGGGGTTCAAGAAAAAAGGGAAGGGGTGGCAATAAGAAGTATGGTGACAAGAAGAGGGCGGTTAAAAGAACTGAATCCACCGTTCCCATATTTAATATGGAAGACATAGAGGAGGGTGTTGAAGGTATGCTATTATTAAAAACTCTTGTTTATGGTTGTTATGCTTGTAGAATTTTGTATGTTAATTTATTGCCCTCTGTATCCCCACTGATAAATTTCACAGGTAATTTACAAAAATTTGCTATAGTTTGTGTCTTATCCTTGGTGATATGGAATGCGTCCTGTTTCAGGTTATGATGATGAAAGGTCACTACTTATGTCTCAAAAGAGCTTGGAGAAGCGTTTTGGTCAATCTCCAGTTTTTATTGCTGCTACTTTCATGGAGCAGGGTGGCATTCCACCTTCAACCAACCCTGCAACTCTTCTTAAGGAAGCAATCCATGTTATCAGCTGTGGCTATGAAGACAAGACAGAATGGGGCAAAGAGGTGAGCATGTCTATCATTGAGTTTTCCATTCCTGTCCTCTGGTATAAGGAAGTATGAGACGTGACATTAATGAGTTGCTTGTCTAGTTATTAATTAAACATTTTCTGGCTTCACCAGATTGGATGGATCTATGGTTCCGTTACTGAAGATATCTTGACTGGGTTTAAGATGCATGCTCGTGGTTGGATTTCCATCTATTGCATGCCACCTCGCCCAGCATTCAAGGGTTCTGCTCCTATCAATCTTTCTGATCGTCTGAATCAGGTGCTTAGGTGGGCCTTGGGTTCAATTGAGATCTTTCTAAGCAGGCATTGTCCCTTGTGGTATGGCTACAATGGGAGGTTGAAGCCCCTGATGAGACTTGCTTATATTAACACTATTGTCTACCCCTTTACCTCAATCCCATTGATTGCTTACTGTACACTCCCCGCATTTTGTCTTCTCACAAATAAATTTATTATTCCCGAGGTAAATGATTTCTCCTATCTCATTTTATTACTGAAATTTATAATTTCTGATGTGGTCTGATTGTCAATGTCAACTTTCTAAATTTTGGAAGTCCAATAACATTTGGTTAATCTTACACAGATAAGCAACTTTGCCAGCATGTGGTTTATTCTCCTCTTCGTCTCCATTTTTGCTACTTCAATTCTTGAGCTTAGGTGGAGTGGGGTCAGTATAGAAGACTGGTGGAGGAATGAACAGTTTTGGGTTATCGGTGGGACATCAGCACATCTCTTTGCCGTGTTCCAAGGGCTTCTAAAAGTGCTTGCCGGGATCGATACAAATTTTACTGTTACATCAAAGGCATCAGATGAAGATGGGGATTTTGCTGAGCTTTATGTGTTTAAATGGACATCACTTCTCGTCCCTCCTACAACGGTGCTTATTATTAATTTGGTAGGGATTGTGGCTGGTGTGTCCTATGCGATAAACAGTGGTTACCAGTCTTGGGGTCCACTATTTGGCAAGCTTTTCTTCGCTATCTGGGTCATTGCCCATTTATACCCATTCTTGAAGGGTCTCTTGGGCAGACAAAATCGTACCCCAACCATTGTTATTGTTTGGTCCATTCTTCTTGCTTCAATATTCTCCTTGCTGTGGGTGAGGATTGACCCCTTCACCACGGACTCCAACAAAGCATCAAATGGTCAATGTGGCATCAACTGTTAGTTCTCTTAAGAGATTCATTTTCTGTTTTACTATCCCATTTTGTTTGCAGTCCTGTATATAGAAAGAATTCAACCTATCATAGTTGTTCTGGAGGATTGAACACCCCTCCTCCCCCCTCCAAATGCCTGAATAGACGGGACGGAACCCTTTCTGTATCATTGGTGTTTCTATTGTTTATTTATTCTACATGTTCCTTTTTGGTCCTTACAAGAATAGTAATGTTGAGATGTATGTTGCTGTTATATTTTTTGTCCACGTAATATAAATTGTTTACGCGAATAATTTAATGAAAGCGAACATGGTGTTGTGTTGTTTGGTTCCTTTGTGGGATTGAGTGTCCTCTTTTCGTTCCCACACATAATTATCAATTTAAAAATTAAATGGTAGTTATCAAATCGATGCAATTGTCTCAAAATTATGATAGATATATGTCTGCGTGCGGATGCCATAATTATTTGTAGGTGTTGTGTGTTTCCTTTAGATAATGCTTAACAACTATGATAGTTCAAAAATTAATAGAACGTTTTCATTAGACACTACGATAAAAATGATCATATAAACTTTTAAATTATTTTTAACATACAATTTTTAATCTTTGAAAACCGTTATATATTTGCAGAAATTAAGAATAATCAAATTTGTGAGTTCACCAATTAAATTTGTTTTCTGAAGGATGCAAATTGCCGTGATGTTGGTTTTACGTTATTATATCAAAGTACTAGGATTATGACCTCCAGAGTCGCTACATTGGCGGCCTCTTTATAATAATTATTTTATTATCTTTTTAAGGCTTTAGTGTCACATAATTTTATCTTGGACTCGTTGGGTTGAAGAATAGCTGGGGAAATCACGTAAGTTTGATGAATTGATGACCAACACTACTAAAGATGCAATGCCAAAGATTATGACGACCAGAGCTAAGCAGATCTATTACCAAGAATTTAGCGCATTGGTCTTTTGTTATAACCTTCATTCCCACCATTTTTAGAGTGGAATAGGTAGTCGCTTGCCACTATCACAATTTTGTTACGATTTTGTACAATTCAATTTTGGTTCTATTCATTATTCATGTCTGTGTTTAACATTGCTTAACTATTGTTCGTTACCGGGAACTTTCATGTATTAATTCTCACAAGAAATTTGCCCACCATAAGTATAGGTTTCTGTTATACTTTCCCCACCGATATCATCAAAATAACAACTATTGTTGACATTAAAATTCAAAGATTTACAACGGAAACTAATGGCTTCCTCAGAATCAAAAGTCTGGAATGTCGCAACATACCCAAAAAAAAATAAAAAAATGCAACATGTGCTGACAAAAATGAATTAACTTCATCAGAAAACGAACACGTTTACATTGGCCAATCAATGATCACTTAATTGTATATGGTCAAATTCCCAAGAACTAGATTGTGACAATTGATTTTGACCTTAAAGATGAGCAGTTAAGCCACGAGAAAGCCAAGACACAACAATGAAATGCTAACTTATATAAACGAAAAATCATTATTCCATTCTCAATTATAAATGGATTTATGAAGGGGAAAAGTTAACCGAATATGCATGGAAAAAATTCAGTAACATCAAAAGAAATCCAAAATAAGTTAACTGAATATGCATAAACAGAGTATGCAGTCCTGCCTCTTGACCTCAATGGAAACCAAGTACTTCAACTCATCCTATTCCTCATCCTCGTTATCTACCAGTATCCTCTTGCATGCTTCGTAGCACATGAAAGATATTCCGGCGGCTGGCACCAACTTCATGCAACTCGGTCCCAGCCCTCTATATAAACCTTGAATCCCTTCTTGTTCTAGTATGCTTGCAAGGGCATGAACCACATTCTTGTAAACCTGCCTTCCACTGAGAGCTCCAACTTGCATATGCTTGCGAGCCACCTCGAGTGGAAAAGTTGCACTACTAGAAATAGCACCAGCTGCTGAACCAATCAAAAGGGTTTCAATGTTGCCAATCTTCTCTTGTTTAAAAATTTTCCGGTATGCCTTCCGCAAAGTGTCGTAGGCAAAGTAATTGGTAGCAGAATATGGAATAACTCCAATAAGACTAGGTGCGAGGCCCCTATAAAGTTCTGCAGGACCCTCTTCTTGAACTATTTTCAAGAATGCATCGAGCAGACCATCGTAAACACCTCTCTGCAAAATCACTAGTCATGCTTTAGTTTTCCCTTTATTTCTAGGAAGGATGTAAAAACATGAATATGGGAAAACAAAGTTCTTTACGTTTTTTATGTACGTACCTGGATAGTTAGTCGAGTCTTGAGTAATTCAAGAGGATATGTGCATATAGTTGAACTCACTCCAGCACATGCACCTGCAATCAATGATGCAGGAATTGGGAGTTTGGACTGCTCCCCGGGCTTTGGGGATAGGTTCTTGTTTACTGTGTCGTAAGCAAATAGCTGCAGAAACAGGTGAAACATATTGAGATACATAAAAACTACCATGCAGAATTAATCACTGTCTGATAGATTTTTAATGCTTTTAACATTTAGAAGCATGGTTCTCTAACAAAACATTAACAAGCACAAAAAGGCTGTTTTTGTCTGGGGAAAATCAGAAAGTATCAACGACAGTTTCTTGTACACACAAAATTGGACCGAAGAATGAAACGTGAAACAAATAGTTGCAAAATTTCTATAGCTCAGAAGTTTAAAAATAAGATTTTATGTTTTTCTTCTCTGAAAACATGTAGAATATTCCTTCAATGCAAAAAAGGCTCTTGTATGATGTGTGTGGACTTGTATTCTATCCCTAATTCAGATTAAGGAAGCTCATCATGTTAGGTTAGGCATCTAGGAGTAAGACAATTAAACCCAGTTACTAAAAACCATGGTCATCAAAAGCCATACTGACTGGCACCCATAGAACTGTTAAACATCCAGATTCAAGCCCATAAGTGAAGAGGTAGAGACCACATAGAAAGTCATTATGTGTGTTTGGAATGTTAAAAATAGGAAATGATTTGATTTTAAAAAATCCCATAGATTTCATTGCCTTTATTTTTCCCCAAATTTGGTAGCATTTGGTGGGAATTAATTTGATTATAAATTCAATTGTATAGATTAACCATATTATGCTTACTAAGTAGCCGATATAAAGGAAATCAAACCAACTCCATTTTCAACGAGATCCAAACACAAGATTTACCATTTTTTCTAGTGGGCTCCAAAACATTGATTTCTAATTCAAATCAAATCATTTCCTATTTTCAAATATTCAAAACACAATGTCTGGGAGTCAAACTCATTTGAGTACTTTGGGTATGCCTGACTTGTCAGAAATTGAATTTCACAAGTTCACATGCAGAAAATTAAACTAAAGCATACTTGCATATGGACTTGCCAGAAGGGCCATTTATATATTTAAGATCCCCACCTAAAAAACAAGAAAACAAGAACAAGGCACCATCATATGAAAGCTCTTTAGCAACATAAATCAAAGCAAATTAAGCCCTAAAACATAAAAGTAAATGAATTCTGAGAGCAAGAAACCAAACTATTTGTCATGAAGATCATTCCAGAGAAAGAAACATGGCCAAATGGTAGATTAAAGTACAAAAAAGCTCATCTAAAGTGAGCTTGTCTCTAGAGTTCACAGGGGTGTATCTACCCTTGATTTAATTTAGACTTTAAAGTATATCATAATCTTAACTCACTAAAATTCAAGCAAAAATGACTAGAAGACAAGCAAAAATATTGGAGCAAACAGTTGAAGGTACAGAATAGCATGAAAAGATATAGTTGCACAAAGTTTCAATGAGTAGATATCTTGACAAAAATGTTGAAAGGTGATCAAGTGTATGAGGCTCCCAACATAAGCAGATAGGTTGTTCAGCGAAAGAACCAATTACTACCTTAATTTGAAAACACGATAACAGAAAACAGAAGGGTTTGAGGGGAAAATTGGCATAAACTACCTATTAAGATGCGCTGTACTTCTGTACAACCATGACATTTGCAATGGTATATCATAGCAAATTAACAATTACTCACACTAAGTTTCTCTCTCCATATAAAATTATGCATTATATTGACTTTTGGGGGAACAAGAAAGGGGTCAAAAACCCAGAAAAAACAGAAACAAATGTACTAATGTAGGAGAAGCTACTTGGCTACTCCCCTCAAGTCATCAAGCAGAATCTAACATAGTCCCTTTGGAGGAGCTTGACGGAGTTGACACCAAAGTACCCTTGAGTGAGAAAACTGAGCTATAGCCACTCTGAAGCTCTATCTGCTTCTCTAACAGTATGACAGAGCTCCACACACCATTGCTGCCTGAAGATGTTGTGAATGGATCTACTAGAAGAGGATCAAAAGGGTGATAATCAATAGACCCGTGTTCAATTATTTCTTAATCTACAAGAGAATCAGCTTCCAACAAAACCCACTTAATCCACAATAGCATCCTAGCTCCAATCCAGAATGTTTAAACCAAAGTTCCGATGCATTAAATTCATTTTAGCAGTTGTTAAAGTCAATGCAACTCCTTTTATCATCTGAACACAACAAAAAGTATCTAATTCACTAATTCCTAGGAACGCTTTGTAAAACCAGAAGAAGATTCAGGATATAAAGCTTTGTGGCCATGCACTTGGAAAAACTTAAAAAATATGCTATCATGGCCTCCTTACCCAATAAATCACTCATCAAGCTTGTAGCTACTAGGCCAGAGACTTCCAATTAGGTGGATACAACGTTGAAAAAAGGAAAATAAAGCAAAATTTAAATCCAAAAATCTTGTAAACACTCTTCTTTATATAGAATTATAAAGAATGGCTCTTGGCCCTCCTAAAACAAACCCTTATAATAGCTGTAAATCCAACCCATAATATAAAGAAACGCACAAACAAATAAAAAAGACCACTCGTGGTATCAAAACCAATAATAAAATAGCAGATAGATTTATGAGAGCAGAAATAAATACATAAAATGATATCCATCAAGACACCCAATGGGAAAAAGTTGAAAAAGACAACCAAGCAAAGTATCAAGCATCACATAGGGGTAAATGAAACCAAAGGCCAGAGAAGCATGTACACATTACCTCAATGGCCTTGCTAGGAGCAACCCGAATAACATTAACAAGGTTACCCCTAAACAATCCCTTCCACCCATCAGTTTTCATAATATTGTTGAACACTTCAGTGGTAGAATGGCCACTACTCCCCACCATTAAGTGAGTCCTTATAGTCTCCAATGGTGCCACTGCAGTGCGAGACACAGCCCCTGCAACTGCTCCACTAAACAACCTTCTCAAAGAAGGGTTCCTGATCTTAATTTTGAGTGAAAGGCCACTTCTTTTCTTCTTGCTCTTAACCCTTTCCTCAACAACCTCATCTTTACCCTGCGATTGAACATACTTGAGGAACAATTCGTTAAAGGGCAGTTTCAGGCCACCATTGTCGCGTGAATCAGAAGGGTTATTGGGTTGCACCCCAAACCCCATTCCCATTTGACCAACGCTGGCAAACAAACCTCCAGGGTGATAGTACCCATTTTCAGATTCAAACCCCAAATTGTTGACAGAGAAAAACCCATCTCTTTTCTCATCAAATAATTGGATTCCCCTCCTACCCATCAACCACAAGGACCTTGGGTGTTGTGATGTGTGATAAAGTTTGCTTTTTTCGTTCTTCTAGGACTCAATGATGACTATCTCCCACGGTCATGGTTTAAGGGAGTTTATAAAACGGTCATTCTAAGACTGAATCGAAAGAATAAGGTTGTGAAGAGAAGTGGGAGAATGAAGGTGTGTGATGTGTGTAATGTGTCTTACGTTAAATATCGTGATCTAAATTCAATTTTTTTTTTCTTTACTGCTGCTGGCTCTTGGTGGGTTGAGAAGTTAGGTATTTTCTCTGCTTCGGTTGCGTTGCCGGTGGCACCAAATCCGAAACCTCAATTTTGTATTTACCAAAATAAAAACAGCAATATCATGAAAGAGAATAAGAGATCGTATTTTGACGTCGCTTGACTTGTTTTCCCCTAATGTTCCACACATTCGTGACCTTTGCATTTATTGTTCATACTATCCTATTCTTTTTAAAATCACAATCATATTTTAAGAAATAGTTTTGTTTGTTATTTATTTTATCTTTCTATATCTCTGTAATATTTTGGATTTTTGCCACAATTTTACTTTTATCAAAATGCTTATTGTTTATGGTATAAAAAGATTCGTGCGTTCTCAACTTTTTTCTAAATTGCTACATCTACTATTATTTAACAAAATTTAAATATATATAAAAAATTTATCCTTAAAATTATCACTCGATCAATTTTCTTAAATCATAAAAAAATATATTTTTGAGACTACTATTATAAATAAATATTCTTTTAAAAAATAAATATTGGCAAAATTAAATAATTATTTTTCAAAATTAAGTTAAATCAGAGCTTTTCTTTTTAAATGTGATAATGTATAAAGAGTTTCTTAAAGATTGACAGAACGATTGGATCCTAAAATTTGTTGCTGGTTAATTTACCAACCGGGCTGTTGGAATTATAGTTAATGATGTTTGTCTAAAACCCTTTTTCTATGAAAAGCTACCAACGATCAAAGCGTTGCTTTCCTCTGCAGAATTCAATTGCCTATTTGGGAAATTTTTGCGGGCACTGTTCTGTACAAGCTTGTTCTGTACGAGCTATGTTCTGTTGTTATCTTTTCTTTTCTTTTTTCTTGGGTCCAAATTCTGCTATTATATCACGTGTGGATATAATCTCTTTTGTTTTGTCAAACATGTGGAAATAAGCTATAGCCACGATATGTTCGTGTTAGTTTATTGGACTGCCAGCAAAGCTGAAACGTTTTGTTGGGGTCTACTAGGACAATAAAATAACACAACAAGTTCAAGTTTCTTGGACCAAAACAAAAACACACTCAAGTCTCTGACCCAAAAAAAAAACCTCAAGTCAAGCCTCGTCGGCACAGAAAAGAGGAAACTCTAATGAAACTGGGCCACGCTCAAATGTTGATGAACTAATGAGCCCACGGAAACCGATATAATATAATCCGAATTATATATAAATATGATTCTTTGTATCATACAATCTTGACCATAAAAAATTTTAAAAGTAATAATCATTTTAAAACAAATTAGTACTACAAAAATTTAAATAGTTGGATGAGAAAATATACAAGAAAACGAAGAGAAGGAAATGGAGAAGATCCATACTCTCAAAATCGAAACTCCCAAATTAATTAATTTCACCATTGACGCAAAAGTTGTTGCCAGAAACGATGGTCTAACGTTAAAGAGAATTGCAAAACCAGAAAAGCTCGAATATGTATCTTCGATTAATATTAAATGCTACAGTCCATAGATTTGAAATTAAACTATCATCAACTACCAGTAGACTGTGAAGTTCATGCACCAAAAGGACTTTGCTTTCTCATATTCCATTAAGACCTAGGTCGGCTGCTCTTTTAATTATATGGAACGGAAACTCCAAATTCCATTATTTTAACATAAAAATTAATATCATATATGATATTAAAAGAACAGATCTCTTACTTTATATATATATATATAGACACACATATTAAAATTAAATAAAATGAATATAGGCAATAAAACTTTTTCTCAAAATACTTAACACTTAAATGTACACTCTACATGAGCATGATGATAGATATTGGATGCTACGTGTAGGTATTGTGAAGCATCGCATTCACATTGACACGAGCTAATTCTTTAATGTGTCTCATCGTTATCCTGTATGTAGTTTACCACTAGGCAGAGTCATATGGGATGCGACTAACCTAAGGAAAACTCAGCCATAAGAATCTCATAATGCTCATTTAGAAGTTCTCCATATTCAAATAAATTTAACTGCGTGAACATGTCACATGTTGTAATATTCCTAAAAATAATAATATTTTAAAGTTTTAATGCCAAAACAATGTGATAAATATGAAAAGCTTGATACAGGAAGACATCATCATCATGAGCTTGATGGTTATAAATTGAGGACGTGCGGGATGTACCATTGAGCAAAATCCTAGCTTGGGTACCCTTATTCTTTCCCTTAACCATCACGATGAGGTTCTTTTCCTTTGTAATTTTTTCATCCCTATTGCTCAAATTGAGTCTTGGAGACGTTGGTACTGCTACTTCTTATGGACCCCCATACATACGTGAGTGAAAAATTCCTTTCTTTCTCCAATCTAAGTGTCCTACACACTAGTTGATATAAATCTAATTAGTCCATATTTCGATTACTTTAAAATAATCATAAATTTATGTTTATTTTAGTATTATTAATGTGTTTGATAATGCTTTTGACAGCAATTGTAACTTCAACCTAATTTAAAATAGCTTTTGAATTTCAAACGTGTGTACAGAAGTTTTCAAATCAGAATGCAGACATATACTAATTATAACTTCTGCATCATATTCATGTTTATAAAATTTTTAACATATTTTCAAGGACACGCTTTATTTATATGTTTTGGAAACAGTAGTAGAAAAGTATTATTAATAAAAAAAATTATTGTATTTTCTTTCAAATGGATGACAAAAGGGTCACGTCTTTGTTAATTAATTTATCCTAAGTGTTGATATTGTTTGGGCAGCTACTGCTTGCGGTGGAAATATGGCAAGGCAGTTTCCGCCGGGAAATCTTTTTGTGGCTGTGGATGAAGGGTTGTGGGATAACGGTGCAGCCTGTGGAAGGAAATACAGAATAAGGTGTGTTAGTGGAAACAATAAACCATGCAAAGGTGGTAGTATTGATGTTAAAGTGGTTGATTTCTGTGCAAGTTCACCATGTCCCAGCACCCTCCTCATGTCAAGTGATGCCTTTGCAGCCATCTCGCGATTCCCTCGTGCAAAAATTAATATTGAATTTACCCAGTAAGTTATGTGTATGTGTGTCAAATTTAAAGACGATATAAAATTTGTTTACTTTTAAAAATTAAGAAACTTTATTAGATATAAAAAAAAACAGCTGGCTATATACAGGGAATACAAATTAAAAAATCAAAAGTATTATCAAAGCTTAATATCCTGTTGATACTCCATGTCATCAATCATCATCAAATTAATCAAGTTAATTGAATGTTGTTCATGCAGGATATGACTTTAATTTCCGGTCAAACGTCACGCTCTATGTACAACTCAAACGACATAATCGAGGAATTAGCAGCGGATTTGTTGAAGAAAACTCCAAAAGAGAATGTGGGAGTGCTGTGTAACCAAGTTAATTCCTGTACTTGATTGAATATTCAATGTAGTGACGTGAATATACTGTTTTTGTTTAGTAGTAAGCAAGATTTCGCTTCTTGAAGCCAAAGCATTGATCTAATAAAACACTTTTAGCCTGTGCTGTTTCAAAGACAGATTCTACCAGTGCCCATGTCACAAGCAGATTAAAATAGCATATCTTATAGTTGTAATTCGTACAAACATTAAATCACATTTTAATATGAAAATTATAACGCTTACAATTGGAATAAATATATGTTTAACGCACTCTAAACACACCCTCCCATGTGCTGGAATGGCTAGACTCGCGTCACACTACAATGTATTTGAAATAGAAATTGAACATGCACAATAAGAATCTAAAACTAAAGAATTCAGATACCAAGGCAGTGTAATCTGTGATCTCTTCACTACACGACCAAATTAATTAGCGACAAAATGTGCAGCTTGTGATTTCATCACGTACACAATCAAATTAAGCGGCAAAATGGTGCAAGAATTTAATGCATTCAGTCACAGGCACAAGAAGCACTTCAGTATTTCAATCAAATGACGTATTTCACCAATGTTGGGGAGGTTTTTGGATTAGGAAGCAACTTTTGCGAGAGTATTTTATATATGGACTATCAAATAGTGTTATATTTAGAGTTTTATTTTTTACTGCTTCCCTTCCACTTTATTTTTCCTCTCTATGCATTACATCCTCCCCTCCAAACCCCCAACCAAACAAGATGTTAATTTGCACATGCCTAAAATATTAAATTAGACAAGATTGACACAAAAAAACTAACATGAAACAACTTGGCTATCTTTCTGTTTTGTTTGTAATTTCTTCTTAGGAATGCGTTTATGCCTCATCTTTATCTTTTCCAGATAACTTATAACATAAAAGACAATGTTTTAACTGATACACATGCCATATGTATAGTAAAATTGATTGATTGTGTATACAATGTTAGTGGGTTAAATCATATACCAATGCTAACCGCATTTTAATGAAAAAAAAAAAAAACTTTCTTAGTCAGCATTTCAGAAATCAATTATCATCTGCTCAGTGGATTGGTAATGGGATCATTTTAACAACATTGAATATTCAAACGTTTCCTCTACCTGGCTTGTTTTATTCATGAACATGCTGGAAACAAAGGATGTTCCAATATTATCGCCGGATTTGAATGGATTTTGACCATGAATCTATGAGTAGCCATCCAAGATAAGGCTTAAGCCTCTCCACTGAGTCAACCCCATTTTAGGCTAGGTCTCCTCCAATTACATTCAGCATGGGTGGATATTACATAATGGGTCGTTGCAAACTTGAGATCAACATCCAGCATGGATAAATCCACCACGTATATCTTGCAGGCATAAAATGAGTATATCAAGCACGCCAGTTAGCATGTGAGGAGAAAGTGGTGGGGAAGTGAGCAGCTTAGTGCAGCATAGATAGATAGGATAAATAACCGTATGATCTGTAGTTAGTGGCAAAGTGTTAATTTTCAAGTGGTGCAATTAAGCACAATGGAACAACCTCATTACCATATAAAAATTCAGGACCATAATAATAATCTCTAAAGTAATGACGGCTAAAAATTAGAGGCAGGATCCAATTTGGTTTTTTCTTATTCTCTGCTAATGTTTTATGCACAATGATGCAACATTCAATTTGAATTATCAAATCAAACCATTCCTCACGTTTAACAATCTTTTCATAAAAAGAATGAATCTTAATCTTGTTTAGAAGAGAAATTAATCATCCCAAAAATAAAAATAAAAAAATATTTTAAAAAAATCTAATTATAAATAATATTTCTGAAAGTTTAGTTTTTAGCTGAATTTAGCATCAATGTCAGATATTTATGTAGCTAACTTCACTTAAAAAGATAAAATTTAGTTATTATTGTAAACTTAATGCATAAAGCCAAATCCATTAAGTTAAAATTAAATTATTGATAAACCAATGATTAACGATAAATGTCACCGTAAAGTGTTAACAATTGATTGGCTTAAATATATTTGATTTTATATATATAATAAATAAATTATAGAAAATTAGAAATAACTTGTATAGTATGTGTACAACTTACTTAAAAAGAATAGAACAGTTGTAAAGCATGTCCTCGTTTCCCAACTTTTTAAAGGTAGAAATCAAACAATGTGAATAAGCAGAGAGGCACACGCGCAATCGCAAAGCAAGAGAGGCCAAAGAAAATGAAGAGATACGCAAAAATAAGGACAAGAGTCTCCACGACAGCCCCTAAAATGCTGAGACCATACATATTTTCTAGACATGAGCCTCCTAAACCATTTTCTCAACCAATGTTACATTGGCATCAGCTTCAACTTATGATATATACTTTAAAATTTATTATTATACTCAATATTTGTATCGGTTAAACATAGGCTCCAACTAATTGAAGAGGCCAAGTGTGCATAAGTAACGTTCCAGAACAGAGAAATGCCAGGAACATGACAAAGAATTCATTCCTTATTATACATTTCTCTCCGCTTACATTACCAGAATGGGGCAATATAAAATTTGTATCCTACTCTCAATGGAACATGGTGCTATCATATATTCATATTCTTAAGGAATTAAGAAAAAGTAGTGTATTCAAATCCGGGATAATGTCGAACCAAGCCTCAATCACCTTAAATAAAAATAGTCGGTGTTGTAAAATCCATACGGGACAAATCAATCATCTTTAAGTTTAATAATTCTAATATTTATGTAGTCTTGTTAGTATTTACCATTTTGATTTATAAGCACTTTAACAACATTAATATTGATTTACAATCTATTTGGATAACAGTTTATTACTATTTTTATAAACTCTTTCAAGCACATTTTAAATATATTTTTAAAATTTTCTTCTTTGTGGCAATGAACTGGCGCCTTAGCAGCAAAGATGAGGTAAGAGAAGTTTAGTCTTCACTGTGATGCAAATGGGGACAAATCAAGTGTAAACAAGAGACAGTAGGGGTAAAAAGAGAGAGAGAGAGAGAAAAGATGAATGGACCTTTTAAGCAATGAAATTCGTCCTTATTAAAAATGCTAAAAATTCATATAGCTGGCAAGAAATGACGGCAGAAGCTGGAGCAGATTCTAGAGAAGAAAACGTAACGATGCCGATGAATTAGAACAACGTGGTGCAAGACAAGCAGCACCGAGGCACCTTCTTGGCAAAAACTGTTCCAATTTCTATATTCCATAAAACATTTATGCAAAATTATAACGCTAGGAAAAAGAAACAAGTGAATGGTTGCTACTGGACGTAGGAAATATATTCTAATGCAGATAGCCAAATCAATTGACTCACTGAAAATATGATATTAGCATCGCTGAATTAAGTAGGAAATCCACGTGTAAGTCCATAAAGGATAGTTCAAGCGAAGTAGAACATAGTTTCATAATCATGTAGATGGGAAGACAAACAGAACCACTGAGAAGGAGAAGTAAGAAAAGGAATTCTTGCAAAGCATTTTTCTGCCTTGTGTCTCGGGGTAATTTGGTTCGTGACACAAACATTACAGAGATGATGGATATGAAAGGTATGAAAAGGAATTCAGAGTGCACTGTGTTTATGTATACGATTTCTGTTGCAATTGTTCTTGGAGCATCAAATGTGTACATTTTATTTCTTATAGTTTTAAGTTTCATTTCTGGAATCTGGGTAACTGTTCCAGACAACATTCTGAATTTCTGATGGGGCTTCGATTATCCGCTAAATCCTATTTCAGAACTATTTTGTCCAGAGCTGCAATAAATTAATGCCCAGTTTGGATTGATTTAATATCTTATTATATTGTGGTTAACTTTAGATAAATAATTATATTTATTATCTCGGACTTATGTGATATATTTTAATGAATATTTTTTATTTTATAATAATATTTATATTTTATTAGTTTGTTAAAAAATATTTTTTAACTAACTAAATTGTAAACAATAAAGATAGGGATGAAAATTTTGGTATACACAAGATATAAAAATAGAATCGAAGTTATTTCTAACCTAAAATAGTTACATAAACCTCACTCTTTATCTTCCCGGAATTCAATTAACTTTTTAGTCCTATTTGTCGGTGACCATCACGGTACTGAATCTTCTGGTGCACCTAACCTAACCAGAGCTAAAGCAACCAACTTATTGTCGATTATAGCCCATGATTACTCACACTTTGAGAAAATCAAGCCCATAACCTACCGCAGTTGTGTGTATGACATGCCATGATTGAATTCGTGCAAGCGTGTATGTGTATGGGTACCGCTGAAGTGAATTCGTTGATGGGAGATGCGTTTTTTCCATAAATGGTAATGATCTGCTAATCGTCAGCAACCGCAGGCAATTAATTAAATCTCAAGTTAATATCTATTTTAGTCCAGAAATATTAAGCACCGATCATTTTAATATCTGACTTTCTAAAAAAAATTTTTTAGGGACCATGACATTTAGACATTAATTCTCCCTCGGCTGGTACCATGAATAAGCGCAGAGAGTGAATGGATGTGTTATATATTAGCGAACCAAAGCAACGGCAGGTGCATTGAGTCTTTGAATCATAGTGTTTGAAGTGATGTTTAACAAAACTATGCTCTTGCTTTCAACTGTAACTAAATTCAATAGAGAAAAGCAATAGAGTAACGCCAGTTACATGTATTTATCGCGGGTTAAAAACAAACGGTGCTACAGATAATACTGGAATCCATAGACGATCAGACACAGCGCAAACTTAGCTAGATCACACTGCATAAAGGCAGACAAAATTATTGGATATTTAACAGTTTGATCACTTTTCACAAATAAAAGTATTCAATCTTTTTGGGGTTATTGGACAAACGAAATATCAGTGGACATGCGGGGAATGGCGAAAGAGAGCGTGATTAGATCATGACATCAAGCATTGAAAATGTAGATACCAACAAGGTTTATGTGTAACTTCAGGCGTCCATTTCATAACAGTCAATTAAATAACGCGATTCCACCCAAAACCGGCTTATACCTATCTCAACGTTTTGAATTACGGTTCAAAATTGAGAAACGTATGAACCAAATTTCTCTCACGAAAACGCCATGACAACAGTAGAATATACATTCATATGGCCATGTTTCAGCCGACAGAGCATCTGACCCCTAGGCACTGGCGTGGATGTAGGGCAAAAGAAAAACACCCAGTACCATTATGGGTCTATAAGTATATACGGAACCAAACAACAGGAAGGGAACGACCATAATTTCAAGAGATTAACAAGTCACTTTATCAAAAACTAGCACATCCAAGTCCAACCAGAACAGAATGTAACCTAAGACGAATTCAATATCTTATCAGAGTTAAACCAATATCATCCGTTCAAACTAAATAGCTTGGAGTGACAAACGAAATTAGCCAGACATAATAATAACCGAAGACATTGCTTAGCCTTCACTTCAGCACCATGTAATATAACTTGGCTAAAAGATAAATCCCAAATTCACATTCACAATACCAGAACCAAGTCCGGGGAATAGAAATATCCTACGAATAAATATCCATTTAATTTAAACTTCATTAATCGGGTTCCTACAATAATATAACATAAAACTAATGAGAGGGAAAAAAATGATAAACAACAATAAGTAGAGGATTTGAGAGTCTTACTCTAATAACACATAATTGGCTCTATAAGCAACAAATGCTGCAAATCTCAAATCCCTTATAATACTAATTACCTAACCACAGGCAGCAATAGCAACGCGAACATCTAAAACAAAACATACCGAACCGGAAATTTGGCGAGAGGATGCCAATTCTTCCATTTGTGCCTCCAAATCCAAACTCCACCTGGTTTTATTATCATTATTTTTTTATATCCTCCGTTCCTCTAGAATCTCTGTGAACTAGGAAATGGAATTGAAATGAAATGAAATTGAAATTGAAATGAAAATGGAAATTGAAATTGAAATTGAAATGGAAATGAAATCAATTCTGCTGGTCATTCCTCTTGGCGATTCCATCTCCTTCTCTGTCCTCGAGCAACCTCCCAGCTTCTTCATCAGCCTGCGCAGTCTTCTTCTGTGCCTCCTTCGCCTTAAGCGCCTGCAACTTCGAATGGTTGTAATAGGCCACGCCCAAGAACGCAAGCCCGTACCCAAACAAATTCACCGGCGTCACCGTATCCTTAATAACCGACCAAGAAAACGCAATCAATAGCCAATCCTTCACCACACCAGCCACATTCATCGTCAACGCCGACGTCTTTCCAACCAGAAGAAACACCGCCAGATTCAAGGCGAACGCGCAGAACGAATTCGTTCCGAAAATCACAAAATCGAACTGAAAACTCGAAGTCTCCCTCAGAACCGGTAATTCAACAAAGATCCAAGGCACAGCGAGAAACACCAAGCAGCAAGGAGCGACATAGTAAAGAGAAGTGATAGGATTAAGCGAGATCCCCTTAGAGGTGAGCAAGATTTGGATCATGACGAGCCTGGTGGCTTCGAACGCGACGGCGCCGAGCTGGAGAATAACGCCCCACGTGTCGAAGCGTGCTTCACCGTATGCGGCGACGGCGACGCCGAGGGAGATGGAGAGCATGTTGAACATGGTGTCGTTTTTGTAGGACTCTTTTTTGAGGACGACGCCGATGGAGTAAACGGCAACAGGCATGAGAGCTTTGAGCATTTGGATGAACGAAACGGAGAGGTAGATGTAAGCGGAATTGGAGAGCCAGAGGGAGAGGGAGTAGAGGGCTCCGATGGGGACGACGGAGGAGAGGTAAACTTCACGTGACATTGAAACGGGTTCGACGATGTGGAAGACACGGACGAGGAGGATTGCGAGGGTGGCGCAGAAGGACATGTGGATCATTGTTAGGGAAATGGGGAAGGGCCAGTTGTACATCTTCTTGTCCAAGATGTACTTGTTGTATACGATCACCGTGAAGCTTAGGAAGATCCATATCGCTACGTAGGTGTAGGATAACACGATCTTCTTCAAAACACCGTCGCTCAGAGATCCACCTTTTCCCATTCTTGAAGATAATGTTAACCCAGAGGAGGAAGAAAGGGTCAGGTCAGAACAAGAGAGAGAGGAGAGAGTGAGCGAAGAGAGGAGACAAACTCAGCCTCAGCCACAGGACACTTTCAAGTTTTGATTCACTACTCTATTATAAATTCAATTCAATTCAATTAAAATAAATTGCTCACTCTCTTCAAAATTTTTTATCTAGCTCTTTGTTGCTTGGACAACGCTATTGGTGGAAATATTTTTTTATACTATCTTTTCTATTGGTTAAAAGTGTGCTGTTCTCTTCCCAATGACCATCTGTTATTCTAGTACTTTAATTTAGATGATAGGATATTATTAGTATTGGAAATTTTAATAATGTGTATGAAACGAAAATGCATAATACAGATGAGGGATTATTTTTATTATACGAAAATGCATGTTTAGATTATGGCAATCCTAAACATAAAGGTTGAATGCAGATATTATTATTATAAAGGACAAATTTAATTAATTAATTACCACACTACATCTAAGAGTTATGTCTTATTATAAAAAGATGTCATTGATTTGGTAGTAAAATTTAATTCCAAAAATAAAATATGGAAGCAAAATCATAATTTTCCCAACAAGATGGTATTGTTTCAAAATGTTTTTATAAACATATATGCTTAAACAATAATCATTTGTATTTGTGTACATTCATTTACTATAAGACAGTCCTTGTGCAAAACGAAGGGTAGAGTCAATTCCAAGTTTCCAGCAACAAATCAACACCAACCCTATATGTTCCTAGGTTTGTGTTACGTCGTTTTAATGTGAGGGAAGGCCACTATAGGGACGTTTAAAGTCGTCTATGGATGGAGATTTTTGAGACATAATTATCTATGGTGAATAGAAAATACGAGTTCATTTTTCTTAATTCTTCTACCAAGAAACAATTCTATATTATTACACGTGTCTATCTATAATAAATAAATATTTATTTTTTTAAATTCAATAAAAAATTATATATTATAAATTCGTACTTTATTTTAAAAATATTTATAACAATATTCAATGATTAAGTTTGTGTATTGTGTATTTTTTTTTATAAACAAATAATAGATATTTCATTGACGCAAATTTCAAAATAAATAAAATAATTTAAAAATAAATATATCTGAAATATATTTATTTTTTATATTTTTAAAAACAAAATATTGTTAATTGTTTTTTATAAATTACGTAACAAAAGAAAGAAAAAAGTAAGTTTATATTATTTTAGGGTTTTGTATAAAAATAATAATATCATGTTAAAAAATGAAAATGTAAGTGTGTTGGGAAATACATTTTTAATTAATATTTTAAAAATATTTATTAATATTTTCTTTTTAAAACACGTTAACCATGCTCCGATAATAATAAAAATACTTTAATATATGTATGCATTTAAAAATTATAAAAATATCAATGGTGTCGTGATAGATAATGTTTCTCCTTGTAACGAACGAGGGTTAATATTTCTGCATTGCACGAAATTGTTTAAAATTAAATATATAAAAAGGAACTGTCTAAAATTAAATTTTAGTTTAATATAAAATTGTTTTTTAAATAACATGTATTTTTTTAGCATGGTCGATTATATGAATTATTCTTTTATGAAATTATTATATATATATATATATATATATATAATTTTAATCTAGTTTGCATAATAATAAGAATGTATTATTTTAAAAAGTATAAAGTGATATTTAAAATTACTATAAATTATTAACTCCAAAATAGAATAACATTGCAATGCATGTAGCTAAGTACAAAGTAAGTATAAGATAACGTACAAAAAGTAAAAACAAAAATGTATTATATACTATAAATTATAAAATATGTCCAAAACTCAGGATGCTTTGATTTTTTTTTTCATACAAATGAAATATAATTTTGTAACGTGACAGATTGAAACTCTGTATTTATTATTTTAAAATAATACATTTAACAATTATAAACTATTTTATTCAAACCTGTAATTTAATGTGGAATATTAAAAATATAATGACATAGTGTATTTAATAAAAAAATTCTATAAATTATATAATATGTTTGATTTAAACCCATATTTAATTATTGTTAGTAATTTAATATGATAAAATATGTAAAATTAAAACACACTCAATAAAAAATGCTATATTACATGGATACAAATAACAAAATTTAAACTGTATTTAAATGCATTTAATTTTGCTAGTTTGATATATATACATATCACAATAATATTTCATTTTGACATTTATATAATATCAAATGCATTTAAAAAATAATATATAGACGATACAATTTTGTAAAACTATTATAATTTATTTATTTATTTACATATTTTTATTTATTACTTTATTTTTTTTCACCTGTATTATGCTATTACAATGTATAATATATTTTTTAGAATAATATTAAAATAGATGTCAATAACAAACGCATTTTTAACATTAAATATTTGTATAATGAATCATTTTCGACACCAAAATTCTTATGATAAGTTTTTTATATCTTAAAATAGCAGCATAATGTTTTTAAATGTAAATAACTGAGGATTATTAATTCTAAGAACTTAAATAAAGATTTATTTAATATTCTTTTACTGAATTAAATTCAATGTATTGACTAGAGGTTTGTGTTATTCAGTATGCAAGTGTATACGTATAAGGTTTTTTTTTTTTTTCATACATATTCAGATGTTAAAACGGGACGGGTAATAGTCAACTTACATTATTATATTTGCAATTTTAAAATACAACGTTAATCGGTTTGTTTAAATGAGAGGGGGGAATATAAACAATTATACTTTTTATTTAATTAACAAAAAAAGTTAATTTAAATTTCATTTTCTCCTTTTAATTTATTTATTGTAAACCGAATACCAATCCATTTCCTTAAAAATTGCTTTTTTTTTTTTAAATATTGTTATCAGAAAACTAATATATATAATATTTGAAATAAAAATAACAATATTAATATTATATGATATTATAAGAAGAAAATAAAGTTTAACATTAAATTATAAATTTAATTTTTATACATTATCAGTGTAAACTTTTTAATATTAATTGAAATGCTTGAACTATTCTATAAATAATATATTAACAGTTTAAAATATAATAATAAATCAAACGCTATTTCTGTCTATGAAATTGTTATTATTGATTAAATTTGATTATCAACATGGGTAAGAATACGCATATATAAGGAAAAACAGTACTTAGTGTGGCGTTTAATAAATAATCAAAAAACATATACATAAAGTCAATCAACAATTATATTTTTAAGAAATAATGTTTTGCGTATGGTAATTTTTTTTGCTGAGACGATCAACAAAGCAATCTTTACGGACTAATTCAATAAAAATAGCTTTAGTTTTTACTTGACCATATCAGATCCATCATATTTCTTAAACAATTGTTTGTGTTTTAGAACAAATTCAATCTTGCTTATTTCTCTCTCAACGTTACCCACTTTTCAAGCTTAAATCTGGGTAAGTAAAATTCTTTGTAGAAGCAGTGATATCATACAATTTTGTCTCTCTCTTACATATCGTCGTAATGTTGAATAAAAATTATCGTCGAAGTTGCTCTTGGGTTTTCTTTAATCAACGAATAATTTATTTTTCTTATAACAATTTTGTTAGGAAATACAATCAATGATTTAGCTTAAAACTTATCTTGTATCTTGAATATTGGACAAATGAACAATTGGTCATGATTAATTGTATTATTAACTTTAAATTTAATATGAATAATTATAGGTGTCGGTAGCAACACTTTGTACAAACAACGAGATTAAGCTATTAATATAAAATAATTTGAAAATATTAAAATATTTCTGCTATGAATGATGTACACAAAGTACAAACAATAAGAGAAGGTGTTAAACAACAATTTTGCTCAATAAATTAGCTAATTTCAAGTTTGAACAAGCGAAAAAACAAATGAACAAACCAAAATTCAACGCTAATACATACCTTAGTCGTCCATGTCATAAGTTTGTGGAAAGCCCATTGTTGACTGATTTGATTTTGCTATCAAAGTACAAAACCTTCAAAGATGGCAAATGTGTTAGCCACTTCGAGTTCATTGGCGCAAATGTTGGGATCAACTCAAATGTGACACGTAGCTTCTTACCATTTGATGATGGTGATAACCTTCTTAATTTCAGTCATGAATTGCAATGCATCACAATTAACTTCAAAGAAATGGTAATGGTGCTAAAGAAAGATGCTTGCATTAAAATCACAAATAAAATTCAACCCCACCTTTTAAATTTTCTTCGCCAAACGTGGTGTGTAATGAGTTATTTCTCCGCTGATAACGTTTTGAGTCTAATTTTGTGCTGAAATATTTTATTGTGTGGGTTAGGTGAGGAAGACCGTGCTTTATGTGGGTGGGGCTGCCACAAAACCCCATTCTTTTTCAAATAGGATTTAAGGCCATGCCTTACTCTTGACATTGACACCCTACCCCAGCATATGACAAAAATTTGCTTAATTATATTGCTTAATACATATAAATTTTATAATTTATATAAAAATGGATATATAATGAAATAAAAGTGATCAGAATTACTTAATTTTGAATCATCTAATAATTTTTCAAGTGGGATATGAGTTTATTGTAATTGTGTTGTTGTATATAGATTTGTGCCAAGAGTTCTTGGAAAAAATGCTTTACGAATTCAGCAGCTGCCCATCAAATTCGCCATGTTTCCTTTATGAGAAGTAAACTGAAATAATGTGATATTGTTATAATTAAAAATAAAACAAATAACTATTTTTCCTGAAACTAAATGGCCATTTATATTTGCTTCCAATATTTTTAACTATTCAAAGTTTCATTAACAGATTTCAATGTGCACACAAAACTTGTATGTATAATATTTTTTTCAAATTATATAATTTTAAAAAATAATAATATTAGATGTTATAATTTTTAATAAAAATATTATTTGACATAGATTAAAAATTATATTAAATTAAATATTTTATTTCATAATATAATTAATAACTCTAATGTTACTTCAAAGTAAAAAAAAAAATGAAAAAAAAATAAAGAGAATGCGAAGAAAATATGTTATAATAGATAAAAGTTTATCGAGTAAAATTAGCAAACTAAATTAAAA